CACCTCCCAGTTCTGGCACAGTCTTAACACCTGGTATGGCTGCAAACTGGTTTTCTCCACAGCCCACCACAAAAGTGATGGGCAAAGTGAACATGCTATTCAGTCAGTGGAGCTTATCCTCCATGGTCTATGCAATGCATGGTCTGATGACTGGGCCACCCATTTGCCCCTGGTGGAGCTCCTCCTGGCTAATCATGTCAATGCATCCATGAATGCTGCCCAAAATGACCTCCTCTACAGCTTACAGCTCTGAGACCCCTTCATGGCACTGCAACCAGTTTCTACCCTTGGCGACCTTACATTACTGGACTGCCAGACTACCCTGCACAGACAAGCCAAGCATGTTGTAAGAGAGCTCGCATATGAACTGTCCTTACCCCCTGGCAGCAGACTGCACCTGGTGATCTCCATCCAACACCTGGAGCCCTACGTTCCTTTGGACAAGCTGGTAACCAATGAGAAAATAACCGAAATTCTCAGAGAGCATGAGACCCATTGCTGCGGGGTTCAATACTTGGTTCACTTCGAACATGTGGGTTGCAACAAGTGGGTGCCGGAAAACACCGTCACCGACCCCAGAATCATAAAAGCATGGCGTGCCCACCAAGCACCGGCCTCGCTCTCTCTCTCCGGGGCCCCGCCCCCTGATTAACTCACCATACCGTACAAGCTCCACCTCCTCTCTCCGCTCCTGTTCAGTTTCAACGCGCCTTTCCGCCCCAATCTCGTCTCCCTACATCATCTCGCTCCTTGCTCGCCTTGTAGTGTTTTTTTCGGCGGGGCCAATGTCACGCCTGGGTACCCTCTCGTGCGAATACTAGCCATACAAGAATGCTCAGCTAATAGCCTCTTGCATGCATGTGCATTGGACAGCAAGTTCATTACCTTGCATCATAGTACAATGCAAAACTTGCTCTTGTGATCTTGCTTGTATGAAGAATAGTACTTAAACCAGCTTCCAACTTGTCTCCTCCTTCTTGCAATCCATCTACTTTCACCATTACAATGCGCATATAGCCTGCGCATGTAACAGAGGAGGTATGGTTATATACCTCTTTGCAGTGTTGCCTGCGACTCTGCTCTGGCTCTTCCTCCTGAGAGTACCTCTCTTTGTCTAGCACTGCTCCCCCTGCTCCTTCGCAGTCAGTGAGGACCAACCTGTCGCTTCATCTCCTCATAGGGGTTGCCCCACTTCATCCTAGTGATGTCGCACCCCCCTTCATCTACCCCTGACTCCAGCACTCCTCCTTAGCACCCACCTCATCGTTGTGCAAGGTCCCCTCTTCAACTGGTGGCGACCTCCCTGTCAGAGGTCGTGTGCCCAAAACCTGATATCTGTAATAGAACCACATCTATTACAAATTCTGCAGAGATATGTGACAATGCTTGTGGTATTACAATTCTTGGCAAGATATGTAGTAGAGATGTCACTATCACTTTTCTCACTCAAAGATGCAGTAATGGCTTTGCTATTGCAGGTTTTGACTAACCACTGTGGACACTCCATCCAGAGGTAGCTTGGCATGATCAATAACTTGAATGTATTGCCCAACACCAAAGGTCTGGTGTGAGTGAGATGACTGGTAGCACTGACATGAGTGTCCAGTGTGTTGACTGAATGCTTGAGGTGATCCCCAGACTGCAGTGGATGACTGCCTTTGGTTCTATTGTTATCTGGACTGCAGGTTTCTATGAACTGCCTTCAGATGTCAGTGAGTGGTGATACAACACACATGCTATGATGGATGCAATCTTATTGAGATTGCAATGTGCTGACTGAATACTAATGTATACTTATGTATAAAGCTATAACTAGTAGTGTATGGTGTAGAGTGGATGCCGATCCACTCACTTACTATGATGGGGAGCATGGTTATATACCTTTCTCATAGTGTCACCCATGACACTGCTCCTCCTCCTCCTTCCTGCTACTCCCCCCATCCATCCTTGTGCTGCTACTTGTTGGCACTGCCTCCCTAGCCTCCTGTGGGTGGATGGGCCTCTTGCTGCCTTCATCTTTGTTAGGGGTCAGTCCCACTTCATCTGAGTGGTGACTCACACCCCCCTCTCATCCTTATGTTGTTGGCACCCACCTGTTGGCCCTGACCTATCTTTGTGTCAGACCCCTGCTTCATCTGGTGGTGTCTTCCTCTTGTATGATGTTCCCTCCCTCATCATATTGGCAATGGGGTGCCTCTCCAATCAATCCTTGTGAGATCTGTAGTACCCAGCATGATATTACAATTCCTGCTGAACTCTGTAGTAATGACATCATTCCCACAGATCCTGACAAGTTATGCCATAGGGTTGTTTCTACTGCTGATCTCAGCAAACTCTTCCTTAAGCTCTCGTTTAGCCCAATCCTGCGATTCCTGTGCTCCTTCATATGACTTCAACTTCTTCCTGTCTCCTGCGCATCCAGCTCGCATGGCACTCCCCCTTCATCTTTGTGATCCCCTTGTGACATCGATGCTAGAAGTGTCCTTAGGCTGGTGCCTGTGAAGTCTGTTGTATGAGCATGTTACTACTGCTTTCCACTGAACTCTGTAATAGCAGGCTGGCTCTTACCAATCTTGATGAGTTCTGCCATAGAGCTGTCAGTCCTACCAATCTCATTGAAACCTGTCAGGACTCCTTTTTCCTGATTCATGATTGTTGCGCATGGTCTCTTCATATGAGCTTGCTTCTTCCTGCACAGTCATCCGGTCCTGTGACATTACCCCCCCTGTCATAGAGGCTGCGCAGGAAGATTCGAAATGAGATATGAGGAGCCTTCTGTGCACAAAATTGGGAAACCAACTGGATCATGGGTTTCCAGTTGTTCTCACCTGACAATGACTGCATTGCATCTGTCTGGTTGATTCTGCTGAAATCAATTGGAATATGACTATCTGGTTGATTTCACCAATCACACTGCAAGAAGTGGCCACTGACATGGTATGAACCACTGGACTACAGGGAGATGATGGGAGATTTGGTAGGGAAGATCTCCTTGGCCAAGAGGGAGGTCAGGATGGTGAGAAAGGTTTCACATGAGAGGAGTAGGTCTGAGCTCAGCCAAGAGAAGGACCAAGCTCAAGAGCAAGTGGCAGGTTACCACAGGGGGGACATGCTCTTGAGTACATAACCCAGTCACAAGGTAGACTGCATGGATGGGAGTGGAACAATACAGATGGTCACAAGGTCAAGGAGAGCCATCAGATAGGGGCCAAAGGAATGGCCACAGATTAGAGGAGAGGGGGATGGGCTGAAAGGTACCAGGAGGAGGATGGGCAACATTGAGGGGAATGGCACATGAGGAGAAGGAGGAGGACAAGGACACTCCTCCAAGAGGAGTAGGAGCAGTGCCATAGATGACACCCTCTGAACACATAAATACTACTACTTCACCATAGCATATGAGTGGATCCTCATCCACTCTACTCTTTACTTTATTTACCCTTACTTAGTTATGTACCATTGCAATAGCAAGAAGCTTTTGCAATGACATCTCAAACATGTGTGTAGCATCACTGTTGGACATCCACACTGTAGGCAGTGTTCCTTGCAAACACCTGCAGTCCAGTCCTTCACTGTAGGCAGTGTTGCTCAACACCTGCAGTCCAGTCAGTTATTGTAGGTGGTGTTGAAATACCTGTGGTCCAATAACTTCTGTCTCCTGTAGGCAATAGGCATATTGTGGTCCAGACAACAACAAGAGCATAAGCAACAGCACTACAAACACTTGTGCTGTATAGCAAGTGTACACACTCTCCCCAGAAGGAAATGGACATGCCATGCAACCTCTGAATGGAGTGTTCAAGGCAGTCAGCCAAAACATACCAGAATGAAGCTGTCTGGTTATTTTCAATCGAAACATACCAAGTGGTCCTTACTCAATTGATCTCACTGAAATCAATTGGAAACACCCAATCTGGTTTCAGGCACGTGACCGCTTACATGTACTACAAATCCTGGCAGGATTCATGATACCATCATTGCTCATGCCGATCTAGGCGAGATCTGCCCTAGAGCTGTTTCTTCTACAGATCTCGGTGAACTCTACTGCAAGTCCCACAATCTGCCTGATTCCTTGATTCCTGCACTCCCTTCATATGACTTGATGGGTCTTCCTGCTTCCTGCGCATCCAGGCCCATGACACCATAGAGCTGTCAGTCCTACCGATCTCATTGAAACCTGTGGGGACTCCTTTTTCCCGATTCGCGATTGTTGCACATGGTCTCTTCATATGAGCTTGCTTCTTCCTGCACAGTCATCCGGTCCTGTGACAGTTGATTTCCCTGAAATCAACCAGGAACCTGTGTTACAGTTGATTTCACATTCTGTGCGCTTTTTAGGCACACTTCATCTTCATCTCGGATCTTCTTGCGCAGACCCGATCTTCTGCGCAGGTCCTATGACACTTAGCTCCTGATCATTACAACGTTTTACGCTCCGCCGCATTGCCCCTGACCGTGCTTTCCTCAACAAATACAACATACAGATGCAGGAACACCTGCTGGCTTCGCTGGATCTTAACCCTACTGAGAACATATGGTATGTATTCAAAAACTTGCTTGGTAAGCGCTTGCCAGTACCAAAAACCTGGGATGAGCTTGCGAGAGCTGCAGAGGAAGTGTGGAACACCCAGATCATGCTTGAACATATCAACCCTGTGATCAAGTCAATGGAGCATTGCGTGGAGCAAGTGCTTACTAAGCATGGAGGTCCACTCAGGTATTAGTCAGCTCCGAGACTCACTGCAATCAAAAGCCCTTCTTTCGGACTTGCTCACTGTGTGTTTTGTTCAGCCTGACACTTATGAGACATCAGTTGTCCAAGCAGATGGAAGGTATGCTACCACACGAGTTGAATGATTGTCTATTGGACCCTGTCCCCAAACTTCGGGAAGGGCCTGTACCATTACAAGGAGAAAGAATCGGTCGACTATATTTACAGCAGCAGTGCTATGCTTGGTATGCGATGAGTTGCATATTTTGGGAATGGTGGACTGCGTCGTCTAGTTTGACTTGGACTGAGACGACTCAGAAGTGGAGATGTGACACTCGTCCTTCTTATCGACACTGACTAGACCGACAGCATGCGAGTCGCTGCGGGGATGTAACGATGTATGCTCAGACGAGGTCAAGCTGCTGCTGAACTCGTAATTGGACCATCGCCATGCAGGAACATGGTTAACGTAGAGCTGATCGATCTCGAAGAATGTCCTTCCCCGAGTTTCCGGCAGCAGAAAGAAGGCAAGAATGGTGATTACAAGCATGCATCCACCAAATATGAGATAGGATTTGGCGGCGAGGTCACCAGCATCGGCTGCTGTGATCTGGGGTAGTGAGAGCGTAGTTACCACCGCCGTCAACTGACCCCATCCGATCGCATATGACATTGTGTAGTTCCTCAGCCTCTGCGTCGGAAGTTCCGAGGGCATCAGCAGCGAGATTGAGTAGAAGCATAGTGTCCAGAAAAAGTTGAAAATCATGCCCAGAGCACCAATGGTCTTGGCAACGTTTGGATTGCCAGCGTAAAAGGCAAGCGAGCCCGCTGTGAAATCGATCACTGTCAGAATGACGAACCCGGGCAAGGCAAGCGAACGTCGACCCACTTTCTCGAGCGCAACAATGGCCAATGCAGCACCAATCAGCTGGCAGACGTATGCGTAGACGGTGAAAAGGAATGGACTTCCCAATTTGAGCTGCGATAGGAAGATGGTGGCGTAGGTGGTACTCAGAATGACACCGCTGACCTGATTGAGCGAGAAGAAAGAGCCTGCAACGACGGTCCGCATCAGGTGCTTGCGACTGAAGATGTCGGTGAACTTGGTGTCCTTTGACAGGTTGTTACGCTCCTGCTCGGCGCGCACGATCTCATGCAGCTCTTCCTCGATCTCAGCATCAGAGACCGGACGTACTCGTTTAAGGGCCATGCGTGCTTGACCAATACGGCCTTTCTGAACGCACCAGACCGGTGATTCTGGTAGGAAAGGGGTTGGAAACAGCAAGAGGAACGGCAAGCCAGCCTGAACCGCCAGAGGCACCTTGTACGTTCGGTCATCTGAGTAATTCTTCTTGGTCGCCCAGCAACAGACAGCTGCCAACAAGTTGGCAAGGATGGTGAGCAAGTTGGATGTAGCCACAGCGCCGCCACGGATGCTTGTTGGCACTACGTCTGCCAGGTAGAGAGGTCCGATGGAGAGAGCGCAACCGTAGGCAAGACCGTTCATCAGGCGGCCCATGATGAAGGCGCCAAGATTGGGTGCCCAAAGCTGCAACTGTGTGGAAGGGATGCTGAACATGTAAGCAGCGCATAGCGACCACTTGCGGCCGAGCCTGCTTTGCAGTCTAGGTGAAATGATGGCCCCAATGATAGTGCCAATAAGAGGAATAGCAAAGATCATCGATTGGCGGTTGGCCGTAAAGGTATAGTCGCGTGTGGCGTGATTGAGACCCTGATACTTCTTGACGAACTCGGGGATGGCGGAGAGCGGGCTCATGAGCGAGTTCTCGAGGCCGTAGGTGGCTCCACTGAGTGCGATGGTGATCACTGTCACAAAGACTGAGACGCTCCATACACGTGGCTTCTCGAGCCTCGTAGCCACTGATGGCGAAGTCGGGACGGAATCGTGGGTTGGCGAAGTCGGGACGGAATTGTGGGTTGGCGAGTCGGTTGTCATATTTGCAATGGCGGCAATGGAATGCTGGATCGGGAGAAAGGGTCCTGAGCCCCAAGGCAACTTCGGGCAAAACACCCAGTCACAAGGTGGTAGTCGGAAGATCGAAGCCGGGCTGTGAACCTCTCTACACGATACAACTTGTTGCAGGCTGGAAGATGCAGGGAAGCGGTCGGTGCGGGTGCAGGTGCAGTTTGAGGCGAGGCACGAACGAAGGTGATGGCGTAACTCTCAAGAATACGAGCAGTGCCAGGGCCCCTTTTTGTACCAGTGAAGACGAGGAAGGGTGACTGATGAGAAGAAGCAGCCCGGTGTCAGCTGTGTTCGCTCTGCTGCTCTGGCTTGGCAGCGACCCACCACGTAGAAACGTCGGTGGGACACGACCAGCGGGGGGCGTTGACTAGAGAGCCGTAGAGTGAAATGAAGCACGGCAGCACGATGCGCTCAAACGAACAAATGGTGCGCACAACTGTCCTATAGCTGGTGGGAGACCGGTCCGTTGAACACCTCAAAAACAGGTTGAGTATAGCGCTACCGACCAAGTCCGAGCAGCCTCGAGCGTGGAAGGGTGCGAGCGGGACGCAGAATGAGAGAGGGAGCAGCCTTGTGCGTAGACTCGTACCGTGAGTGAGAGTAAGAGGTGGGTTGAGGGGGTTGGTTACGCATAGGACGAGATCGAAATGAAGTTCAAGGTGGTGCGTGGGAAGAGTACTTAACGCCTAAAGTTGAACTCCAACCATAGCTCGCAGAGCATCGTCCCTCGAGATCTAGCTTGTGCGCAATCTTTCAAGGAAAGAGCGATGCCTCTGCTCGGAGGAGGGGGATGGTGTTGTTGCAGCAGAAGAAGCAAGCAGCGAGCGCCGAAGTATTCAGATTGATCATCTTAAGCACAAGCTGAGTTGAATCTAGAGGCTGCTTATTTGGTGCCCCACATCAGACAGCTTTGCGAGGCGAGGCGAGGTCGACTCATGCAGGATCCTTGCGCGCTTTCGTAGAGTTACTATAACGAGGGATGCAGTCTTCTCACTGTTCCAGGGCTCCTCTGCGGTCTTGAAGAAAGCGAATTCGTTTCAAGTCCGCCCAAAAAGAAATTCTCCCTTTCTCCTTGATTTTGTCCGCATCACCTTCTTTGCGACAGCGAACGATGGCGGCCAGCCAAGGGCAGAGCCAAAAAGCAAGCGCACAGCAACCTCACTTTCTGGAGCCTGTGAAGCCTATAGATCGAGTGCCTTGACGGCACTGCCATGCAGTGATCGTGATCGAGAGGAAGAAAAAAGGCGATGTAAAAGCGATCCTTTGCGCAGAGTTGAGATGCGCAGAGCTGCGGTTTTCTTGATGCAGCAAGAACAACATGCGTGGGCCCTCATGGACTCTCAGAAGAGCGATTGGGATGCTGTGGTTGGATTTCGCCGGTCTGATTGATGAAAAAGGAATGGTGTGCGGCTGTATCACTGCAACAGCGTCGCATCCTTTCTACCATAGAGCTCACAGCCGCGCTTTCCTCGACCCACTGTAGTGCGAAGACACCCACACGTCGGTCAAGTTCTCGCTTAGGACGGGACGACGGAGAATTCGCAGAGTACATGTTTACCCTGCTCGGCATAACAAAAGAGCTTATCCACCAGATTGTCAGATCGACAGAATGTCGACACATGCAAGAAGAAAAAAATTGTGGAGTTGACAAAAGCAAGAGCAAAGGCCAAAAAAAAAAAAAAAAAAAAAAAAAAAAAAAAAAAAAAAAAACACACACAGCAGCAGTAAACACTAACCAGCGTGAACTGAGCTGTCTGTCTGTTTGACTTGCGTGAGCAGCGATTTTGCTCTGTTGTGTGATGAGTGACGGTTGGATTTGCTTGTTTCAATGTCCGACCCTGAACTTCGACCCCTTTGGAGCCTGCCTGTCAGAGTCGCATCGTGAATCGTGGCCATCGTCCAAGGTTTTCCACAGGGCTGTCAGACGATAGCTGTTGCTCAAAGGCATCTCGACACGACACGAATACCACGCTCACAACACCCTAGACTTGCACAAGACAACGACCGACGCTCAGACCGCTGCCAACGAGGAACGAACCGCGCCACGCCACGCCACGCCACGCCTGTCCTGTCCCCACCGCTTTTACGGCTCTTCCGACGATCGCCAATACACCCTTGCGTTCGACAACGTTTCGCTGTTTGGCTCTACCGACCCTTCCGAGAGACGAATCCCTTTGATCTTTTGAGAAGTCGCCACTCTGGATTGTTCATAAGGACAAAACTCTTTGCCTTGGATTACTGCACAGCATCGAGACCAAGAGGCACAGCTCGACACTATTTTGACACCAACTAATCGCAATCTCCATGGATACGTGACCAGCTCTGCCTGAGGGCCAACTTAGAAATCGATCGAGAGACACAGTACGACTCGACATGGGGAAGCCTCAACGCAACGCCGCAGCGGGCCCTAGCCGCCGCAGTGCAAGGGCGGCCTCCACTATCAAGAATGAGCGCATCACTCGAAGCAGCAGGAACAAACATAGCTATGCTCTCGATGATCCAGAGCAGGCTGAGCGTGATCTCAATGCGCAGCTCAAACGTATGGGTCTCTATGCAGCCAATACCACGGGTGATGGCAACTGCCTCTTTCGCGCTCTTTCAGATCAACTCTACGGACATTCGGGTCGACATGCACAGTTGCGCCAAGAGACGTGCGATCATCTTGCTGCACGACCAGAGAAATTCGCCGGGTTTGTTGACGACAAGCCTTTCGTCCAATACGTTCGTCTTATGCGCGAAAATGGCACCTATGGAGGTCATCTAGAGCTTCATGCATTTGCACAGATGAAGCAGAAGCAAATCAAGATCGTACAACCTGGCCTTGTCTACGTGGTCGAAGACGTCGACGACTCGCCAGAAGCGATACGTGCCCGTGAAGAAAAGGAGAGGGAGCGTCTTCGCGTCCAGAACAGCATCGAAGCAGGCACTGGCTCTGCACCACTCACAGAACGCCAACGGCGGAGGCAAAAGAGGGAAGAGAGTAAGCGTGACAAGAAATCGACCAAGCTCTCCAGTAGCGACGATCCATCGACGTCAGCATCACCGGCCACGTCAGGCTCGGGCTCCACCTCAAGTGATCAAGCAGCATCAGAAAGTGCACCAGACAGCTCAGCGGTATCCTCGACTCCAACCGCTTCGCAAGAAAGCAGCGCCGCCACGCAAGTCGAGGTGGCAGAAGCTTACGGCCCGCTCTACATAGCCTACCACAACTGGGAGCATTACAGCTCGATCAGAAATCTCGATGGGCCCCACTCTGGACTTCCACGCATCAAGGAGCAGACTATGACAGCAGCGGCCGAAGCAGCAAATACAGATAGTGACAACTCAGCGAAGGAAACGGCCAAGAATGCCGAGCCGACTACAGAGGAGAAAATGATCCTTCAGAGCGTCAGTGGCGAACACGATTTGGAGGAGGTGCGACGGCTGCTTCGCGAGCATCACAATGACTGGGCACATGTCGTTGAGCTGCTGGTAGAGAAGGACACGATCATCGACGAATTAGAGGTCGGCGCTGAACTGCAAGCTTTGTCTTCGTCTGGTGACCAAACATCAGCGGCCGATCGACTCGCCGTTCCGCCACCATCACTACCGGACCACATGCGACATTGGCGCGCTACCTCGCCGTCATCGGTCGACACGTCAGCCACGCACAGCAGCGGAGAAGGCGATTCTCCCTCGACTACTGCCACCACGGACGATGGAGGTGATACAACAGCGTGTGCATCTCCAAGCGCATCGAGCCTCTCACGTGGCAGCACGCCGGGCGTCGAAAGGTTGAGCAGCAAACGTGCCGCCTCGTCCGACCCAATGACCATGAGCACGATCCGCAGCCCAAAGCGACGCTCTCAGAGCCGCTCACCTGATGTCGAACCTGGATCCGATGCACAGGGCGAAGCTGCGAATAATGAAGCAGAAGCAGCGCCGTCGCCAGCAAATGCCGATCTGGGTCAGAACGATGAAGCCGTTTACGAGATCATCAAACGCGGACGCGGACGACCACGCAAGGACGGCTTGCCCAACAAGTCGACTGTCGCAATCAAGCGTCGTGTTCCAACGGCGCGTGAGAAGCGTGATGCTGCTCAGGCACGCAAGCGTGAGAGACAGCTTGAGAAGATCGGACGAGCTCGTGCAGGAGCTGCATCGGATGAAGCTCAGCATAAGGACGGAAAAGGAGCAGCCAACCGCCCTTCGCCCGCCGAAGTGTGTGGCTTCCGCGAGCTCAAAATTTGATGATCGCCTGATCTCGCGCCTCAATGCTCGATCTCTTTGCATTTCTTCATCGTACTCTCGGGATCTGCTGTCTCGCCCATCTGCATTTCACACATGATACCCATGCATTAGAGCTTCTCTCACCGTGCCGGAGTCTTCATCAACGCTTCTGTCTGCTTTCACTTTTCTTCTTTCTACTTAGCATACATCTCGTTTTTGCCTCTCGCAGACACCCGCATCTGTACCCTATCGCAATATCTACAGCATTCCCAGTCACTCTGATCCCTTTTCTGCCATTCGCTTGTGCTATGTATCTCCTTCACGTGTGTTGTCTATCGTACAGAAGATCCTAGGATGTTGAACAGGGTCGCTTCCTGTGCGTCACGACGTGGAAGATTGTAATTCCGAATCCCGAGACTTCTCCTCCTTCTTTGGAAATCTCGCTCATGATCAGAGCACCTCTGCTAACCCTTATCACCCCTCCTGCCCACAAGCTCACCGTCACGATGGCAGCACAGGTATCCCCAGCGTCGATGCAGCCTTCAGAGCTGGACACGCTCACTCTGGATCATATCTTGTCCGACCTCGACAGTCTGTCTCCGAATGCTTCCCTACTGAGACTTGCAAGCGCAACTGCGCCCTCTACAACGCAAGCCACCAGCTCTGGAAACAGCAAAGACCTCCTCACCTCGTTCGAGGCAGACACATTCACATCCTCAAACACAACCAGCTCCTCAGCACAGAAACGGAAAGAGTACGTGGCTCTGTCGCACGAGCTTCTGGCCAGCTTCCAGAACGCCCAACGACTCAACACCGAGCAAGTTTCCGCCGAACAAGTGGGCCTGTTGCTTCCGTCGGAACGAAACCGAGTTGGGCCATCTTCAGCATCTTCAGGCAAGGCCAGCGACTCTCAAGGTAGGGACGCAACTGGGCGAGCGAAAGCGACGGGCACAAGAACCGACTTGCTTCATGCCAAAGTGGCTCATCTTCAAACACAAGTTGATGCTTGGGATGCTGTGCTCGAACATGCAGTCAAGCTAGCGGATGACACGACAGGTAGACGCACAGGAAGCTCTCACGCTGCCGAACCTCATGAGAGCGTAGAATCAGAAGCATACGAGGCTGTTCGACCGCCTGCTCCAGCACAGACCAATCACGTCGACATCGATCCATCGGAAGATCCGATCCCGGGAGCGCCAGATGCCTCACATCCGACAACAAAAGCTGGTGCAGGTCAAGATATTAAGGAACCTGTACGGAGAAGCACGTCGACAACAGCCGTAGAAGCGGAGCCTGTGGATCAAGACTTCCAAGACGACGATCCATGGAGCGAATTGGCCTGACTTCGCTTGAAACCTTTGCAATCTATACCACATACCCACACGGAACACACAAGCAATTTTCGTGAACGAGTCAGACTTCGATGCATAACAGATTGTTATGAACGATGGGATCGGAAGAGCCGACGTCATGACTGATTCTGACATCTGCCACAGCGTGCACATCGGATTGTCCGATGGGGAGGTCACGTTGACCGGGTCTGCCGAAAGGACCGAGGTTTCAGCAATTGCCGATTCTCAACTTGTCTAATGAAGGGGGCAGAAGGTGCAATGTCACTGGTCGACTTCACTCACCATACAACTGTCCGTGCTGCGCTTAGCCAACGATTCTTCATCCTCGTCTTGCAGTCCTACCTTCATCCCCATCCTACGAACAACGTATCTACCGTACGAAGCAACAACATGCTCACAGCAACAGAGACTCGGACATGGTCGGCGCCTCTGGTAAAGGCAGCACGGCGCTTTATAGACGCAAAGACAGAGGTTGCCGGAGGTGGACTCAACGATGACACTGAGAAATGGCAATTTGTCGCTGGTCATCACTGGTGGTGTAAGGTCATCTCGACGCAGCCAAGCACGAAGCAATGGCCCACAACGATGGATGCAGGCGGACAGAGCTCTGGGCATATACAGATGTTGCAGGCTGCCATGGATCGCCAGTTAAGCATCATCATTGAGTCCGGATCAGCGGAGTCCGAGCATGCTCGCCTTACTCGGCCTCAAAACGGATTCACTGCGTATTCTCAGCCACTGCAACCTAGTGACCCAACTGAGACTTTCGAGAGGTCAAATTCGTCGCAGCCATGGGCGCCCATGGTGCTGGTAAGTGTTCAATTAACATCAGAGGCGAATTTTACGCTTGGTCTGATCTGACGTTGACGCTTGAGGTCCTGATTGAATCATGCAGGCGGACGTCGACCTGGTCCGCATCAACAAGGCATACTTTCGCACCAACAGACGACTCGATGCTGTCAAGGTCTATCAGCATAATCTGCGAGTTGGTGTTTGGTATCTGGATGAATACGATCCCACAAAGGTGAGTGAACCGGATCTTTCGATGAGCTTTGCGGGTCCCTTTCTGACCCTCGAAGATGTTTAAATGGTACACAGTCTTATAGTATCCAGCTCGTGTTCAAGAAAGAGAAAGATAAGCAGCACTTTTTGAAGCTGATTGAGGTAAGTGCTTCCTCAGCTCACGAGCTGCCGCTCAAGCACTTCAATTGACATTGTCATACCGCCTTTAATAGCCGGACGTTTCGATGCAGACTTGCCAAACAGGTACAGTCGATGAGAATGTCGAGGCCGTCAACGAGAAGAAAATCGATAAGAAGCCAACAGCTCCAAATGAGCCCACCGAAGCTAAAGCTAACGACGAAAGCAGCAGGCTCGCTGCTCTGGAGGCAGCGCTATACCAAAGCCAGAGCCTCGCAGACACTCTGCTCCAGATGGCAAAGACTCGCATTGACAGTCAGAAGACCGAACAAGCCTGCTCCACTCATACACCACCTGACAACGATCGTCGGCTATCAAGCGAACAGCCTTCAACGGCAGGCTACCCTAATTGCGCTCACAGCATCCGTCCCAACTTTGGCAGCAACGACAGTTTCAGCAGCAGACCTGACTCGAGCTACGACGCTTTGTTCAGCTCCGATGTCGTCAGAAGCATGCTCGCCGAACGAGAGGACACACCGGTGACCAATGTCTCAGCGGAAGAAAGCCAACAAGAAGAAGAACACGAGGACCCTGGACTATGGGGATGGCCGAACCACAGAGCAGTCGAATGCATCCAGGATGACGTTTGTCGACTCTGCCTCGCAGATCCCAATCTCGAGTGGATCATCGCTCGCTGCGTTGATGAGCACTTTCGAGACCAGTCTGTTGACTATCCTGAGTACGGTTGATAGCCCCCTCAGGGCTATTGTACTGAGCTGAACGATGATGCTTTCACTAGCGGCAAGGGTCATCGAGCCCCAAACGAATTCTCTCGGGTTTTCACCTGTTTCTGAGGGCCTTCTGTATCATACATTGCACAACCGAGGTCCTAGCCAGTGATGCATACTTAGAGTTCGATCTTAGTCCATCAAGATCAGAGCGAACTAGAGCTTCACGTGAGCCTATGAGGTTTGTCTTCAATACATACCACGCTAGCGGCTTCCGTCCGAGTACGGAACCGTAACACTTTCACATTTGAGACTCAGCCACGAGCTATGTCCGCTCCGTGACAGAACGGAGCGCAGTAGTTGTTATCACCTTTTTCGTCTCTACCCAACGTTGCCATCACAACAGAGCTTGCGTGTCCTCCGCGTACTGCTTGTGACGGGACACTGCGCCCTTCATGATTGGCTTTTTCGAATATACTTCGCTTGCTGCGAGTTGAACTCTGCATGTAGCTGCGAGCTCCTCGACCTTGGAGATGAGAAGTATTACAGGGCAATCAGCGAGCTCGACACGGCTCTTTTAGAGATTAAGCACAGCCGGAAAGCCGGTTTCATTCAGCCTGCAATCGACACAGCGAAAGAAACTCAATCGCACATGGGTGGTCGTCTCTGCGTGTCGACATCAACACGACGGACCAGCACATCTGGAGCAGCAATTATGTCCTCAGGCACAAGGAGTTCAAAACGTCCCAAGTTCAGACTCTCAATCCAAACCAGAAGGCTAGGAGGAAATGACGAACGACAGTGACGCTCTCCGCAAGCAATGCCAGCCCTGACTTGGATGCCAAAGTGTTTCATTCGGGATGTTCGTAAGGTGCGATGGTGAGAAAGAGATCGCATCAGCAAGGTCGGTGGCACGGACTGGATGAGTTCTCGCTACATGCCCTGGCCTGTGCAGGGTCGAAAAGCTCGTAAAGGGTCTCGTCAGCCGACTCTCGCGTTTTGCCGGATCTGCTGTGTCACGCCCTTCGGCTCGAAATGGCAGTCGAGATGAAATTTATGGAAATCACAAAAATCCACATTTCGAACAAATTTGACTGGCTCTCCTCAGTGATTATGCGCTCGTCCACCTAACTATCAGGCCAAAAAGCCGCTTGCAGAAGGGTTGGCTCACAGACTCAGCCAGCGCTCTGCGCTGAACGGATCTTACTACTGCTTCGTAACCGGAAACTTGACCTTCGCGTCTACTCCACCATCAACGACGAATCTACTCAACGCTACTTCTCTCACCCACTTCATCTTGTCGGCTTCATCTCCAACAGAGGTGAAGCAGACGCACAGCGAAGGCCCATACATCCAAGGTGTTCGTTAGGGCGCCAAGTTTGCAAGTAGACCGATTCATTCCGAGTATCGTCAACTGCGCCTTCATCTCTCGTCTCTTTCATCCGGTGCGTTAGGATCTCGCGACCAGCGCTGTTATGATCTGCAGCAACCAGCATCATATTAGCTAGTGGCAACGTCATCAACTCGACATGACGACCACTTCACGACGTCGTTCCTCGCACGGTCTCACCTCGTCGGGCTCCTCCACACAGCTCGCTCGACGAGGTTCGTCCTCCAGGCTGGGTGGCGCACGTGGTCGCTTCGATCCAAGCCTTATGATGTCCTCGAACGCAGCTCAAGGCCACGGTAGCCGCGACAGATCACCTCATGAAGGCAGCCACGCAGCAGCCAATGACGACAAGGATGCTGATCACCACGACAAAGCCACGCGTCGCAACAAGTCAACAGATCGTCTCCATCGCTCGCGAGACAGCAGCACACATCTCAGCGGCAAGCGGTCCAAGTCTTATACCCACCTCGGCATGACTGCCGATGACACCACTGCTAGGCGACGCAAAGGAGGGAATAGGAAGGCCAAGAATCAGCGTCCCGAAGCTGAGGACGGATGGACGAGCGCTAGTGCCGATAACACACCCAGCGATCACAGCGCCGAAGCATCTCCTTCTAGCAGCCCTGAGGATGAGGGTCTTGTGTTAGGTATCAAGAAGCGTCCTGCCAAACTCGAGCAAATATCGACAAGCACCTCCCTTACAGCACCAAAGAAGGAGACGTTCCCACAACCACCTGATACCCCAAGAGCTAGTGCAAAGATGCTCGAGCCTGAGAACAGTCGCAACACCACACCAGAACGCAGAACAGCCGCGGCCGAGACTAGGGCTGACCCGCCAATCACGGCATCAGCGACAACCGGGACCAGCTCAAGTCAACACGCCGCTCCTCCGGCACAATTGACAAGAGAGGACACATCGAGAACACTGGTCGGGCACGAGACGAATGAAGATCGATCGGCTGTAGCAGGCCGGTCGACTACGGACGATCAGGAATGGTCCTCGCGAGCGACATCGGAAGCCCCATCGCTCGAACAGAGTCTGTCTTCGCTCAAGCTTGTGGCTTTTCCTGAGCAAGAGAATCCTCCATCTCGGAACGGATCCGCATCTCTTGACCCTGCCGGCCAGACACGGCACCATCGCGTGTCATCAAGCGCTTCCAACCGGACGCTGCGATCCTCCATGCCGATGGCATCCTCACCTTCCTCGATCCGATCTAGATCTTCAGCACTATCGGGCCGCTTCCCGCTTTTCTCAAGGGAGACACAGTCGGCAGCGCCACCGATGCTCGACACGCACAACGCTCTTGCAGGTCGTCTTGGCGCTCGCCACGAAGATCGTGGTGATCTGCTCGCTCCCATGGCCGGTCCAAGTCGAACCGGTCGCAGCGTTAGCGCGATGACATCAAGCACCAGCGCACCCGTGGGTCTCGACCAGCAGCAGGTCGGGTCTCTTGATAGCCGATCGCACATGCTCAGCAAGACAGTTACAGACAAGGGCTTGCACTCCAGTGTCGGAGCACCATCGCCTCTATCTTCAGCAACACAGTCAGCTGCCGGCACCCTCGGCTATGGATCGCAACAGCGTTCTGCAAAGGACCCTGTTGCCGACCGTCGCAGAACCGCCAGCACTCAGAGCCTCACAGCTGCAGATGCAGCTAAGCTCGCAGCCAAGCTGCGTCTGGCTCGTGACTCGATGGATGACCATGGACTCGGGGGATATGGCTCGACCCAACGCGGTGCGCAAGGCTACAATCCGCGACTTGAGAAGTACAAGAAGCCGGTCGTGTCAACATTCGTCAAAAACACATCGAGCGAGTCGCCACAGGCTATCGGGGTTCAAGCAAATTCGGCTTACTCCAAATTGTTCGCTCAGGCGCACGACAGTCAGGAAGGTGGCGAGTCAGACCGCCGCATGATCCGCTACGTGATGGGCTACGGCATCAGCGGTCCACCGATCGAGAAGAGCCGGCTGTCTGATGCGCTGCTTGGTCCAAGCTTGGACATGGCCGACTTTGAGTCGAGTTGGGCTCCTGCACTAGCACACGCTGCGGGCTTGGGCGCAGCTGTGCCACCTCCTATCCAGACCGAGTATGGTCTGGTGACATCGGAAGCACCGGCTGCTGCAGGCGGTCCCAACTCGACTCCTCTGCATCTCATCCATGGTCTCACAACTACATCACCGGATCCGTTCCCGCTGGACCCTACAGACGTTCCAGCACTGCAGGAGGATGCTGATGTCTTCGACACTCAGCCTGTCTCGCAGCTTGCTCAGAACCCGATTCAGCTAGTCGACCCTGGACTTATCCGAGCCATCGCCATCACCACCCACGCCATCGCCGTCCATCGCTCGCACATTGTCACACGCCGATACGCCGATCCAATGCGTGAAGGACTCGAGCGTGTCGTGCGTTCCTCCGGGAGATACCTGCCGGCTCCAAAGACCCACACTGCAGCTAACAACATGCCCAACTCACCACAAATCAGCTCGAGATGGGGTCGTAAGACAGCACCCAACAGTCCCATTGGATCACGCATTGACGCTCGCGATGGTAGCAACCGGCCTGGTTTCCAGCGTCGCAACACTTCCGATGCACAGCAGCAAGGGCAGTATCCGGGATCGGGCCATCACAGCAACAGTACTTCTTCAAATCTTGCCGGGCAACTGTACAACCTTGTTGATGCGGCAGAGCATCCTGTGAGGAGCTTGAAGCGGGTCTGGTCTGGAGGTATCGCAAGAGGTGGGCTGGCCGCGCTGACACGGACTGATGAAGAGCCCTGATCTCACTTTGTGTTCGGACGTTACACTTTCAATCCCACAATCGCTCTCCTTTGTTTCTACTTTCTCATGCATTATCACGAGTTCACGCAATCACGAATCTGATCAAAAGAGTCATGTAAGCTAGGTGGCATAATTTTGACAATTGCACACATACGAAGACCCTGACGCAGCCAAGAAGTCAATGAAGACGAATTGAACCACAAGTCGAGTTGAGTTAGAGAAGGGCAAAACCGGCAGCAACGGCAGCGAGAGCCGAGGAGAAAGCAACAACAGCACCAGTGTTGAGACCAGCAGCGGAGTTACCCGAACCGCTTCCGCTACCGGACGAAGAACTAGAAGCCGTGGTCGAGTTACCATTAGCAGTGCTCTTGAGGGTAGAAGGAACGTTACCATCGAGGAAAGTCTGGTTGCAAGTTTGAGCGACAGCACCTGCCAACTGCTGGTTAGAGTTGCTAGGGAAGAGTGTAGCGTAAAGACCGTGAGTGCAGTCTGTGCAGAAAGCGGTCTTGTTGGCAGAGAGCGCCATCAAGCTCTGCTGTTGAGTCTGTTCGTTGTTAAGCAATTGCTGAACGCTGCTGAAGGTGATGGGCATCTGGGTGACGTTCTGGAGCATGTACATCTCGTTTGTCAAACAGTATTCTCCCTGGGAGTTCTGGAGACAGCCGGCAGTACGAAGCTTGTCATAAGAGTTGATGAAGTAGTAAACCAAAGCAGGAATGTTGGCACCACCATTAGCGCGGAGGTCGGAACCACAGCTCTGGAGAAGAGTGTCGTTGGCGGAGGAGAGCTGGTCCTTGGTACAGGCGGGCTTGTTGGAACTACAGATGTTGTCGCTGAGGTAGGAGTTGAGGCCGGGGACGACGGAGGAATTTCCACTGCTGGTAAGAGCTCCAACGGCACTGGCGAGGGAAAGACAGCTGGAGATGTTGGAGCTGGCGACGATGCCGACGAGACCAGAGGCACAGCCGGAGGAAAGTCCGGTGATGAGGGAAGGGTCGAGCTGGGCCTGAGCAGAGCCGGCGAGACCAGCGAGGGCTGCAACAGCGGCTATGACGGAGGTGGAAGAGATGGTACTACGCATTTTGATCGGGTTCCTTGAGGGTTAGAGTGGGAAAGGCGATAAGATGGAATGGAATGAGTTGAACTGAGTTGATATCGAGGAGAGGAGAGAAGAGGAGGGATGGTGAAGAGGATATATGGTGAAGAGGATGGATGGTGAAGGGTGGATGAGGTGAAAAGGACGAAGACTCTCATAAGCAGGGACGAGGTGGGACCGAGGGAGCGGGCCAAGGTTGAGGGCGAAAGGCTGAACAAGGTTCGGAGATGAAGTCAAGCTAACAGGCCCTACAAGCCCAGTGTCGCACCAAAAGACGTAGAATCGTATCCAGACTCTTGGCAGAATCGGCCTCGACACAAGCGAGCGAGCGGACTCTGAGGGAAACGGGAGGGAGAGCATGAATTTCAGCGCTCGAAGGCAAGGTGGGCTGCCATGTTCCCTTTGAGCGAACATACAGTGGAAGTTTGTGGGAACATACGCCGCTTACTCTCGAGGGCTGACGCTGAGCTGTGGGTTGACATGGCAATGGTTATGAAATGGTTGCCGCTGGTCAGACAGTTGGAGTTATGTAGGAGAGATACTCGACTCACCTGAGGCAACTAGACGTTGCCAGTGACGGTGTTAAGATATATATACTCATGTTTTTGTAGCCTCCATTCTCTCGTAATAAGCAAGCATTGTAGTTGCTACACACCTATCCGAAGGGAGCCTGATTATGGCCCCAACCAAGTGGTGTCTCTACTTTCAACTGGGGTTACTGTGTGCATGAACCCACAGCCATTTCACAGAAAAAGGCTCTTTTGTTTCAACTCATTGCAGCGAGGGGGCCGACGAGTTTGAAGCAACCACAGATGAAGTCGAGCTTTCCGCCCACTCTTTTTGCCACCATTCAATGGCTTGAATGAGAGTTGAGTGAGCATTTTGGGGGCGGACGTTGAAAGTCGGTCGCTCCCACAGCTCTACTTGAATTAGTCAGGCACGGCGGAACTGCAAAAGAGCAAGACAAGTTGTCCGTTCTAAGCGAACAGACCCTGAGTCCAGAAAAAAAAAGAAAAAGAAAAAAGAGAGAAAAAAAAAAAAAAAAAAAAAAAAAAAAAAAAAAAAGGGGCTGTGCTGTCTTCATTCGGCCACCTACCGAGGAAAGGGTAAAAACGCGGCAGACTCAACTGGTTTAGGCGCGCCCTTTCCCCTGTCAGGGATGCGCACCGAAGCGGCGATAGAAAAGGCCAAGCCCTTTTTTTGGGGGGGGGGGGGAACATTGAGAAGCGTTGATTGTCTGTTTTTTCATCTCGAGGCGCCAAATGGTGGGCTTGTAGCGATGATGGGAGACAAGCTCGGAGCCAAGAGAAAGGAGCCAAGAATTGCGTTCGAGAAAAGAGGTCGGGGAAATGCTAACGTTTGAACAATGTATTCTCGTGAGGATGGGAAGAAGAAGAACAAGCAGGATTCATTGCCGTAAACGAGACGGAAACGCAAGCTTTGACAGCGCTTGGGACTTGGCCGCTTTCCCCCTTGCTCTTGCTAAGAAATTGGCGTAGCTAGATCCGATCTGGCCAACCTATCTAACTTGACGTGTGGTGCCAGCATTGCAACCGGACCATGCTTGTTTCAGGTACAGCAGCTTGTCTCAGGTACAGCAGCTTGTCTCAATCATGCGAACAGAGTCTGTTCCTTCTCTGTTGATGCAATCACTGCAAGCAGTCAGGTCTATGCTGCAATCAGTCATTCGCCGCCCTGTATTATATCGAGGGCTTCGCGCGTTTCTACATAGAATCCATGTATTCTCCTCACTCTATAGTGAGTTCCTCTTGGGTTTCCTTCCGTTTGCTGGCGGCAAGATCCTGTACTGCCCTCCGACTTGGGGGATCCTCGTCAACCCCGCCGGATTTGCCGATGGACGGTGTCAACATTCCATCCCTTCGGATCCGAGCTGACGGAAGCTGCGAAGAATCGTGGGCCTATCGGAAGCACCTTCTTCATCGACAGTCATTGTCGGAACAAGGTGAGCGAACATTGTAATCCTTCTGTAAGATGGTCAGAAGATCGGAAGAGCCGATAGGTCGAATGCCCGATGTTTTAGTGTTGCTCTTTCTTGACGCTTTCAGTCGCGTGCCAAACACTCTTTTTGCCCCACTCTCCTCTTTTTTGTTCTTTTATAGACTGGACCCCTGTTTCACACCCAAAGAGCCTGTCCGCCTCTGTCCGTGCTCCAAGATGAAGCAAAGCATGCGCCTATTGATCAACGCTTGACAGCATTTCCAGTGGCGTCGAAAAGCAAGACTCTAGAAAGAAAGAACGCATTCACCTGGCAAAGCAAAGCCAGCCGCGGATGTGCCTTTCGGTACCTGCACTTTGCTTTCACGAAAAAAAAGGAGGCGCTCGCATGTCATCTAGCTCCTCAGCTACACCAAACAATGCTTCAAGTTACTTGATCGTCACAATCGCATTGTTCTTGACCAAAGCACACCGGCTGGGCACACGCTTGCAAATATCGCTAAAACCACATCCCTGCCCCGCAATTCACCTTGCTCCGACTTCCGCCAAACCCTCTGTTGGCTTCGTCGGCCTGATTTCATCTCATCTCTCTTGCGGCGCATCCACCGTTCGTGTTTCTTCTCTTCCATCAACTTGGCGGGCGCGGACCGAGAATGCTCAGGTCTCGACTGACTTGCAAATCATGAGCAGTAACGGTCATCTTACGGCCGTAGGCAGGACCAGCAATGGCACTCGTGCTTCGGCCTCCGTCGACTTGTCAACCCACCGTCACAACACAACAACGCACCCTCATCGTTCTGCAGCATCCGCTTTCCAGCTTCCGGGCCACGCTATCTACCTTGCCGATCCTCACCGACTTTCGGTTCTCTCTATCCACCTCGAAGCCAGCACAACCATCTCCACATTCCGTGTCGCACCTTCAAAGGAGCAAGATCAGTCCTTGGCACAGCAAGGTGCGCAACTTGCAAAATCATTGCATCCTCCCTCGCCCAACGGCTACGGTCAGGCCTCCTCATCAAAGCTCCATTCTCCTCAGCCGCCTCCGTCTTCCTTCACCAGTTCGTCTTTCAAGTCTGGTCGCACACGTCCGCTCAGCCATGACTTCGGTCAGAAGGCCAGAGATGCACTCAGCGAGTTTGGCCGTCTTGCCAGCCGTAGGACCAGTGCCATCGAGAGATCCAATGGTGCCCACACCTTGGCCCGCGTCGCCGACGGCCTCAGCTCAGCATCACCTCAGGCCACGCACAGCACACAGAGCAGTCACATTGGTCGTGCATCTCTGCAGCCATCGCCGCTTCAACAAGGTACCTTTCCTTCAACATCCAGCTATAACACCAGCAACACCGGGTCAACAAACCTGGCTTCGGATGACGCAGTTGTGGTCCGATCCAGCGCTAAGCGTTACTTCGTTCTCACGCCGCAACGCGACCAGCGCTTAACCGCCCATACTATTCCTCTCTCGATTGAGAGCCACACTACCGCCCCCGATCAGACTCTATCTCAGTCTGCTCCAGTCGAATTCGTCCTGCATAGCGCCAAGCACACCGACTCGACTGGCCCAACCAACGGGCTGAAAGGAGGCCTTGCAGCTTCTTCCTTCGACCCTGCACGCTTGCTGCTCAAGGTGCGACCACCTGCCGAGCATGCGAGACACGCATGGTCTCGAGAGGCGACGTTCATAACATTCAACAACGCATCTCAGTATATTACGTCGGAGGATAGCTTGATCCAGCTTCGTTTCCGACTGAGATTGTGCGCATCATCTACAACCCCAACCTCACCATCCTTCCCACGCAATACACCTGAGCACGGTCTCGGTCAAGTTCTCTTCTTGTCAGCTGCATCGCCAGAAAGGCTCATCACCGCCATCGAGTCGCCACATGCAACCATATCAACCCCAGAGCTTGCTACTCTCGAGGGCATCACTCGTGTTGAAGTAGTGCCTCCGAGCTGCGCCACCCCGTCATCAGTGGCTCGAGGGGCACGGGACTGCGATTTTGACTGGACCTGGAAGTCGCTGACTCGCTCCTTCTCAGAAAGGGGCTCTCGTTGCTGCTGCGCATTCGTGGAGCTCCAACCCGATGGTAGAACAGCTCAGATTCTGGCGGCTTTCTCATTCCACATCGAAGTGCCGGTTTCTACTGCAGCACAAAACATAATGCCAACCTCAAATGGAGCAGCATCCGCATCGCAACCCGGGATATCTCGAGCTGACTCAATGGCGCTCATCGCCGCACTCAACCTTGACCGCGATCTGTCGCCTCACGACGAGGTGCCGCCCCAACAGTCCTCTTCCCGGATTCTCGCTACGACAGATGATGCAGCCTCAAAGTCGACAAAGTCACATCCCCGTCAGGAGAGCGACTGCATGCCGCTTCTGATTGATCGGACAGAGCTTGCTCTCGAGGATGTCGTCAACGACTCGCCCATCTTCCGCGCTGCCATCACCAATCTCGAGCGCAGAACTGCTTCGATGAAGAAAGTGTCAAAGGCAGTCTTCAAGTCGGCGCAAGAAGCCCGATTGCGCATCCTCAAGCTCGTTGAAGCCGAAGAGGCAATGGATGCTGCCTTCGAAGGTCTCGTTGCCTTGGCGCCAGAGACGATTGGACGCCTGCAAGACCAGTTTTTGCGCCAGGCTAGATCGAGGATTGTCCAACACCGCAGAGAGCAAGCCAATGTCATCGAGACATGCCTGGAACGTCCGCTCAGTCAGGTTGTCGAGCTTTGCCGAGTCGCACAAGAAGGCTTCAAGCTCTTCGACAACGAGTCCAAAACATACTACTCTCAGACGCAAAAGTGGCTCGCCAATCGCTCGAATGTTGATGCATCGCCAGTTCCACTAGGCTCAGAGGAGCCCACTTCTGCCTTCGCGCTGGAGAGGGTTCAGAAGCAAGATCGCGCTGACGAGAAGCAAAAGTTGCGAGAAATGCGTTTCGAGCAGGCACGTTTTGACCTCTACGCCATGTTGCAACGCCTACACGGAGGTAGAGCCGAGGCACACCTAGCCCAGTGCGTCCTGCAGCTCTCACAATGGCTAGCGGACCTGCCAACCACTCTCTTCGGACGCAATTGGACGGTCTTGGAGCAACAGTCGTCGCTACTAACGCTTGACAGCGGTCTTCGCGAGGCTCTTGACGATCACGCCTTGCAGCTTGAGGAGGTCGAGGCACGCTCACGTCGTCTCGGAGACAAGATTCGCTCGTTGGAACAGGCCTTAGGCAGGGCAGGAGACACTGACGTGGACATCGTGGGTGCGCACAAGTTCGAACTGGAGCAAGAAGCTCCTCAGCCATCGGCTGCCAACGGTGCAATCGCCTCTAAAGCTCGCAAGTTCAAGTCATTCCTTGGCGCCTTTGCAGCCGGTATCAACAGCTCTCCCCTCAATTCGAGCAAGAGTCCAAACCCGGACGCAATTGAGCCTCCGAAGCAGACAGATCCGCTCGCCGTCAACGGCAAGAATCAGGGACCTAGCCTTGATCCTCGACGCCGCCTGTCGCTCAAGCTCAAGGCTGACCGTGGTCAACAAGTCGATGCGAGTCCGTCGTCCCCAGCCAAGTCCCAGGCACCCTCCAGCTGGAAGTTTGACAACATGCCAGCTACTGCACGAAGAGGATCTGAGTTGCTACATGAGGCGGCGAAAGCACGAAATGGCAACGGAAGTGATGTTGTTGTTATAGGCTGGCGTTCCTCTCCAAACGCAGTAAGACCTGCAAGCGATGCGGGCTCTTCCGCAGCCGGAGGTCACGAGATCTCTGATGTGAAGGGAGGAGACCAAGGACTTGGCATCTTTGCACCATCCTCGCCCTCTTCCGTTCGGCTTGCTGACCGAGGTGTCACATCTGCAGCAGCAGCTTCGCCCAGCATTGCGCCAGGCGGCGATCGCAAGAAAGAGGGAGTTCTCTGGGTCATGTCGAAATCTGTCACTGGTCCAGCTGGTTCTGGTGCCCCACGTGTCGTCAATCGGTCGGCTCACTGGCGTGAGTGTTGGGTGGTCCTGTCCGGCTCAGGCCAGATCAGCGAATACGCCGATTGGAAGAACGCCAAGGCACTCGAACCCACCAATCCGCTTATCGATCTACGCTTTGCCACTGTTCGTGAAGCTCGCGGAGTCGATCGTCGCTTTGCGTTCGAGATCGTGACGCGAGACAGTCGTCGCTTCTTCCAAGCGTCTGACGAGGAGTCTATGCGCGACTGGATGCGCGCCATCTCCAAAGCCATCGAGAGCTTGCTCAATGGCACATCAAGCGTTCGCAAGCTCGACCGAGTCGTTCGCGCCTCACCTTTCGGCAGTTCCGATCCAGCACAGCGAGCAGGCATCTTTGAAGAGGCAGAAGATGAGTTCGGTGCAGGAGAAGGCAACGACTTTGCCGTCCGGAGACTCCTTGACGGGACGGGCAAGGCTTTCAGCCAGAGCATGACCGACCTGTCTGGTTCAGCCAAGTCGCAAACCGCCGATCGCAAGGGTCAACCAAAACTCGGCAAGCACCTTGCAACACTCTCCGAAAGTCATGCAGAGGCTTCTGCTCGTTCGTCAAAGCGAAGGTCACGTCATGAGCGTGGTATCTCGAATAAGACACCCATCTCTGGCTATCTCGGTGCAGACGGACTTGGGCTCTCAGCAGCTGATGCGGCCGCATTGCATACTCGTGACGGCACAGGCGTCAGTGATGAAGGATTTCGTTCCTCACTTTCTGCGAATGGCGAGCATGATACTGAGTTCGATCGACAGATCGAGTCCGCAATTCACAGAAGCTATGGCTCCCACGACGACACTGGTACCAGCAACTCTGGATTCTCACAAAACTCAACCACCGGTGCGGTAGACGAGATTGGCATGTTCAAAGGGAAGGACCACAGCAACTCTTTGGATTCCATTGGGCAGGCAAATGCTCAGGGAGTGTCGTCAACGCTCTCATCCAGAGGCCGCAACAATGTGAATGGGAGCGTCGCTAGCACTGCCACGAGCACAAAGATGTCTCGCTCTGCTGAGATCGCAGCTATCTCGCGTCAGCCTGAGAACCGTCGTTGTGCCGACTGTCAGGATAATGACCCTCGATGGGCTTCGTGGATGCTTGCCAATGAGCCTTGCTGCATCTTTATCTGCATCGGGTGCTCCGGTGTACATCGATCCCTGGGCGTGCACATATCGAAAGTAAAGTCGGTCGATCTGGACGACTGGACAGAAGAGCAACTGCATGCTGCAAGGGACTGGGGCAACGCCCGCGCCAATGCATTGTGGGAGTATTCCAAACCTTTCGGACTGCTGCCCTCACTTGGCGATCGCAAAGAGTTTTGGCGGATGAAATACGTCGAGCAGAAGTGGAAAGCGCCTCCTACAACGCAGCCTACTCAATCCAGCCAACAGAATGAACCAGCAGTAGTTGAGGATATGGATGCCACGCCAACCCGTCGATCTGTGCTGATGAACGATGCGAGCACCATCGCAAACTCGTCCTCGGAAAGAAGAAGTCAGAGTCACGCCAAAGCCATTGGTCTCCGTATCGCTCCAGTCGATCAGCATGCTGTCTCTGCTACTCCAACTAAGTTCGCAGAAGGACTTGCATCGCCGAAACCGAACGGGCCGCGACCTCTTCCCAACAGAAGGTCAGTCTCGATGCAGTCGGTCCCGACAAACTCGCCTCCACAGTCGCCACTTGGTCCGGACCAGCTGTACAGCATTAATGAGGGGCTAAGGAGTCCGACGTCACCAAGCACACGTCAGCGCTTCGACTGGACAGTGGAGCAGACTTCGCAATTTCGAGCGTCAGAGGAGCAGACAGCTGACTTCCAAAAACACTTCGCCGCTCCCTCGATGCTTATGGAGACCAGCCCAGGCAAAGGCGACAACGCCTCGCTGCCAGTCTCCGCATCCGTTCCGTACCTGTCGAACATCGGATCACACCCATACGTCAGCCAAGCCATGCTAGCTACCAGAGCAGACCCTCGTCTATTCCCTTCAGAGGCTCCGCAGCTCGCGCCAACAGACTCGAAAATTCAAAGCATCTCTTCATCGCCTAGCTCGTTCTTCGTCTCGAATTTGGATGGACCATCGCGATCGCCGCTCTTCTTTGATGGACCGTTGCCAGGCGAAGAGTCGAGCTGGGACACGGGATCTGAAGCTGACAATTTCGACGGCCGGATATCAATGGGAGAGTCTCCAATCGATGCTCCTGCGCGATCCGAGCCTTACAGCGCTTCACGCGCATGAACGTCAATCTGATCACTTCATCTCTAGTGGCCCTCACCACGTGTGTGCTACTACATTCATTTATACCCACGTATACCCCGACCAGCACACAAAATGCGAGACTTATACCTTCATTCTGGGCAATCCACAGCGATCACTATCAAAGACCATTCAGTGTTCAGATCGTGCAATGTCTTGAGGAATTCTATTGCGTGTTCGTATCACGGTGTCTTCGCACTAAGCAGCCCTGCATCGTGGGCATCAACAGCACCTTGCAAACGAATCAACGACTCCTCTTTACCTAGAAACAAGAACAGATCCGCCAAGGGAGCCCCTCTTTCCTTCCCACTAATTGCAAACCTTAATGGCGCCAACACAGCTGCCTTTTTGACTTTTGACTTTGGCGCTTTCGATCCTCCAACTTCATCTGTTGGCGATTTTGCATCGCTGAGCACCTTGGGCAGCTTTGCGATGACTTCGTGAATTGCTTCTCGTGTCCATTTTTCCTTGCTCTCCCCTAGCTGACTGTACAGATTATGAGCTTCTCTCACTGCAGCGCCAAAATGTGCATGAATCAGGGAGTTCTTTGCAAACAAAGCTATGACTTCTGACTGCTCGAAGCTTGGTCGACGGAAGAGCGGTATGGCTGATTCAGGGACGTCGTATAGCGTTGGTGAGGTACCTTTCGTCAACAGTACTACGTTTTCCATCAACCCGGGGTCGCTTCGTAGTCGATCGCTAACTTCAGGGAACGCTTCGACAAGTTTCGGCTGAATCTTAGCGACCAACTCATCCCTGCCACCATTTGGACTCTTGTCCTCGAGCTTCAACGCCAAATGTCTAGCATTCAGATAATACAGCTTACTCAAGTCAACCGTAGCCCTACTCCTATTGACATGCTTGACATCAAATCCTCTCACCATCTCTTCCATTGTTAACACATCATATCCTGCCTCATCCTCCTTCCCCCTTCCCCCCTCCTTTCCCTTCGCATCAGATTGGTGATAGGCGAGATTATTATACCCCATCAAACCCAAAAAATTAACCAATGCTTCCGGTTCAAATCCCCTTTCTCTATAATTCTCCACCTTCACATCACCCGTCCGCTTACTCAGCTTAGTCCCATCTGCGTTTACCAGGAGCGGCAGATGAGCGAATTTCGGCGGCTCCAACCCAAGCGCCCTGTACAACCAAATATGTTTCGGCAGAGAAGGCAACCACTCTTCACCACGCAAAACATGAGTTATACCCATCTCATGATCGTCTACTACATTGGCTAAGTGGTAGGTGGGCCACCCGTTGGATTTGAGCAGGATTGGATCTCCTGTACCCTGCAGGATTGGATCGGAGGGAAAGTGAATCGAGCCGTATACCAAATCTTCATGATCGAGCGCGGTGGTTGGTGCGCGAAGGCGAACAACGTGAGGTCTGTTAAGCGATATAAGATGTTTAGCCTCACTCTCTGTGGGAGGAATGTAGTTGTCTCGTAACAGAACTTGTTTTGTACGGGCAGAGTCGTCAGCAGGGGCAACAGCCTCAGGTCGAAAGTCGCGATACGCTTTACCATCAGCGATGAGCTTCTCTGCGTGGGAGCGGTATAGATCGAGTCGTTCAGATTGGACGTATGGCCCGTGGGAGCCGCTGGCGGATGGTCCTTCATCGTAGTCTAGTTTAGCCCATTCGAGGGTGTGTTGGAGAGCAGAGACGGAGTCAGGGACGAGACGGGTTTGGTCGGTATCTTCGATTCGGAGGATCCATTTACCACCGAGAGCACGGGCGTAGAGGTGGTTGAAGAGGGCTGTTCGGAGGCCGCCTAGGTGGAGGAAGCCGGTGGGGGAGGGGGCGAAACGGAGTCTGGCTGGTTTGGTTGATGCGGCGGATGAGGTGGATGCGTTGGGCACGGAAGAGGTGAAATACAAGCGTGTTGTCCGAGTGACCGGTGGACAGCTTCTACATGCTCTCGCCGTTGAGAGTCGAGAGCTGGACATCTTGGTAGATGCTCCCTTGTGTGACGGAGAGAAGAGGTAGGATGAACGAGCAAGAGTGGAGGCTTAAAAGATTGACAGCTTCGGAAAAATGGAGAGCGTTGGTTGACACTTCCGATATCCGAAAAAGGTTAGCTGACTGCGCTTTCTTCCTCCACACCTTTGCAGGTGCTGGTCCGCGCGTTGACCGAGTGTTGTTCTCCCTATTCCTGCTTCTCCTTCCGACCCCCCTTTCGCAACTGGACTCATCTCTACTAGTAAGCTCAGATGCATACATAGCGCACAGGCAGCTCCATCTACGAGCGAACTAAAGGGACTGAGCCGCAGGATGGCAGGACATACGAGCTCGCTGGGTGCTCCGCCAGTGTCTGCCTCAGCATCAACCCTCATCCTACTCCAAGTCTCAGCCAGAACCCTCACCTTCATTCTCAATCAGATTTTAGTCCGCCTCGTCTCGCCAAGCATCTTTGGTCTCGCTAACATTCAGCTCGAGCTGCTCCTCTCAACCATCCTCTTCCTGTCTCGAGATGCGATCCGCACTATCTTGATCCGTAACAAGCCGGCCAGCCCAGCTCAATATGGAACAAAACCCGCTGGCCCTACCCAACCAGGACCGAGAAAAGGAACGACCAATTCGGTTCACAACATCGCGCTACTTCCAATACCCATCGGGTTCGCCTTCACTGTGGTGGTATGCAGTGTTTACGCGCTCTACATCTCCCCGGAGGCAATGCGAAATGTGCCGACCTTCTACACCAGCGTAGCGTTGTATGCGGTCGGAGCGGCCAGTGAGCTCACGTATGAGCCGCTGCTAATTCGAGCTGTTCGGCTAGGTCAGCCCTCGCTGAGGGTGAAGGCGGAAGGTGCGGCTGTGTTTGCGAAGGTCACCAGCACTATTGCTGTTATTTTGCTGCTCCCACGGTGGACCTCGGCACCGTCAGCCCTCCGCGTCGTCGTGGCGGATGAGAAATCAGTAGCTCTACTAGCGTTCGGAGTCGGACAAGCATTGTTCGGGCTCACGATGCTAGCTGTGCATATTGCTCACTTTGTCTCTCGCTATTCGATCGGCCCCACCCTGGATTTGTACATTCCGCGACCAGAACACGTCACACGCAGCGATGCTAGAGCCAGGACGCCATCGAAGCGTACTGTGTGGCTAGACAGACCAACACTCTCACTATGCGGCGCTATGGCTCAGCAAGGAATCCTCAAACACGCCCTAACTGAAGCAGACAAGTTTGCCGTTGCCAAATACGCAACCCTCGAAGATCAGGGTGGATATGCCCTTGCTTCTGCCTACGGCTCTTTGATGGCACGGATTGTGTTCCAACCTGTGGAGGAAACTGCACGCATCGTTTTCTCTTCTGAGCTTGTCGCACTTGATCCCGACTTCCCTTCCCCCTCCTCAAGTATACCGCTATCGACATTGGAAAGAGCCAGTTCGATGCTCTCCGCACTCTTCCGCCTCCATTTCCTCCTCGCATGCCTCATGACGACCTTCGGCGGCCCACTAAGTACAGCATTCCTATACATCATGGCAGGACCTCGATGGGCACTAGGCACGAGCGCACCGGAAATTCTAGCTGCGTATACTTTCTACCTGCCGATCATGGGGATCAATGGGATAGTAGAAGGTTTTGTCCAGAGCGTGGCGAGTAAAAGACAGGTTGGGAAGTATAGTAGGGTGTTGATGGGGGCAAGTGTTGGGTTCGTGGGGACGCTGGCGGTAATGAAGGGAGGGGAGCTTTTTTTGGCAAAGACAGGACTGGTTTGGGCAAATGCACTGAGTTTGGGGATTAGAGCTGGGTGGTGTTGGGACTTTCTTATCAAATACTTTGAGGTTGCAGAGAAGAGAAGCGGTGAAACGAGCAAAGATGGTGTACTGGGTGGGATTGCAGCTCGCGTCCGGCCGACGGCGGCATTGCCAGCTGGACCAACTCTGGCTATCTTCGGACTTATCGCCATCGCTTTGCGTGTCGGAGTACCGAAACTTATGCCGAGCAATGCTGAGTTGATTGCGGTCACAGGATCAACTCCGGCATCTCGCACAGTCCGGTTGCAGGCAATCCGTTCGCTCCTACCCACTCTTGCATTGACCGGAGCTTGTCTTGCTGCTGTAGTGGGCGCCATAGCTTTGTACGAGCGGGGTTCACTAGTTGGTCCTCTTCGCCCACTCAGTCGGCGGTCAGCAACGAAGAAGGACGATCGAAAGACTCAGTAGGGGGTTTCAGTTTTTTTTTTTTTTTTTTTTTTTTTTTTTGGAAACTCAAGTTTTTTTGAGTTTTCACTTGCGTTGAATATTTACTTACGTAAGCTCTGCCATTTTGGAAAATACTCTAATTTTTGAGAACAAGGGGGTTTCAGTTATCTCTGAGTTTTGAAAACACAATACTTTGAAAATATGTTTGGGCCCAATTTTTGATGCCCCAAGAAACTGCACAGGCCTGTGATACTTGCATCATGGAGTTTCACTTGACTCAGCAGGTAAAGGCAATTGCTGATTCCCTACACCAGGTCAAGATCAAAGTGATCATATCAGACATTGTTGAACACTATACTAAATAATGCCAAAACCTTTGATTGAAAAGCTAAAGCAAATAGCTTACATCACACCTGTGTCATGGGCCTGGATGCTCAAGAAGCAGGAGGGTCACGGGTTCATATGGAAGGAGCACAGGTATCGAAGATCTAGTCGAGATCAGTAGAGAGCATGGTCGTAGTGCAGTCTCCATGGAGACCATGGACTCCTATGGACTCACATGCAAAGGAGGGCCAAGCACAGCCACGAGGAGGACCAAGCTCAAGGAGCATGCAGATGGTTACCACTCAGGGGCTCGAGAGACAAGAGCCAAAGGAACTGACACTGATCAAAGGAGGAGGAGCAGTGTCGAAGGAGTCGACACCAGGTCATGAGGAGGAGGAGCAGTGTCGAAGGAGTCGACACAGCTCAAGAGGCACAGGGGTGCCAAGCAGGAGAGGCCCCTGAGCAGTACTCGATGAAGAAGGTACTCTCTGGAGAGAGAGAGCAGGAGCAGCATCACTGGCAATGCTGAGAAGAGGTATATAACCATGCTTTCTCATCATCAATAGGTCGAGTGGATCCTCATCCACTCTACTCACCATACAACTAGTCAATACTTTAGAAACACAAGTACTCATTAGTTACAGTCAGCATAGCAGCAATCCATCAAGGTTGTTCCTCATCGTAGTGTGTGTGTTGTATCACCACTACCTGACGTCCGAAGGTGCCCATAGCAGGTTAGCGGTCCGGATATAGATAGAACCGAAGGCAGTAGTCCACTGCGGTCCGGGGTTCACTTCAAGCATCAAGTCAACACACTGGACACTCGTGTTGACACCACCAACCTTATCACCAACACCATCAACCTCATTATCATCGACATCACCAAACTCATCACCAACACCATCAACCTCATCATCATCAACACTCACACCAGACCTTGGTGTCATCATAACATTGATATTGATTGTGCCAAGCTACCCCTGAACAGAGTGTCCACAGAGGTCAGCCGAAACCTACGATAGTATATACCATGAACGCCACCAGCTGTCACTGCACAACTTGATAGTCACTGATACCAAGACAATAGCTGTCGCACAGTTTGATAGTCACCGAGTATCTCGACAGACCGACCTGGGTTTCAGGCACGAGACCCCTGACAACCTGTTCTGATCACTGTCTTCTGTGAGCCTCATGCTGTCAGTTTTGTCTCTCCTGCCATTTGGTGAAGGCCAATGTTGTCATTCCCATCCTTTGAGAATCTGCTGTTGTGTCCTCAAAAGGGTGGCCATGAGAAGCAAAGAGTGCAGTGAGCATCTCCTCCCTAAGATCCAGTGCTTTCTCCTGCCTGAACTTCTGGACTCAGTTCTGAGACATGCCCTCCATTGCAGCAGCCTGTTCCTGTTTGTATTGCTGCTGGTTTTCCCTTCATTGTATCCTTGCATCTTCGGTAGCCTGCTGATATGTGTAAGCCGTCGTGTGCCAGGGACTAGTTTTGGGCATTATTTGTTCAGTATAGATGGGGTTGATTGAGTAAGGTCTACTTGGTATGTTTTGACTTAAAACATAACCAGATGTCTTCAACTGGTAGTCTTGGCTGACTGCCTTGAACACTCCATTCAGAGGTTGCATGGCACATATGCTGTTTGTTGGAGAGTGAGTGATACCCTCTCCCTACAGTATGAGTGTTTGCAGTACTGTTGATAATGCTCTTGGATGTCATCTGGACCATGATATGTTAATTGCCTACAGAGAATGGGAGTTACTGGACTGCAGGTGTGATTCACTGCCTACAATAACTAACTGGACTGCAGGTGTTGAGCAACACTGCCTACAGTAAGGGACTGGACCACAAGTGTTGAAGAACACTGCCTACAGTTGAGAACTGGACTGCAAGTGTCCAGAAGACACCACCTACAGTTGATGCCTAATGGTGATACAACACACACATTTGAGGGTTGTTGCAAGAGCACTGCTATTGCAATGGTACAAAACTAAGAGTCAAGTAACTAAGTAAGTAAGTAGTGTGTGTAGAGTGGATGAGGATCCACTCATATGCTATGATAGAATGAGAGTATTTATGCATTCAATTGGTGTCACCCATGACACCTATCCTGCTCCTCCTGAGGGGCCTTCATCCCCTGTTTGACACTGTCTCTCCTGCTGGCATCAATCCCATTGATGCTGTGCAAATGGTAGGGGCACAGCATAAGGGTTATGCAACACTGCCCTTTCACCTTCATGCTCTCTTTCTGCCTGATGATGTGTGATGACCCCTTTCGACACAGCTCCTTCTCTCTTCACTGGCGACCACCTTCTTGACCTTATCTTGTGAATCCCTTTAGCCACTTGTTGGACCTTGTGACCAAACCCCTTGGTCATGTGGTCACCCCTGTGCTTGGGCCTGTGTGACTATACACATGCACCCCTCAAGTGGTAACCATCTGCATGATGCTGAGCTTGGTCCCCTGCTCCTACATGTGGTTATCTCTGTATGCTTCTCCTTCTAATGCCAGTACCTTCCTTCCTGAGTCTCCTGATACTTGCCCATATCAGCCAACTTGCTGAGGCATGCTGTTCCAATCAATCCTTGTGAGATTAACCCAGAACCCAGAGTTTGGTCAATCTTGTAAATCATATGTGCTACCAGCCCAATTAGCTTTGTCAATTCCTGATGACTTGGCACCGATCAATTTTGCATACCCTTCATATGTTGATCTGTTGATCCTGTGACATTACCATGAATGCTGTCAGTCAATTTGGCGCATCCTTCTTGCGCTGGCCCGCTGGCCCTGTGACAATATGCTTCCATTCCTGACATGGTCTCCAGCACTTCAGCTTCAGATAGATTTTCTGATGCCTTAAGGTATTCTGCCACCTCATCTGGTCGATCATAATGGCTTGCAAATGTATGTGCAATGATACAAGCCTGGACCATATGTGCAGCTTTCTTGTGGTCCTCTTCTCAATACAGGTTGCCTCAAAATCCCATGAGACATTGGAAGTGGTTCTTGAGGTAGGCAATGCCATGTTCAGCCTTGACATGAATGCAGGAGAGTGAATAGTTGAAGTAGTGGAGATCTCTGCTCTTTGCAACTGCAGTGTTGCTGTATGGTCCAACCATGTAGCTGGAGTAGCCATAACCAGCATCAACCCAGACAAACTTGCCTTCATCAAGATGCAAACAAGGCTTCACAACAATACCACTGCCTGAAGCCCAGACTTGCACATCATGTGATGACCCAGGATGTCCAACCACCAACTCAACAATGCACAAGGAATGAGGGAGGAAGACAAGGGCAATGTTGAATGTATAATCACCCTTGTATGAGTAATGCTCACAAGCATTGAGTGCTGGCTTCCAAGCAAGATTGATGTGTGTACCATCTACCACCAACCATACTCTAGACCATTCCTTGACTCCACTCTTATCAGCAACCCATGCTTTTGCCTTAGCACACTCATCTTCAGTTGCAAAGGTTACTACCTTGCTGTTCAGCTCATATAGGCCTGCAATAGTCCTATCTGTCCACTTGTGAACTGAGCCCCAACTGCAACCACAGGCAAATGCAACATCACAAACTCCACCACCATTTCCTGACCATCCAAACTGATATAGACCAACTTCCACTTGCTGCTGAACACACTGAAAGCTTGATATTGATCTGAAGGCATTGGTTGTGCTGAGTCTGTAAGTGAGAGCTTGGAATGCATCTGGGGTCATGTGAACAGCCCCTTGAAAGTCAAACATGTCATCATCAGACTCTTCAAGGTCATCATTAGGGTGCCAAGTGGCATTGACATCCATCAGATCAAGTTGCATCTTGGATTCCACCATCAATGAGTGCATGATGGCAGTCTCAATGTTGTCCAGGAGGTGCTGTTTGTCAGAAGTGTGCACCATGGTTGAAGTAGAGGGCCAGAAATAGGAGATTGATGATTGATGAGTTCAGTTGAACAAGGATGATGTGGTCTGAAAGAGAGTCCAAAGCTACAAACACAACTCAGCTGAGTTCTGCACAACATGCATGCTTGGAACCAGGGCTACATGCAGCATTCCTCCCCCAAGATTATTCTTCTGCACTTACACCAATCAGCATCTTTTATGTGGAACAATTCATCACATTGAAGCAATCTACATTCAAGAGATTACATGGAAGACTGGGTATGGGGTATGCTAGTCAAACATATCGAGAGCTAGCTTTAGAGAGAGCAATCATACAACAAGTTGGAAACACAGGAACAGAACTTGGAGAACTTGAAAGGAACACCATTCTTGCCAAATGGTCTACTCACAAGCTGAATCACTGTTGTCCTGCTGATCCAAGGCATGAACCAGTGGGTCAAGTTCAAGATTGCTTTGACTACTTCCAGCGATGTTGCCAAAGGGTAGATTAGGGTTCATCATCTGCACCATCTCCATGAGCCAACCATGCTCTTCAGTTCACATGTGCTCTTGTCTCTCACTTTCTTCCCTGGCAAATCTCCTCAACCTTGATTCTTGCCTGAAGTGTGTCTTGGGTGCAGGCCCACACAATTTCTGACAGCTCTTCTTGCTTGCTCTTGGAAGGGGAGGGTCGAGACTTCTTGGGTGTTGTACCTGTGGCTGGAGAATGGAAAACAGAGCCACCATCACCATCATCCACTTCATCAGCCCCAAAAGCAGTGCTGGATGAGTGCTGGCAGGTTGGAGTGTCTATAGGGGTAATGGTGAAGGGGGTGGGGCCAATTGAAGACAGGTTGGATGAGGAAGAGAAGGGTGAGCAGGATGAAGATGAAGCAGCAGCTGGGGTGGCTGCAACTGAAGAAGAAAAAGATGAGATAACTCTTGCTCCAATGGGATCATATTGCAACTCCTCAAGAATGGATTCCATGCCAGGAATGTTGTGTCACTGAGGGTAGAGAGCATTGCTGGCATCATCCATGTTCACATCAGCATCAACCAAGTTATTCTGAGAGGAGGCAGGGGGGGCATCATATGGGTGACCAGTGAGAAGAACAACTGGACCAGGCTGTGCATGGTTGGTCATCATCTCATGCCAGTGCTCAAACCAAGGGTGGCTTCAAGCAATTGATTCGCATGTGGCATAGTCCTGCAAGTTGATAACTTGGAGAGAAGAAGCAGCACTTTCAGATGATATCAGACAGTGTGGCAATACAACTTATAGTTATTGAGCATTAGAGTGATGTATGGTGACATGTAAAATCTTGGGACAGTTTACACATGTACTGTATACCTCACAGAGAGCACTAGGCTCTTGCTACATTTCCTCAGTCAATTGAGTATATTTGTTTCTGTCTTTTAGTAGCAGTGACATCGTACTTAGACTCTCCCCGATCGCCAGTTATCATGACCAAACATCTTCACTTTGCAACATTTGTAGCCTCCAACTTCTGATGGCAGCCAGCAAGTTGCTGGTTTCCAATCACACTCTCGATTCGTTTTCGATGACGTAAGCGACCCTTCAGGCAGCAAAGACTATATACACTTGTTTCCGCAATGCTGAGAGGCGCTCGGAGCCTTCTGGAGAGGATGCAGCATGTTCAGCGTGCTTGCGAGGCTTTGAGTCAATCGCCATCGGGAAGCAAAATTGGTCCCGATTCAAGACGATTTCGTTTGTCGGCAAATTTTGAATCCGACTTCCGATATCGCAGGTGTGCAAGGCAACTACGCAGCTGAGTCAAGAAGAAGAACCGAGCTAATGGTTTTGTGTCACTTCAATTCTGTCTTTGTCTGTCTCCATATCCTCACCTCAATACACTTTCGAGCCGGGAGCAGCTTGATTCGGACCGCTCAGCTTGTCAAATATGGCTTCGAGCTCGAAGCTGGTCGGACGAGCTGCCGCCTCGATCGCTCGCTCATCCAAGCAGCCACACACAAGAGCAGTCTCTCGACTTCCCACACTACTCGCCGGTACTAGCAGCACTTCCTCCTCATCAGCATCCACTGTCGGAAGCAAACAATCGTACATTCACAGTCGGCCTTTCGGTGCAACATCAGCAGCACGAAGGGTGCAGCGCCCAGCCTCTGTCGGTCCGTCGCTGACTGTCTCGAACCCAGACTACGAGAAGGACAACGAAGAGCTGCGCTCCCTCTTCGACGCACCGCCTTCCTCCTCGTCAGCAAACAATCTCAGATCGATGGGTCCCGCGACAGGTCTGTTTGAGATTCCATCCCTCACCTCGCCACAGAATTTCCTCGTCCTAGCACAGCAGACATTAGCACGCGCTCAACTACTCGTAGACCGCATCGACCGAGCAGGCTCTGTCGATGCCAGCACATCAGAAGGTGTCAAGGAGCTCAAAGAAGTCGTTCGCAATCTTGACCGACTCAGCGACCTCCTATGCGGAGTAATTGACATGGCCGAGCTCGTCCGCAATGCTCACCCGGATCCAGAATGGGCCGAAGCAGCCAACGCCGCATACGAGTACCTGTGCGGATACATGAATGTACTCAACACACATACGGGCTTGTATGGCGTTCTCAAGAACATTCTCTCTAATCCCGAGATTGCATCCTCGTTGTCATCGGAGGCCACTGCTGTGGCCCAGGTCTTCCTGCGAGACTTTGAAAAGTCAGGTATCCACCTTCCACCAGCAGAAAGAGAGCGATTCGTGCACCTCAGCGACGAGATCTTGGTTCTCGGTCGTGGCTTCTTGCAAGACATCGCAGGAAACGACGCTTCAGACGATTTTTCGCGCAACGCGAGCGCCAAGACGGAAGTCAGCCAAGACGACACCGTAGAGATCCCAACGGACTGGCTGGATGAAGTCAACCTAACAGTACTCAAGGCGGTCCGAGCAAGTGCAATCACCGACCGGGAGGGGTTGCTCACTTTTTCGGCAGCCGACCAACCGTGGGTCTTCCAGACGTTGCTCAAATATGCACCGGACGAGCGAGTACGTAAAGTTGCCTTCCGAGCAGTCAACTACGGCAGCCATGCACAGGTTCAACGTCTCGAACGGCTGCTTAAGGCTCGTGCTGAGCTCGCTACACTGACAGGTGCAGGCTCCTATTCAGAGATGGCCTTGGGTGACAAAATGGCCAAGAAGTCGCAGAATGTCGAAGAGTTTTTGCGCGCTCTCACAAATCACCATCGGCCCCGTGCCTCTGAGGATCTTGACAAGCTTCGCCGTCTCAAGCACGACATCACCACCGCAGCAGCATCAGGTGGCAAGAGCAACTCCACCTTCAACCCATCACCGAGTCTGCCTGACTTTGCACCATGGGATCGCGACATGTATACCGAGCAGCACTTCCGCAGTCCGGCCCTGCGCAGCGTTCAGCCTCTATCACCATACTTGAGTCTCGGATCGGTATTCGCCGGTTTGTCGAGGCTGTTCTCGGCTCTGTATGGGATCAGGTTCAGAGCATCGATGGTTGCACCGGGCGAGGTGTGGAGCGAAGGTCCAGGAGATGTCATGAAAGTCGAAGTGTTGGATGAGAAGGAAGGTGCACATGGTACAACAGGCTCAGCTGAAGGTTTGATCGGAACTATCTACGCCGATCTGTGGAGTCGAGATGGGAAGCCAGGTGGAGCAGCTCACTACACCGTCCGTTGCTCTCGTCGAGTCGATAAAGATGACGAAACGGGCGACTTTGAGCATGGTCGTGCAGAAGACGGTCGAACTCTTCAGCCCGAAGATCTTGGTGGCAAAGGATATGGCAATCCACTTCAAGCGCCCACATTTGAGCAACGAGAGCGACCAGGCAGGTATCAGTTACCTGTAGTTGTCCTCATGTGCGACTTTGCTCGACCAGGAGGTGGCAACCAAGGCCCGTGCCTTCTCGGGTGGCACGAAGTCGAAACGCTCTTCCACGAGATGGGTCACGCCATCCACTCAATGATCGGTCGAACCTCCTACCACAACGTCTCAGGAACACGTTGTGCGACCGACTTTGTCGAACTCCCTTCCATTTTAATGGAGCACTTCGTTCAGTCTCCCCAAGTAGTGTCCATGTTTGTACGTCATCACAAAACAGGCGCAACTCTACCATTCCAACATCTCTCAGCCCATCTCCAAGCATCTAAATCCCTCGAAGGGTTGGATACATATCACCAAATCCTCCTAGCAAGGCTCGATCAGATGTATCACTCTCAACTAGCCTCTCACCCTAACTTTGATTCTACCCAGGCCTATGCCGCGCTGGATAAAGAGATGGGTCTTCCCGGCGCTGTACAGCTGTCCTACGTCGAAGGGTCCTACCCACAAGTGAAGTTTGGGCATCTGTTTGGATATGGATCAACATACTATTCGTACTTGTTGGATAGAGTTATTGCGAGTAAGATCTGGAGTCAGCTGTTTGCAGAGAACCCATTGGATAGAGAGGCAGGAGAAATGTTTAAGACGCAATGTTTGAAGTATGGTGGTGGTAAAGATCCATGGCATATCTTGGCGGATGTACTGAAGGCGGAGAATGTGAGAGATGGAGATTCGAATGCGATGAATCAGGTTGGTAAGTGGGGTATTGAGTGAGTAATCTCCACAGGATTCTTGCAGCTCATTATTGTCCACTGTCGCCAACTCAGGAATAGCACACATCATATGCACAAAGCCGAGTCTGGAGGTCTGCCAAAGTGCCTGCAGAACTGCAAATTGGTCGGTCTGATTGCATTGAAATGTCCGAGTAGTGCCACAATCAAGCCATCGCCAACTTACTATAACTCGGAGGAGCCAACCTGTTCCTAACCTCCTTCCAAACATACAACGGCAAACTACTAACTGCAACAATGACCGCCGTCTTCCACAGAAATCTATACGACAGCACGAAACCCAAATCGAAGAACTCCGGCAAAAACACGATACTGACACAGTAGAAGAACAACGTGACAATCTCCGACAAAATCATATACACGTGCCATGTTGTGATCTCTAACGCTACCATGATCAACTCGTTCACCACCAACGCTGTGAAGGAGATCGAAACGATGTTTAGGAATTCGTTCTCGAAGAGAAGAAGGGATAGGATCATAATTGCTCCTCCTTGGTAGGTTGAGATCATGAGCCAGGTTGTGAAGGTTTTGGCGGAGAGCGAGCGACCTTTGGTGAGATCTTTATAGAGCTCGGGATAGAGGAGGGCGAGGTCTTCGCTGACATCTCTGTCCAGGACGAGAGAGAAGACTGGAGCCATGGTATATACAGTGGCGTAACCAACCATGAGCCAGCCCTGGTAGAGAGCGATGGGCGCAAAGTAGAAGATGCTCGAGAAGACAGCTTGAATGATCGAGATGATCAGACCACGGTGAATGACGAATTGAGCGAGCTTGGCCGAACGCTTGTATGAGTTACGTCCATGCCAGACGAGGAGCTTGGTGAGGAAGCTGAATTGGGTGATGGAGAAGTCAGCTGCGAGGGAAGCTTGCTTGCCTTCTTTACCGACAATGCCCAGACCAACATCAGCAGCTTGAATCATCGAAACGTCATTTCCACCATCGCCGATGCAACAAACTCTCTTGCGAGTATGTGTACGGATTAGACGGGCTACATCCGCTTTCTGTGTCGGCGAACATCGACAAGCCACCACAGCAGTCAGCTGCGTTGCCAACTCGATGAACTCGTCCTTGAACGAGTCTAGACAGACTTGCAACGACTCGCCATCGATGACAAGGCAGCAGTCAAGTTTGGATCGCAGAAAGTCGAGCATATCTCGCACCGCATCAGGTGTTCGCAACTTTGCCACCTGGTGGACATACTGGTTCCTCGCGACGAGTTTGGACGAAATGGCGATACATGTCGCAGTCTCGATCTTGTCTCCCGTCAACATCCATACTTTGATGCCAGCATTCCGGAGGAGCTCGAGTGTCATCTTGACATCTTCTTGCAACTTGTCTTCCACACCGGTGAGACCTAGGAGCTCGAGGTTGTTCTCGAGATGCTCTGCGATGGCCCCTACCATGGCCTCATTACGATCCTCGACCTGTACTCGGGCAGCCTTGTAGGCACGTTCGAAAACCAGCCAATTGTCCTGTGTCAGCCTTCTACGTCCAACAACAAGCGTCCGTAGGCCTTCGCGAGCCATGTTGCCGCACTCTTCATCGAGCCAGTCGTTTTGAGCTACGATCTTGGCCATGACGACATCGGCACCCTTCTGGTAGAAGGTGATTTCGCCAGTGCCACGTTCACGGATGACGATACCCATGCGCTTCGACTCGGAGGTGAAAGGGAAGACTTCGAGAATGTCGAAATGCAGCGTTGAGCCATCGGAGGTTCGAAGCGACACGGAAGTGCGGTCACGAGCAACAAGGCTGAGTCCGACCGACTCTGTCCATCGGACGATAGCCACTTCATCAGGCGAAGAGGCTTGATATGTTATGGACCCGTCGCCCTCGACCACTGGTGTGACATTGTGGCATAGCGCAAGTGCAAGCACGACATCCTTGACACGAGAGCTCATGTCACGTCGTCCACGACCAGCAAGCATGGCGCCTGCTGTGGTGAGCGAAAGGGGTTGCTGGGCTTCCTTCGTCGGACTGCTAAGCTGGGCTATATTGCCATAGAGCTGCTGCAACGCCGTAGCGAACTGCGAAGCCACTTCGTCCATGCTGTCCCAGCCATAGCTCATCGTGCCCATGTGCAATTTGCGGAGCTCCATCTCGTTCTGCGTGAGCGTGCCTGTCTTGTCGGAAAGCAGGTATTCGATGCGGCCGAGCTCTTCTGGCAATGTTGAAGTGCGAACAATGGTGCCAGGGATCTCGTCATCATGCATGATCTGGCGAGCGTAGACAGTCTTCCCCATATCGAGATTGACACGAAGACTGATAGGGATGATGGATGAGAAAAGGATGAGGAAGCGGAAAATGTAGATCCACCATTCACCTTTGAAGCCGTTAAGCACAACAAGACCGAGCGAGAGTGCAAAAGTGACACCGCAGAGAATCTTGGAGAGGCGGTTGATCTCGAGGTCCAGCAGACCGACCTTTGTGCCTGGATGCGATGTGTTCATAACCGCTCTCGTCTCTCGTCCTGTGTAGACGACCATACCGACAGCCGTGCCTGCGGCTAGAACAGTGTTGGCCCACAAGACGTTTTCTGCTGTCAAGGGAGCCACTTGAGGTTGTTGACTCATCGCAATGACTGTGTCGGCAGTGTGTGAATCTGATGAGCTGCGAGGCTGAGCAGCAGCGTCGCTAGAGCCCAATAGGTCGCCGGAAGTGGGAACGGAGCGATGCAGGGTAGGTTGAGGTGTGACAGACCCGTCGTCTGGTGGAGGGTGCAACGTCAAATTGCCGAGGAAGGAGTGAATGTCCTTGATGGGTGGACCGGCAAAGACTACAGCCCGGTCTCCAAGAACCGCGAGCTCGTCAGTAGGCATCCTTTGGGTGAACTCGACTGCCAAACGCAGCTTCCAATCCGTCTCTCCATCAAGCTGATCTGTGCGAATGAAACAGCTTCCATTCGAACCCTGAGAAGCAGAGTCTGCTTCGCCTGTCGAGTTGCTTGGCTTCGATGAGCTGGCATCTGTTTTGGCATGTGACTTCGAGCCAGCTTCCATGTCGTCTTCATCGTCTCCCAGAATGAACTGTGTGTCGTCATTCATTGGTGTGGGCGCAATGGAGCCGCTTCCGATTTCGACGGCAGTATCATTCGAGAAAGTTTGCAGCAGAACCATGTCAGCTGGAACACGCTGATTCTTGTCAAGGACAACAAGATCGCCCACCCGGATCCTGCTACTTGGCACCTGAACCACTCTCGACTGCCCGAGGTCACTGCCGAGCGATAGAGGCTTGTTAGAGCTAGCTTTGCGAGCCAAACGTGCTTGAGACTTGGCGATAGCAGAATCATTCGGCACTAGCAGTTTGAATGGTGCACTGTTGCTTTCGAGATCCCTCTTGCATCTTGCCCAGTCGTCAATGGCTTCTTTGCCGATGGTGATGGTGAGGACGAAAGCCAGAGGCGCAACATATGTGGCAATGAAGCCGATCTTGAGTGCTGGAATGAATTGACTTAATGCGACCAGAAGAAAATAGAGGTTGAAGAAGAACTTGAACTGCTCGTAGAGCACCTTAGGTAGGAAGGTGACAACGTTGTACTTTTGGTTGCGCACGACGTTGGCCGCATACTTTGCTTTGACACGATCCGAGTCACATAACCGTATTGTCCTGCTAAGGTCGCGTGGTGTTCGTTCTCTTGTTGAGAAAAGTGATGCGATGAAGCCAGCTCTGCGAGACCCTATTTGCACTACGGTTGTTGATGGTGGTGGTAAGCCGTCCGAGTCTCCCGAGATACCATTAGGTCGGCGATGGTCCTCTGACTGCCTTGGGGTCAAACTCGGACGTTTCGAGCTGCCTGTTCGCCCCACACCTTCATCACTACTGTCTTGCAACAGCCCTTGCTGCTCTTCTGAATCACGGGCGTTGTTCTGCCCGAAGCGGCTGAACCGTGAACGGGCGTTGCGCGAACGAAAGGCAGCGAAGCCTCCAGTGTCGTTCTGTGAGTGATACGAAGGAGCCGGCGAGCTACGGCCTGCAGACATGGTGCTCGAAGTGGCGATTGGGCGGAGCGGATAGGCGTCTTGGAGCTCTGAGCTCTGGTTGAACGAGGAGACGGGCTGACTGAATCTGTTAGACGACATTCATGAGAGGCGTGTCGGTGCAGAAACGGGCTGTCGAACTGCTTCTTCGATTTCTATGGGCTTGCCATTGCTGTTGCAATTGCAGTTGCAGTTGCCTTTATCGTTCTGTTATGTCGGTCAGAATAAGAGGGATCCAGGTGAAGATGCAGATACAGGTGTATGTGTTGGTTGACATGAGAAGCATGAGAAGCTGCACCATTTGTGGCATGCGCACAACCTCCACGCGTGAGCCATTCTAAGAGCTCGCCCAAATATCGAATCGTGCGAGAAATGCCAAAATCTCGGAGAGACGAAGGAAGCTTCATGCACAGCTATTTCTGGAGTTGGAGGTGACCATCTCCATATTCCAGTTGGAGACTAATTAACACCATTCTTCTGAACTACTATCTCTGCCATCGCAAGCCACAGATCATCATCACGTACGCATCGCGGCTACATACTGACCGGAAGCAGCACAATCGCATCGACAGCCCACCAAAGATACAGCCTCACTGACAAACTCCGACAATCGCACTCTGATTTGCCCTGTAACATTAGAATGACGACCATTCCAAGCCGTCTGGCCCAGACCACACAGATCTCGAGAACACTCGAGGAGGCACGAAAGCGCTCCACCGCGCTCTACCGCAACTTCTACCGATCCGTAAGTTGCTCGTGCACGTCTCGCGGCGGAAGTCATGCCAAGCTAGGTTCTCGACTTGACTGACAACCGACTCTGAAAACCTCGACTCTTGCTTGTACATAGGCCCCGGAAATCTGCGCACTTTACGCGCTCGACGTTCCCTCTTCGACACTTCGCGCCAAGTTCCGAACGCAATTTGAGAAGAACAAGACAGTCAAGGACCTTGCGGTGCTCGACTTGATGCTTCTCAAGGCGCAGCAGGAATACCAGGAGACGATGAACGGTTGGAAGCAGATCCCTCACATCATGAAGTGGTTCGCTGAGGAGGAGGTAAGTAGCATAAATGCATTTGACGTCGGATGGCTCAACACAGGAAGACTGCTGTTGCACTTAAAGCTGCGTTTGATCGACTACAAGCTCTTCGATACAAGATCATGCTTACTGACACCGAAGCTTCTCTTTGCTCGGACATCGACCTTGTCTTTTGGTCCCCTTCTCACGCTTACAGGCACCGGCACGACCGGAAGGCTTCTTGGACAAGTTCTATGCCTCTCGAGACGAGGGACGTGGACCCGTTGGTACTGGTATTTAAGCGCTTGGTGCGCGACCTGTGCTCTACTTTCACGCTTCTTTCAGATCTCGACAATCAACTCTTTCGATTCACCACTTGCGACTGTGATTACACTCTTCGTAACATTGTTTTCATTGACGCATACCAAAAACCGGGGTCGCATGGTGTAAGCGGACTGACGTTCGACATGCTTAGAAATGGGCAGGCAACAAGCAGGGCAGATCGTCCGTATTGTGCACCCGGCTACAAAGATTCGGATTCCGGCGTGAAAGAAGGAGAGGTCCTTGCGTGGTCGTGGGGAAACATTTTGGAGCGAGCGTCCTGTCTGTCAAACGAAGGCAGATCAGCTTCGAGGCGGGGGTCGTCGAGAATTTCGATGTCAGCGTTCAGGAACTATTGTCGTCATTGTCATCGGGACCTCGCGTTACAGCCACCCTACGCTTTGGACGCTGCTCAGCCAATGCAGTTCGGACCGCCTAGCACGAGGGACAGAGCGAAGAAGCATCAAGAAAGTATTCTCCTTCGCAGTCAGCGACTCTGGGAAATTCAAGTATGGCTTGGCGAAGACCGTTCTCGAAAGGACAGTATGGGCTTGCAACCTAAGCATTGGCAGCTTCACGCTGCATCAGCTGAATTCGATGGCCATTCGAAGTCGGTGGATAAGGCCGGGGACTGTGTTCGCGTTTGACCGCTTTCAGGACCCATCGCCGTTGAGAAAAGGCATGTGTCGCACTCTGATCAAGGCGGCAAAAGTGTGTGATAGGCCTCTTCGTCCTGGCGAGCTCTTCGGATAGCCCGGGATGGGCTCACAGGTCAAGTCTCCGGCCTGTTCTTCTGCTCGACTTGCAGAGTTTTATTCGAAGAGTTTAGGCGACATCCTCTTATCGTCGGCGCTTCCGAACGACATGGCATTTCCGAAGCAGGGAGGCTATCATCAGCAAGACGTGAGTTGCCGAGTCGTTGGGAAGCAGGGTCCATCTCGAAACACGCCGAACTGTGAGATGCGCATAGAAACGGAGCGGAGTCTGACATGCGCTCATGGCCCCCCCCCCCCCCCGAAATCGTGGGACCAACGTTTTAGCGACCTGTCAAGAAGCTGATCCATCGCAACAAAGGGTTGCTCGTGGCGCCATGGCAGACTCCGATCATGAGTGGGCGGACTGTAGCTCTGTGAGTGGCTCGCACAATGAACCTGTCAGATCCATGATCATCTTTCTGATTGCAGCCTTGACAAGCCTTGATTTGAAAATTCAGACCAACGCGCAACTTCAGTGGACCTGCAGCCATCAATATTTATCAAAGGGCAGCAGAAAAGGAAAAGCCCCGACGCAAGTCGACAACCTGGCATCTCTTCCTCTCTGTCACACCGGGCAGCATACAGTCACAACACAGTTTGCAGACTTGGAGCTCGAGAGCAGAGCATCGGCACAACCGACTTTGATTAGACCTGTGGCACAGAGCTGTTGTGTCTGCTGCAGAAGAGGGGCAAACAAAGCACAACCCACAACTACTCTCCTTTCCTTTAATCGCACCGCTATGAGGTGGGCTTCCCTCTCTGAAAAGACCGTGATCAGCTTCTTGACACACGGCATTGAAATTAAGCTATCGAGCAACACTTTTCGGCAACAGCGAGAGTAACGGTGTCAGTGTCAGTGCGTTTGGCTTTCGAGGCCGTCTCGTTTGAACGAAATGAGCGGGGCATAGTGGATCTTCAGTGCATACAGTGCTCAAGTTGGCCGAAAAACAGCAACGGAGCGACAGGGAGAGAGTGGCACGCTGGACTGTATGCGGGCCGGCGCTTACTAAACCTGTCAGACCCTCATCAACACAACACGCTCAGCCGTCCTTCTCCGCTGCAGCCCGGCCTTGCTCCGACTCTCGCTGCTGAGAGTCGACTCCATCCACAGGCATATAAGCAAGTTATCCTGTCCGCCTTCTTTCCGGGTCCTTCTTCCTCAGCATACAAGCAGCCTATATAGGGACCCACCTCCGCTACTCATCCTCTCCCACGTCCCTTCTGCCTTGTCCTCCTACCCCTGCCTCACCGTAGTAGCTCACCCATCTCTGTTCAACCATGATCATGTCTTCTCCAGCAAAAATTGACCCCCTCGCGGTCTTTCTCTCTGATTCGGCTAAGGCCTCTTCCTCTAAATGTGGCATTGACTCCCCCACCTCTTTGAAGTCGAGCACTACGGGCAAGTCATCGCCGCGCATGACCGCTGCAGAGACTGCCATTAGGCAGCTCAACCTCAAGTCGAGCCAGCCAACGCCATCGTTCACTTCTCTCCTTCCTTCCTCTAGCTCTCGTCCACTGCAGCCGGTCGACACCAACGTGTGCAAAGCTGAAAGGCAAGAAGCATCTCTTTCCCGCTCGAGCTCCTCCACACCCTCTCCGAAGCTTTCCGCACTTCGAACTTCGGCGACGAAGAAAGTCCGCTCTCCCTCCAGCAAAGGCGTTGTCTCTGGCACTCGATCTGTAGCGAAAGTGAACAAGCTTGGTACCGTCCTTGGCAGCACTGCTTCCGTGACGCTCAAGGGTGCCCGTATCAGCGTCAAGGTCCCACAAAAGCTTCCCTCGCCTCGACTGACACCTCGCTCGTCGCCATATGAGGACCTAGTTGCGCATCTGGCACGTCATCATCTGTTTGCAGAGTCGAAACAAGTCGAGCAGCACTCGATACCGCCCGACTACCTCTTGACTCGGTACCTCGATCTTGCTCACCTCGGCAAGTGCAGCTTGTACCACCAAACCAGCACCTTCCTCCACGCCAACGGCGAGACCATCACCGCGCATGTCAAGCCAGGTCAGTCTCTGCCCGTCAGCGTGCCAGTCGATGTCACCGCCTTGATCAACACGCTTCAGGTTCCTCCCACCCACATTCTCGCCGTGCACTCGGACAACGAAGAAGCAAAGCTCTACGCTGTTCATGGTCTAGTATTGGCTCTCCAGTGCGTCTCCATCCCTTTCCTGCCAGCTTCCAACGACAGGCAAGAAGGTATGAAGGTGATCAAGGACATGGCTACTCTCACACTCCGCGTCCCATCCCTACAACACTTTGACGTCGTTCTTCGCTGGCTTTACTCCCAATCTACCACCTCTCTGCTGTATGAGCTTCTTCCCATCAAGTATATTGTCGCTTATCTCACACGTCGCAGCATCACCAAGCGCAAAGCTTCTGCCTCAGCATCTGACAACAACAAGCATGATTCCGCCGCTATTGCAGATGTCGACGTCTCCAAGCTCTCCACGCTAGACCTGGCGGAGGTCATGTCGACAATGTCGACAAAAACGTTCCTAGAGCTGCTACAGACAATCCAGGCCGTGTGGAAGAACGGTGTCGCGCTAGGCATCGTCTCTTGGAACTTCTGGACCCAGCTCGATAACGCTTGGAATTTGATCATTGGTGCTATGGTTGCATCCAAGCGTCGTAGCCAATTGAAGATGGCTGCCGTGGCAGCGGCGACGGCCAACGAGCTCACTGCTCAGCTTCAGTCTACTCGTATTGAATGATGTCCACACTTTCTCAGCCTCGGTTTCGCATTTCTGTATACTCTCTTGTTCGCTTCTCGTTCTAATCATTTAGTTTTGATCTAACACAGCTAACAGACTGTCCAAATGCATGATACTTCTAGACGAGAAAGAAAGTGAGATGACCAAATGTGGTGCATTGCAAAGGAAACCCAAAGTGATTGATATGACAGAAGCCAGGATTGCAACTACTGGAGCAATGGATCACGGAAATGCTTCTGGTTATTGTTCCTGAACCCGATTTTGGTCTTGTGCTGTTCCTTCCTGTTCCTGTCCCTAAACTCGTTGATGTGTCTCTTTGCCTCCCTCGCTTCACCCCTGTTTCTTGCCTTGATGACCTGTCCATGGCGACCAGTAACCAGTGTACCGTCGCCATCGTGATGACCCATACCGCTCTCGGCAATCAAACGACGAGCGAGGGCACCACCACCGCCGTATCTGCGCGAAAGATCGTCGTGATCGCTCGAAGAACCCATGGGTGCTTCACGCAACGACTGCTGGTAGTAGCGACGCAACGAACGATGACCCAGTCTCGCACCAGAAGGAAGAACAAGTTCGAATTCCGAATCTCCGTAACGAACCTGATCGTCACCTTCCTCTTCTGCGTGTGTGGACTTTTTGCTAGACTTCTTCGTGGTCGTGGCGAGATCTGTCACCTGGTCATCAACCTCCATATCATCCTCGACATCTTCGCCATCTGCATCCTCCCACTCTTCATCCTCATCAGCAGGATACGAACTGGTGAAATCGTAGAAATCGCCCAATTCCAACTGATCCTCTGGATCCGTGTAAGCGATCTTACAGTGGAACTTGTCCAGCATGTGGTTCCTTACCGATTCCGCATTGTGGAACCCTTTACCGCGTCCATTGCAGTACAGACAGATGTTACCGATGCTAACTTTGTCGGAAAGGTATGAGATGAGACCGGGAAGATCGACGAGGTAGTCAGATTCGGGAATGAAGAAGCCGTGAGCTTTGGACATATGTGCAAGGGTGTCTTTGAGTTCGCTGAAGCCAGCTTTGGCGCAGAAGATGCATTCGTGATTCGGATCGATGCGGCGAGAGGAGGCGACCTTGGAATCGATAGCGGCCTGTATCTGCTCTTCGGTGGCATCCTCAGAGATCATGAGAGTGTCTCGGGCGTTCTGCTTCTTCTCTGCTGCGACGATGGCGGATTCTGTGGTGGGTGTGGTCGGTGCTGCTACTTCGTTGGTTGATGTGGAGGTTGAGTCGGCAGTAGGCTTAGGAACACGGAAGACAAGAGGCATCTGTTCTTCGGTCTGGTCAGCAGTAGCGGGTGTGGTGGAAGGACCGGATTGCGAAGCTTTCTTCTTGTCGAGCTTAGCCACGTTCTCCTTGTGCTTCTTAGAGTTGAGGTGATCACGGTATGCGTTTTGCGAAGCGAACTTCTTGTCGCATGCTTCGCACTTGTCGGGTGTGACAGCAGTCTGTGCTTTCTGTGCAAGAGCTGTATGGCGTTCGAGGATCTTGGCGTTGAATACTTCGGCTTTGACAGGGGGAAGGTTCGCAACACGACGCTTCATGTTGTAACGATGCAAGTCGGAGCGGTAATGGGTTCGCTGATCATCCGGGTTGGGGAAGGCAATGCTGCACGAAAGACAGGTGAAGAGAGGGGTGTCATCCTCGTAGCTTTGTTCGTACTGCGGAGTCGAGGAAGGCTCGCCGCTCGCAGATCCTACGATGGTGGCCATTGTGGGCGTCGTTGCTAACAGTGCAGGTGGAGACAGGTGTAACGTGAGCTAGCTCAGGAAGCTCTCGGGGGAGTCGAGGATCGATGAAGGGGAAGGCAGCACGCTAGTAAGTGATGCCAAAACTGATCCTAATGTGTGTGGTGGTGTGAGTTGAGGCTGGGCCAAGAGCAAGACTCAGTAACTACCGAAGCGCAAATGCGGGGCGGCTCAGTCTGACATGCTGATGATGCTTCTTCTTTTGCCGAAAATTTCCAAGGCGAAATTTCTGAGTCTGAGTCGTGCGTGCTGAGTCCGCCACCCTTCTCAGAGTGGAGGAAACAAAGCTCAGTTTTCCGTTACCCTTTTTTTCTTAGGTCCGAATGTTAGCCGTTCGAAGGTTTCCCGATACACGTGAACCCGATGAGATCCTTCGTATTTGGAATTTGAATGTTCTTTGGGTCTAACAACGAGATTTTGCCACGAAAGATTATTGCTCAGGCTGAGGATCGACCTCGGCCGACCTCATTTTATAGCTGGTGCCTTTCGCTCACTTTCGCTTCGTCTATAGTACTGTTACACACAGAGACACCTTCATATGGTTATATATCTTCGCCTGGTCATTTATAATACTCATAACGCATTGAATCGTGAGGGAAGAGTGGTATGAGAAGCCGGATGTTGAAGACCAGGATGATCACAGCATGTGCAGCAGCATGGTGTCAATAGCATGGTCCCGGCTGGCTGGCAGAATCAAGTAAGGCATCACGTGCAGTCTGGTTTCCGGCTCAGGTCGCAGGCACAAAACCTGAGGGAATTCGAGGGTCAAATGCGAGATAGTGGCTCCTCAACCAGAAATTCTGCGCGCAGCCTGAGTCCGAGGCTGATTGACTGCTGCCCGTCAGCTAGCCATTGAATTCAAGGCTGAGCAGAGCAGTGCAGCGCGCCGACCTAATCACATCAGCTGTCCTTGCTCGATCTTGACTACGACCTTCGTCATCGTCCATCACACTAGATCCATCCATCATGGTAAGCATTTCCGCCAATACACTCGTCGACAGCACGATCCAACTATATAAACGCACACACATACACATTAGGAGCGCAGACCGACCCGACCCTCGCGCCTTGGAACGAAATCGCAGCCACTCCGCACGATTTTTGCAGCATTTGAACCTCGACCTCTTTTCCGACACAACTCGACCTTCCCGACTATATCACCTTCTCGTGCTCCTTCGACGAGTGTCTCTTTGCAAACCACCATCGATCGGCTGCTGATTCGATCCGCATCCGCTTCTGCACATTTCATCTCAAACCTCGAACAATCAACCGCATTTCAACACTACAGATGCAGATTTTCGTCAAGACTCTGACGGGTTAGTATTCATCTCGGCACTCGACCGCAATCGATCTCATCCATCGCATCATCGACGCAGGCTTTCATGCAAACATTGGCATAGGACATGATGGAAAGGATTGCAGATGGAATGATGGCGGGCAAATCACCACGTTGCATCATAGGGGGATGGCTTTACGGCCGCAGTAGTGATGGACAACGAGTCGGAGCGTGATACGACGACAATTTCATGCAGGAAGATCGCCGCAGATCATGGTGATCAAGCCTTGCCTGGTGGTAGTTGTCTCGAAGCAAGCGTCAGGCTAGGCGTGTCAGCCTGTACTCTCTGGCCTAGCGAATTGATCCCGACGTCTGATTACGAAACAAGCAAGGATATATATGGCAAACGCGATCACCAGCTTGGATCTGGTCAAGGGAGGTATAACTGATGCAACGGTGAAGAATAGGTGGGACAAAGGGATTGTGATGTGATGCTAAATGAATAGGCAGGTTATGGCGACACCATGACAGCGACGAATGAGATCGATTGGAACCACGGTCTCACTTTCAACTCAATTGACCCCAACGGCAGACTGACCCCTGCGCTCTTCTGATTACACACCGCTTGTGTACTTATCTCACGCATCCCACCCACAACAGGTAAGACCATCACCCTTGAGGTGGAGTCTTCCGACACCATCGACAACGTCAAGGCCAAGATCCAGGACAAGGAGGGTATCCCCCCCGACCAGCAGCGTCTCATCTTTGCTGGTAAGCAGCTCGAGGACGGCCGCACCCTCTCGGACTACAACATCCAGAAGGAGTCCACCCTTCACCTTGTCCTCCGTCTCCGTGGTGGTATCATCGAGCCCTCGCTCAAGGTTCTTGCCGGCAAGTACAACTGTGACAAGCAGATCTGCCGCAAATGCTACGCCCGTCTCCCTCCTCGTGCCACCAACTGCCGTAAGCGCAAGTGCGGTCACTCGTCCCAGCTCCGACCCAAGAAGAAGTTGAAGTAAACTATTCGCCTTTGCACCCATCAAAAAGTGTTCTCGCGTTTCGGTTTTCTCTTCTTTCTTGGCTTCGATATCACCTTCACACAACATATACGTCACATCAGCAACCACCATGCAGGTGTTCTGAAGCGCGCACCCTCGTGTTGTCTTTCTTGTATTCTCATACGCACTCTCAGTAAACTAAGGCATTCGGCCTACGTTGCGGTATTCACTGCGACATTCGTCGTCAGTTGTTTCCAAACACACACACTACACTTTCATTCGAGCCTTCAGAAGGTTTCCCGTTAAGCAGTGGGGGCTGATGAGGTCTTCGAACCAAAATGCATCCATTTCTCCTAAAACAGCGTCATTGCTTGGTTGATCCCGTCTGTGCCATCCATTTGAGCTCAAAACACATCCGTGCAACTGACGTTCATCATTGAGAACAACTGGAATGAAAATACATTGTTTTGCGACACTAGAAGTGGATTCTGATGCGACGATGAGACTTGCTTTGCTTTTTCGACTTGCTCCCCACGGAGATGCCGAGTTTAGAGCGGAATACTATGCAACTTGACCCATTCCTCAGGTCTTGCAGTACAATCGTACACATCAACAGCGACGAACTCTACCTCCCCAAAGTTTCTGAAGCTTATCCCCTTTCCTTGTTCCTCTTGGCCAAGTGTTTTTTCGACTAGATCTTTGAAGACGCCTTCCTTCTTCATCTGGTTGATTTGATCATGTGCTTCCTGGGTAGAGATTGATGAGTAGAGGAGAGATATGTGTGGGAAATATTCGCTTGGTTTAGCTGCGTTTGGTGGTGGTTGGAAGTGTTTATCGACCAGTCCTCGAGCTATTTGGTTCAGGCGGAGTAGATGTGGATCTTTTTGGAGGGCGATTAAGATGCACTATCCAATATCATCGAAACACAACGGCGTCAGCAGACCTTTCATCTAGCAGGCAAAAGGGAGGGGGGAGTACGAACCTGAAAATAACTCCCCCTAGTCACCACGTCTTCGAAACCAACACAAAATCCAAAACCCTCCTCCACCTCTCTCTCTTTCCTCCATTGCTCAACAGCTTGTTGTGTAACATCTCGCAATCGGTCTCCACTGATATCTCTGTCTCCTAAGCCAGCTAGGAGGGTTGCATGAACACCGACCTCTTTAGAGCTAGTTTTTGGGTTTGCCGCTCGAAGTTTAGAAGATTCTTCCTTGACCGCGGCTGTAAAAGCAGAGTCTGGGGAAGGAACAAGCCAGAGTGCTAGACCTGAGAATATGCCCGTTGTGGTCGCGCCGGACATCGTGAATTGAGGGTAAGGCAGGAGGAGAGGTGGAGATGGTTAGGAGGTGTTAGGTTCTGGTTTCGTGCGCTTCGCGATTTAGGCTATGGATTCGTAAGTGATGTGAGAGAGGGCATGGATAATGGTAAGAGACTCACCCATGACGAAAGAGGAAGAGAGAACGGAAGGAAGTAAGAGGAAGTGACAGGCTTTCCAGACACCATGGAGGAGGGTTTGGAGTTGGTGCATGCGCAGCTGCCAAGGATTCAGCACCAGTAAGTTTGAAGTATAAGACACCACTTCGTCGGGGCTACGATCAAGCTCCCTTCGCACAGGTGTATGCTAACTGCAATGCTTATCATATTCAAAGGGAATGAGACTATGGACATGTGTATATATATCTTTGACACTACCTTAGGAGAGGTTGAGTTGCCCCTCTTGCAGTGCTCCTGAGTCATCACCATGACAAACCTTCATGCATTTCACTGTTGTAATAAAGGAATCACTCGGTGACTATGATCGGGAGATATCTGCCACAGTACGGTGTTCAAGCTAAAAAGCAAAACACTATACTATATTGACATGCTAGAAGTGAATGTGGCGGGAGCCTCGAGCTCCCTGCTAATCTTATATACAAACGTGTGGCACATGCCCAACAGTGGGCGTATTCTACCTAATGACAGTGTGTAGCAACGAGTGGGACACGGTTACATCCGATCTCTGTCTCGTATCGGTTCAGCCCGATTCTCTGTCTGATTTGTCTCATCCGATCCCGATCAGACCTACTTTACCTGATCGCCGACTGAATCTGCTTTGCCCGATCCTCTACAGATCTGATCTACATTATCCCTAGATCGGACTAGATCGCAATCTCCAACATTCACATGTCTGACTAAGCCTGTGAATAAGCGGCATAAGTGAAATCACATGACCTCCTTTCCTCGCTCTAACATTTCTGCAAACCTTGCTCACCATCGCCACTCATCACCACCCACCAACACTCCTCACCCCTATTGTAATTGCATATGATTACACATGTCATCTCATTCCTCATATGAGTAAAAACGCATGACTGCTTAGTCATTTTCCGACATTTCCGCAAACCTCGCTCAGCGTCGCCACCCGTCAACTCCTACCAACGTCCGACACCCACCAACGGCCCCTATCTCATTTAACGAGCATGTGATCATACGTGGCACCTCACCTTCACACACTGACCATAGAAGCATATATACTCTTGATATTACTGTGCTTAGCTCTCATGCAATGACAACGATTTACCGCTCGCTATCTTGACCTGACCGTGTCACATACAGATCATCAGTAGAAGCATATATACCTAGCATTGCTTTGTAACTAGTCTTCTCCAATATAATGATTTGCCATCCGCTTTACCGCTCCTCGATTGTGCATTCCTCAACAGCTTGTGCATTCCTCAACATCAACTGCACGTCCTCCACTCACTCTGGGCTCTTGAATTGAGAAATTTCGGCAGCAAATGACGAAATTGACACCTGCTTAGAACGTCGGTACTTGCGAATCTCCTCTCACACAGATCACGACAGGCTCACTGGGACTAGAAGGGCACATCAAACTCACAACCAGAGGAAAGTGTCAAAGCAATGTCAAAGCAGCATTTCGTTGACTATCAACTACGACTTTTTGGCAAAACACTCCGCATACCCACCTACGCAAAGGCGAGTTTACTTCATGATCTTACCGTCAGCGAAAGCCTTACCATCAATGGTAGCCTCCCAAGCCATCATGTCCTCGAAGAACTTCTTGTCCTCAGGCTTGCTAACATCCAAAGGAGTGATGCTGTACGAGTCAACATCCGGAGCGACCTCTAATACCGACTTGGGGTCCTTACCACGGCAAATCATAACACCCGAAATCAAGTTGTTGTTGTTCTCACCAAAGACACCCAAGGTACCCATGGTGTACTTGCGGCTAGCCTCAAGACGGGCAAAGAAGCCGCCGATGAGGTTGTTCGACTGGAAAACGGCCTGGAGCTCGTCGTTGTACTTGTAGTCGAGCTTGACGATGGAGTAACCCTCGTGGTCGAAGTGCTCGAAGAACCAGGGGAGGGCCTTCTCGCGAGTGTCCTCGTTGGAGTAGGTTCGCTTCCACTCGTCAAGATTGAAGGAAGACTTGGGCAAGTCGTCCAAAGGGTTCTTGGGCTTAGGAGCGGGCTTGGGCAAGTCGTCCTCGTCGTCATCCTTGGGGGCGGGGGCAGCCTTGGGCTTCTCAGTCTTGGGAGCGGCGGCAGCCTTGGGCTTTTCCTCCTTCTTGGGGGGAGTGAACTTGATGTTATCCTCGGCAAAGGCAAAATTGCTGAAGATCTTGAGAACCTTGGGCTGGTTGGTGACGGTCTTGAAGTATCGCACGCTGTTGGGGTACTTGGAGCGGAAGTTGACACCACCAACACGGCCAAAGGCGAAGGAAAGGTCAGAAGCGACGGTCAAGTCGGCAAGGGTGACGCGGTGGCCAACAAGGAAGGTCTTGTTTTTGAGCTCGGACTCGAGGAAAGCGAAGGCACGGTCAAGGTTCTCCCAGAGACGCTGCTCAGCGGCCTTGTTGTAAGGGATCATGCCGTTGCAGAGGAGCATAAGCTGGATACCGTTGTTGAGGATCTCGTCGTCAGCAAAGGAGATCCACTGGTCGACAAGGGCAGCAGACTTGGCGTCAGTGCCGAGGAGCTTGGTGTTGTCCGAAAGGCCGGCAACTGCGAGCGGTTGCAATGCAAAGCGTGGAAAGATCGGAAGGAGAAGCAGCAGAAAGGTCAGTTTGGTGATCTATCGACGTAGCGAATAATGCTAGTGCGTGCCTCTGCCTTGCTCTGCGTCCATCGCCTTCCGGAGAGTGAGTTGAGCAGTTGCAAACAACTGCCAACATTGCGTGGGATCAGGGCATTATGCTGAAAGAAGTATCCTCGACATGGATGATTCGGACAGGGATAACTGTAAAAGATAATCTCATCATTGGAGTGGCAGGGAAGGGGTGGGCGATGTCGCCGGTTGCACGAGCACGAGCGAGCAACGGCGTGAAGGAGCTGGAGGGGCGAGGCGAGAACGAGGCGAAGCAGAGGCGCAAGTGGCTGAGAGATGAAAACGTACCGTAACGAGCAATGGCCTTGCCCTCGATGAGGGAGAAGCCGTCGGTGCCCTTGAAGCCGGGGATCTTGCCGTAAGGGAAGAGGGCCTTGTACTCGGGCTTCTTGGTGTCGCCCTTCATGGCATGGGTCTCGACAACCTCGACCTCGAGGCCGTTGTAGGCGGCAGCACCGAGAACCTGAACAATGACGGGGCAATGGCGGAAGCGGGGAGCAAATGTCAGCAATGGTGTTCATGTAGCGATCCAAGACTAGAGCGATGTCCAGAAGTCGAATGTCATGCATTGCTCGCGAAGCAAGATTCTTGCCACTGAACCGTGGTGGAGTCCGCTGTTGACAATACTTACTCGGTTGACCTTGGGGTGGCCGACGTAGCCGTAAATCTGTCCGATGGGAGCCATTTTGGTATATGTGATGTGAGGGGGGTGACGAATACGAAAGGGTATGTGGTAGGGAACGAACAAGTAAGGAGCAACACACAGACCCAAAGTGTATCCAACCTCAGCTGGCCACAACGAGCAGAGCCAGCGCCAAATGGCCAATCCAAATTTGGCCCACTTTTTTGCTCGTTTGTTGGTTTCTTCTTCCAGTTTCTACAATCAGAAAAGGCGGCACACTTTCTGCCGCACGGTCGCTCTTTCCTGACAGAAAAAAATTGAGAATTTCTTCTTGAGGGCTTTTTTTTTGGTGCTGCTTCTGCGCTGTTTCACCTTTGCCACCACATTTTGACCCAATCTGAGTCTGTCTCTTGGAGAGGCCTAACAGAAAGTTCGGAAATGCAGGTGCGTCAAAGTGTGCATGATAGTTGAAAGTAGAAACACCACTTCGTTGGGGCCACAATCAGGCTCCCTTCGGACAGATGTGTAACTGCTACAAGTCTTAGTTATTACGAAAGAATGGAGGCTACTAAACATGAGTATATATACTCTAACACCACCACTGACACTCGTCGAACTGTCTCAGGTGAGTCGTGTATCTTTCCTGCATAACTCCAAACCGTCTGTCCAGCGGCAACCCCTTTCATAACCGTTGCCATGTCAACGCACAGCTCGACATACTTCGTATCTCGGCGTCAGCCCTCGAGAGTAAGCGGCGTACGTTCCCACCAACTTCGCCTTCATCTCGGTCGCGCCAACATTGCGCTTAATTTCGGTCTTCTGGTCCCGAATATTCCGACTTACCATATTAGACCCTGGAAATTCCGCCGTATCTTCAACTATTATCGCTTTACCGAGTGTGACACTCACTGTTCCTGTCACATTGTCAGCAACGATGCGGCACTGCAATCACAAGGCTCTCATTTCATTGGTGGTATTGTCGAACGAAGAAAGGGAAGAACGCACACAGTCACGAGTTTGTATCGACTAGGGATGCATTGAAAGACGATCGAATGACTGATGGCAGGTACCACATGAGGCGCAAAAGCCTCAACGACTCCCTAAACACGAGCAAGCCTCTCTTTCGGAAAGAAGATATGATTTGAGCAAGGTGTTCCGGCTTTAGAGCTCCTCGTGGTGAGGAGCCTCCTTCGCAGGAGGAGCCTGTTCAGTGTCGGTAGTGTCGATAGGGTCAAGGTCAACCGAAACCTTGTGCTTGCCGTTAAGAGCAATGAAGTCAACAAAACCCTCAAGCGAACGGTCACCAGTGAACTCGATCCAATCCTTGCTACCAGCGGCCTGGAACTTGATAGTGGGGAAAGACTGAACCTGGAAGCTAGCCGAAGGAGGAATGTCGTTGGCAGTGGCGTCCATCTTGGCAATGAGAACCTTGTCCTTGTGTGCCTTGTACTTCTCACCAAGAGTGTCGTAAGTGGGTGCAAGCTTCTTGCAGTGTCCGCACCAGGGAGCGTAGAACTCGATGAGCTTGTCCTTGCTGTCGTCACCAAGGATGGCGTCAAACTCGTCGGCAACAATAACGTGGACGGGTCCGTCCTGATCCTTGGGAATGGGCTCAGACTTGATCGAGGGCTTGATAGCACCGGAGCTGTACTTGGAAACGAAATCGGTAATCTTGCCAACAAGGTCGCCAGAGAGGTCCTCGAGAGGGTACTTGAGGTTACCCTCGATGTCCTGGATGGCGAATGCGGGCCAGTTCTCGCCCTGGATGTTGAGCGCTTTGGCGTGTGCAGAGTACTTGACGGCGTCGATCCAGACAAAGTTGAGCTTGCCCTTGTTGGCCTTGGCGATGGGCTTGAGCGACTCGATCTGAGACTCACGGTCCTTGGACTCGGGATCAGAGAAGAAGTAAGCAAGGGGAAGACCGGAGTCGGCGTAGTTCATAAAGTTATCGGCGCTAAGCTCGTCAATAAGAGGAATCGACTGAGCCTTGAGGAAGTCGGTAAGCACCTCCTCGTCGAACGACTTGTTCTCGAGCTTAACCTCGGGCTCATCGAATTGACGGTATACAACAAAGGCGGGCGCTGAGACATTAGCGGTCTTGGCGAGAGCAGCGTCCTGGACAACACCGAAGAGGTAGTTGTCGCGGAGCTTGTCGGCGACAGCGTTGACGGCGTCAAGGTGGGTCTTGTCAGAGGAGTCGACAAAAGCGATAGCAACAACACGGTCCTTGCTCTTGAAGTCGGCAAAGTTGTCGGCAGTAACGGTGGAAAGGGCGGGGAGGGCCTGCTTCTTCATGTAGGAAACAATGCCGTCGGCCTTTCGGTTGCCGTTGTATTCGGTAGAAGAGCCGGATCGGAAGACCTTGAGGGTGGGGAAGCCCTCGATGCCGTGCTCGGCACAAAGGTCGTTCTCCTCAGTGCAGTCGACCTTGGCGAGCTTGATCTTCTCAGGGAGGAGCTCGGTGGAGGCCTTTTCGTACTCGGGAGCGAGAGCCTTGCAGTGACCACACCAGGGGGCATAGAATTCGACCAGCATGAGAGGCTGTAGACGCAACGCGGAAGAGGGGTGAGAACGAATAGTTAGGTCAGTGAGAAGCTCCTTTTGTGTGACAGGACACGAAAGAAGCAGCACTAGCTGCAGCGGTCAGAGCTGCTGACAGCTGACATGCGACAAGCGACGCTCTATACTCACCTCATTCTGGGTGCTAGCAGTGAAGTTGTCCTTGCAGAGAACGAGAACGTCAGAGGTTGACGACAAGGCCTCAGCAGAGATGAGGGTGGCGGCAGTGGCCAGACCGGCCGCGATGGCGGAACGAGAGAATCGCATCTTGAAGTGGTGGCTATGAAGGTCGGTGATGAAGAGTCAACTTCTCTACCAAGATCGGAAGGGTGAAAAGGAAAAGGGGTGGTAGTGGTAGTGGTGGTGGTGGTGGAGTTCGAGTTAAAGCCAGGGTTGACAGACAGCTTCTCAAATATAACTCGATGCTTGTCGGAGCTGGTTGATTGGCTTGCTTGCTCGAACAGCAGCCAAGCACGAACACAAGCGAAGCGCCGAGGCTCGGGCAGCACAGGGCAGATGTGCTTGCTCAGAAGACCCCGTGCAACCAAGGACGGTTGCCACAGCAAAGCGCGAAGAAAGGTCAAGGCGCCGACGTGGCAGGTATGAGCTCTCGCACTCGCACCACTGTTAGGCACAAGCGAGAAAAGGAACCAAAGGGGACAGCGCGGGTCGGCAAATACAATTTGGTTGACTCGAGAAGAACGAGGTTCGTGCTCTGCTCTTTTGCCTTGGCCTGGAAACTCGGATTTTAGAACTTTCTTCCACATCATCGACTTTCCGTTTGCCTGCCTGCCTGCCTGAGCGCGGCGGGGCACGCGCACGATGCAGACCTAAGGCAACAGGCAACACGCGTCCATTCCTTCTCAGACCAACACTCACACTTTCCGCCAAAAGCATAGAAATAGCGCCCTCCCGATTAAGACTCGTTTCACTAGACGCACGGTTGCAATGCTCACAATGAGTCTGGCTTCATATTCGACACCTCATGCTGGAATGCCAATTGCACGCCCTCTGCTTGATCCACCAACACAAGATGGGGCCTGTGCTTTCTCTCACTCTTCCCACACAGGCAGCACCTGCAGCATCAACTACTAAAAATGAAGTCACGACCTGTGTCAGGACCTTTCTGTATCTGCGGGACAATCGTGGCGTGCAACAAGTTTGACGTGGCCCGTACTGTACTGTACTGTGAATGTGGCCGATGGGACGATGTTACATGTGCAAGTCGCGACGAATGAGCCTCTCAGTAATCCGATCGAGAATGAAGGTCGTCCATGGAGGTCGCTCCGTACCACCGAATGCTGCTTCGGCGATCGTCTGCACGCTTGCTTTCAGTTGTGAGGGGCATCCTTCCTCCGTCTTCACTCCAGCGGCAGGATTCCAGGCAAAGATAGACTCGCCAATGGCATGGGTTAGATCGCGCACCTCATCTGCGCTGGGCGCCTCGCTCGCCGTCAACACTGTCCAGAAAGCGTCTGCCTCTGATCTTGACAAGCCGCCGATGGGCAGCTCATCTCGCTTTGCCGTCAGATGATCAACGATAGCCTCTTGCAGCACTGTACTGCCCTCGAAGAGCGCTTTCGCATGTTGCTGAGCCCTCAGTCGCAGTATCGCGAGCAGGCCAGGCTGCACCAACAGCTGCGGTTGGTTGCCTGTGTCACCGGTCATGTCGTCTGAGAAGAGCCGCTTGTAGTGATGTCGATAGAACTCGTCAGCGAAGCGGAGGTCTCGATAGTGTCTCAACCATGCTCTCGTGTCTTTCTGTCCCAGCTGCTCGAGATGAGCAATCTGTGCATACGTTGGTAGCATGTAGGTCTTGTCCATGGTCAGACACTCCATCACCACAGTGCGTAGCAGAGGGACCACCGCATCACCCCGTCCAGCACCTTCAGGGCGTGCTTGTGTCGATACTTGCGACAAGCTTCGCACCAGCTCTCGATGCTTTCCGGTAGCTGCAAACCCACGCATCGCCTCTTGAAGCTCAGCAGATCCCGGACCTACCACCGCAGTTGCATCAGAAGACACGTCCATCGGAGCAGTCTCTTGTGCTCGCGTCGACAAGCTTCGACTGGCGTGCGGATCGGCCAAATAGTCCAGATGAGCCGTCTTGCGTTTGACGAACAGGATCTGCGAAGCCGTCGAGGATGAAGCCTTCGCCACCAACGCTGCCGATCCCGACGCCCCGGATCTAGCACCCACTGACTTGCTGTCAATACTAGCCGGCCAGTATCGAAACGTTGCGCTTTCGATCGGCCCAACCAAGCGCTGGTTGGGTAGAAGAAGCGGTGTGAATGCTGGGGCATCGCTTGCGGTGGTCTCTGCTGCCGCTGCAATCTTGACTGGCAAGCTGACTAGCTGGTTTGTGTCGATATCGGTAGCGACTAGCAGCCTCGGCTCGATGGCGAAGTACCACAGATGGCGGAAGGCTTGCAAATGAGCACGATTGTCTCCACTCGACCGAGGGAACGGTGGCAGGAAGGAGATCAAGAGCGCAGCGACGCCTAGATCCGAGGTGCCGAGAGTGAAGCGACCTCCACCGAGGAAGAGCAAGCCCAATGCCATGTGTGTCACCATGTGACTACCGTAACAAGTCTCAGCATCGACATCGCCATGTGCTCTGCGCAGGTGCCTGAGCAAATCCACATCTCCGCTTCCAGCCATCACCATGGCAAGCGAGATCCTCACCTGATCAAGGGCTGCACGAACGGCTGCCCTGCGAATCTTGGAGAAGAAGGACACGGTCTGCACTTTGACTTGCTTTTCAAGAGTGTCGAGCTGCATCCAAAGGCGGTCTCGCGCCGTCTGATCTTTCGAGCCTGCGTACTTGAGTCCGATAGCAAAGCACGCCCCGGCTTGCATATTTATCTGTGCCAACTGAGCTGCTTCAGGCAGCGGCTTTCCGGTCTTGATGCGCTTCTGCATCCATTCGGGCAGGACTCCCTCAAGCCATTCTCTCGTAGGCTCTATTGAGTCCCACAGTATGAGTGAGCGTGCAAGGACGTGAGCAAAGAGGACATCAGGTCGAAGCATGTCGAGCTCGCCTTGTGTCTGCGGAGGTCCCGTCACGTCTGCGATCATGTTGTTGTTTGAGCGCAGATAGATCAGACCAAATGCAAGGGCAGCCGGTCCTGAGGTCAGGTTGATCTCGTGCCCAACTTTGACGCCTTCACCCATGGAGACCTTGCCCGAAAGCGAGACGTCATCGTTGGCGTCGCCGCTCCCCTTGATCAGATGTGCCAAACGTGCAATAATGCGCTTATCCGGTAAGCTCTTCATCCCGTCGCTTCGGCCTTTGCCCAGGTAGACTAGACCCAGCGCGAGTCCTGCAGACAAGGAATAGGCCTCACGGTGCTGCGGCTGAATGTTAGGGACGGGGCACTCTTGAGCACCGATCTGGTCAAGCATCCGCTTGGCCGTCCAACGATGGTTGCTGCCAAGGAATACGAGTCCCATGGCGAGAAGCCCAGCTGTCTGTGTGATAGTAGACAGGTTGAGTGGAGCAGAGCCCGGCGGCAAGAATGCGGTGAGCTGCATGCCGATAAGGTGCCGCGCTGTCGGATCGGCGGTGCCGACGGTGGAGACAGCCATTCCAAGCAGGAAGCCAATGGTGAGCAGATTGTTGCGCATCTTGAGATATCGGAAGACATGGACCGGCGTCAATGTGGGCAGTTGCCTCATCAGACCCAGGCCGTACAAGAAGCCAGCATGGCGTGCAGTCACCTGTTCGCCGAGGTGCGCAAAGATCCACTTCGAGTCGATATGCATCCCTCCCATCAAGTTGAGCTCAAGGACCGAGGCAACGCCGTTGTGGAACTCGGGCCAATCGAGTCCAGCCGTGTCAGCCTTGTTGTCGGGCTCGATGGTTGTGCCTCGTGGGCGCACTTTTACTGCCAAGCAGAGAGAAGAGATTCGCCATTTCTGAGTCGGCGTGAAGGACCGCGACGTCATGAAAAGCATTGCTCGACCCGGTGAAAGGGCCTTGGTGCGCTCACCTATGGCAGCCACGGCGGCATTGTGCTGTTCGGTGATGGAAGCTTCCGTCTGGTTCTCGCCTTCGGCTACGTAGACTGAGTTGACCGTGTCCGTCCTCAGCATCGCTACGACGTCGCGAAGTCGGAAATCGCGGCTGAACAATTGAGCACAGATGGCGTCAAGTGATGCATCTTCCGGCAGTGTGCGGACAAGCTGCGTGGGAATTTGGCGAGCACTGGCGGTGCTCAACGAGCTTCGTTGCATAGAAGTATTCATCACGACTTCGGCGCGTTGAACGATCCGGTAGAAGTCAGCACTCTTACCACTCGGGGGGTTGATCTGACAGCACCTCAGTGCTTGGTATAGAGGCAATGCTACTCCGAAAGGCAGCCTCCTTAACCTTTCCAGGTCCAGGCCATGACTAATCATCGCCTCGACAACAGAGGTCGAAAGGTGTTGATGACCAAGATCTGCGCGAGCAAAGACAGCATACGTCTGCAGGAGCGCATTGATCACTGGGAATGCTTTCGCGGCATCGCTTGACGCCATCGACGTGCCGTCCTCCTTGAGATCGAGCCAACCTCGGAGCGTCACCATCTTCTCGGCGCTTCCCGAGAGCTTGCTGGTAAGCACTTGATACAGGTCCTTCGGAGGCGACTCGAAGCCCGTTGCGCTGATTGACTTTGTTTGAAATGATTCGGGCTTGCTCTCATGCTCAGCGTTGCCGACCGAGAACCGTCGAGAAAGAGAGTCGATCCAGGCTTCAGCGCTATGCTGATGAGCTAGAGATACAGCCAGTTGGGCGATCTTACTTGCCTTATCGTGCGAATTTGACGAGTCGAGGCACGTCTCTTCGGCAAGAAGGTAGAGCACCGACGCGGCTTGATGTGCTTCTGCTGCTTCTAATGTTTCTGTGATTGCATCTGTTGCCTCAGCTCTGTGACCGGCTGGCTGTGCAGCTTGCAGAGGTGCGAGGCAGGCCATGAGCGGATCATCACCAAATAGAAGATGAGCCAAGCTACTTGCTGTCGATCCAGACTGAACATCCTCCGGGTCGTGTGTCAAGCTAGGGCGTTGCGAGCGGAAGACGTCGAGCAGAGCAGACCAGTCACGATCGGCCGCCGCTTGTTCAGACTGGCGAAGTGGTTTGCTCTCTGAGAGAAAGCGTGCCCGGATCCACTGGGAGGTGATGTTCGCATGCAGTTTGTGTGGGAGCACCTGCCTGAAGGCGGTCAGGACTCGTGCGGTGGTCGAGCACTTTGGTCGCAGATCTATGTCGACGAGGGTGCGCTCCGAGGATGTCAAGGATTTGATCTGAACAGTGCTGCCGACCGTTCCATTGACCGGCTCCATCGCATAAGGAGTAGCACCGTCGGGAAGCCGCTTCAACTTTGTGACAAGCGGCTCGAAGTCGCTTACGTCGAGCGCCGGTAAGCTTGCAGAAGGAGGACCGAGATGGAGCTTATACACCCCTTCAGGAGACACAGTAACCACCTCTGTTGAGTCTGAAGACAGGGATCGGACCGGAGCAAGATTGGAGGTGGGGATCACGTCAAAGGCCTGTAGCTTACTCGGCGATTTGCAGAAAGGCAGATGCCTTGACCTTGCTGCTGACCCGAGTCGTTGATAGCCCAGGCGACGTGTGAAGGTCTGGTTTGTGGAAGGCACCGATAGGAAGACGTACGTTGCATCGGAATCAACACGTGCGAACGAAGCGCTTTGCACATGTACAGTGGCAGCGTCCAAATTGGTCGCTATCCCCGGCACCTTGATCTCATCGAGAAGACAGACGGAGGCGAAGCTGCGGGCAAAGCTGTCCATATCGGCGAGGCGAACCAGGTCGACATTGTCGTCCTCGATGAGGCCGTTGTCTGTGTCCATCGCATCTGCGCGAACGCCTTCCCCAGCACCAGTGACCAGGCCAGATGTGAGACGACCCGTGTCGATACTTGTGTCCAAGCGAGGCAGATTCATGGAAGGCCGATTCTTGATCGCGGACGACGCTGTGCGATTCGATATGCGAGGACCGCCGTACGGTGTGCGAGCAGCAGCCTGCGAGCTATGGCGGATACGTGCCGCTGAAGCAGGGTTGTTGGTGGAGATGCGCATGCTTGTACCAGCTGCACCGAGCTCCTCCATCATGGCCTCATGCTGATAAGCTTGCGACTGCAGACGCAGACCATCTGCGGTGTGTGAGATGTTGCCGAGGGTGCGATCTCGACCCTGACTCGCTTGGTCGTCCTTGCGTCCCGTAGATCTACGATCGGCAGTACCCGAGTGCATAGCGCTGATCCGACGACTTCGACCGCTGGGATCCCTTCCCATCCCTGCTGTAGTCATACCACTGGTGCGTCGCTCGAGGTCTACGCGTGCACTTCTCCGAACGTTAGTGGGGTAGCCTCGACCCAAAGCTGTACTACTTGGTGCCATGGAGGCGGCTGGCGTGTCCGTCATATTGTAATGACCATTTGCTGAAGCCTGATGGCCTTCGTCGCCTTCGCTTGTTGAGGCCGGAATCTGGACATCAGTAGCGCTAGCCTTGCCATTGGCAGTAGCAGAGCTGAGCGTGGAGTGGATGCAAGGTGTGGAGAGAAGCGTTGCTGTGGCTTCAAATGCGCTAGGTCTGGCCGCAAAGGCATAGATGCGAATAGCAGAACTTGTTTGGCTCGTGGTGACGACGATTGACGGAGAATGATCGTCACTATCGGTGGATACGTAGACGACGGTTTCGTCGATCTCACCGAACGGCGAAGCTGGGCCATGTGTCATTGGTTTGGGGTCAATCAGAGGACGGGAAGAGAAGGAGAGCTGTGGGAAGCGGTCAACAGGCACGAGATCATCATAGCATCGCGAAAGATAGAAGACCATAGGCAGCAGCCGTGTGGAATCCTCGTGAAGCTGTGAAGTCGATGCGTGATCGGTTTCGTCGAGCAGGTGAGAGAGAGTGTAGCTCGAGTCGGTGGTGTTACCGAGGTCTGGAAAAGGATAGCCGACGTAGGAGGTCGACGTCGGCAACGAGGAAGACGCCGAAGGCTGCTGTAGTCTAGATGCGATTCTTTCGTCCTCGGACTCAATCTGACGCTGAACGAGAAAGCCGACAGGCGCAGGAAAGGCTATGGCGAAGCGGAAGGGGAGATCCATGTCTACTTGTTCTCCGAGACCTGGGAAGTGGATGTGAATCGCCAGCTCGAAAAAGACGCATAGCGCTCTCGCTAATGGATGTGATTGGCGATCGGAGCGTGTCTTTCCAGGTGCCATCTGAATATCGTCCGTAGAGCTGACATGGAAGAGGGTCCAGAAGGCTTGCAACACTGGACTAGAGAAGGAGAAAGTGCGCATGAGCGTACTGCCCCGTGTCCATGTGAGGAGATTAGCTTGCCAATGAAGCTCGTCGTTGGCAGAGACTCGACTATCCGGATTGTGGCCATGACGAGGTCGTTTACATGAGTGAGAGGCGTGTGATGATGTGATGAACGTTCCCTGCGTTGTGGCTGTAGAACGAGCGCGAATCTTTTGCAGTCGTGTAATCAGCTCGGACGTCTGGCCCGCCAGCGTGGGGTCCCAGTCGAGAGAAGCATTCTTGATGCGCGATTGCACTCTCTGACTGATGCGATGAGCTGCAGACATGTTGCCGGCAGAGAGGTGAAGACAGCGGTGCTAAGCTGAACGGCAGTCTGACAGAGAGAGAAAGAGATGGATGTGCCCTGCAAGCCTTTACCTCAGCGACTGACGGTTGGTCGCATGACTGACTCGAATCTCGGTTCTGCCGACTTTGATGAAGGATATAGGTGACAAGATGATTTGTTCGTAATTGAGATGATGGAGTAAGGCTTCCAACAGAGCAGCTTCGGTGACTTCTGCGCGATATCAGCACGAAGGCTATACTCAAAATGTGACACTTTCTTGGCTTCTCAAGCTGTCAAGCTGCGACGCGACTCTGAGACCAACTCTTCACGTCTTCGCCTCCACCTTCGCCGAATCTAACAAAACATGGCCACCCGACAGGTCTGTGTCTTGTGTCGGTCTTACATCGTGAACATCGGCGCAGGAAGAGTAAAGGTTCGAGCGTGTGATTGCAACCCTCGGCGTCTTGGAAAGCACACATCAGCCACCCAAAGTCCGGACCTCGCCGCTTGCAACCGACAAGGTTACAGAAACGATTTCTGAGTTCTCTTTCCCAACCTGTTCAATCTGTCGCACATCAGAGCCTTTCGCCTGCTACCATCACCGTTCCAACCTCTCAATCAAGCGCCGCTACGATCCTCACTGACTGGCCCGCTGTCTCGCTTCCATTCCAAGCCGCCACAGTAACTGCACACCCCACTCATTGCACCAGAAGCTGCACCCATCGCCACTCGAAGGAAGCTCAGCTCAGCCTAATAAGAGTCAAGGCTTGATCTGAAACGGTTATCAGCTAGCCAACCTATTTCATTCTCCCGAGCTCTGTTGCGTTCTGCCTCACATACGAGCCTCGTCCGAAGCGAAGGCAGCTTCACAACAATGACTTCGTCACCAGCGGGTAACACCCTCCTACTCAAGCGTCAGCTCATGGAACTACGCAAGAGTCCTGTCGACGGCTTCAGCGCCGGTCTCAAGGACGAGAGCAACCTCTTTGAATGGGAGATTATGATCATCGGTCCCAACGACACACTCTACGAAGGCGGCTTCCTCCGAGCCGAGTTGATATTTCCGCCAGAGTATCCTCTTCTTCCACCCAAAATGAAGTTCATCACTCCCATGTGGCATCCCAACATTTACCCCGATGGAACTGTCTGCATTTCCATCTTGCATGCTCCAGGCAAGGACGAGTGGGGCTACGAAGATGCAAGCGAGCGATGGCTTCCTGTGCACACTGTAGAATCCATTCTCATCTCCGTGATTAGTCTTCTATCTGCCGACATTCCCAACACCGACTCACCAGCCAACATTGACGCTGCCAAACAGGTCAGGGAAGATATTGCAGGCTATAAGAAGAAGGTACGTACATTGATCATGCCCGCCTTGTGCTTCCGCTTTACGTGTTGACCAGTAGCTGACTTCTCATCGTTCGTGTTGTGTTTGTTGGTGTTTCTGTTCATCTCGCAGGTACGACGGCTCGTGAGGCAGTCTGCCGAGGAAGCCTTCGACTGATTGGCCGCATGTATGCAACTTTCCTCCGGCTTCGACCACTAATTTGTCCCTTAGATTCCCGTGCCGTAGTCTCTCGCAGAACCTTTGCCCTTTCGCCCACATTGTATTATCAGCATCATTCTTTTCGCAACTAACAAAGCGTTGTTCGCATCAGACGTAACTCCAAACCTCATTGGCAGTGTGCGACTATGGCGGTCAACAGTATTTCTTGGGTACTGCATGTGACATGCACACTTCCGACAGAGACTGAAAGAAATGAGAGTCAATTGAGCCTGGTGCAGCGATAGCAGCATCTAGTGTTACAGAGTAGTGATACAGAAGGATGAGATGCAGAGACAAAGTGATGGTATGATTGACCTTTACAAGAACAGGAGGAGAGTCTAGCGCTCAGTAGATGTGCTGAGACTCGACTTGAAAGGACTGCCAAAGTTGGACCCGTATCCGCCGGTAGCAGCGTAGCCGCCCGAGACAGAGCGTGGGATCGAAGATGCATCGTGAAAGCTCTGGACCGAGACAGGTCGACCCTGACTGTAGTGAACCATTCCATTGACGTGCGACGAGCTCGAGGAGAAGCCGTACAGGCAGCCGAGATACTTGGAGTCATCGATCAAGCCGTCGAAGTACTTTTGTCGCATTTTGAAGAAGGTGGTTGCTGTCAGCAGACTGTCGCTTCCGGCTTGGTGTTGCTGGCCGATACGGCTGACCTGAAGGTCATCGGCAACATCTTGCAAGCCGCCTTTCAAGGTCTTGCAGCTCCTCATGAGGAACTTAATGTCGTAGATGCATGGGAACCAAACTCGAAGCAATGCGAAGAAGTCGGCTTCTTGTGCCGGCAGAGGACTGCATGTTACTACCTTGAGCAAGTAACCAAAGTCGTATCCACTGTGGAACGAGACCCACTTGACGTCGTCGAAAAGCGCAAGTCCTGATGTTATGAGCAGCTCTCCGAAGTGTTCAACATCGATACCCATCCTCTCGTGACGGTCAAAGTCGAGACCTGCCTTGGTGAGCAAATCCAGCGAGTCTGGTGCGCACATGTCGTCGTTGATGCTGAAGCGGAAGTTGAACTGCCATGTACAGACGTCTGGTGGGAGGTTTCCATTCTCGTCGCAGAGTGTGATGCCGAGTTGAATGAGTTTGAGCAGATCGACATTACAGCGCAGTGTTTGGTAGTGGTAATCTGATGAACCCTTGAATGTGCCTATTGGTCTTGCGACGATTCCGGGGAACTCCGTGTCCTAGAGGGAAGACCATCGTCATCGAGAGGGGACAGTAATGCATGTTAGCATCAAGTCTGGGATCGAAGAGTCTTGATACGGCGGATACGGCGCACTTACCATTGCAACATAAGGATACTTCTCGATGGTCTCTCGCAACAAGACCATCTCCATCTCCAAGTTTTCGGACCATACTTCACGTATTCTTCCCGCCATTTCGGCGTTATGTACGGATAAAAGCTGACCTGTGCTGTATCACTATGCCGGATGCTGCCAGATAGTGCAGATGATGTGCCGCTTAGAAGTGTGGTGAATGAAGCCGATGCCGAGACTCGTCCACTCGGTTGCCGATGATTTAGCTGATGGTGGCAGTAATGGTATGATGACGTCTCCACCTCTTCAGCCCATGCTCTGAAAGGAGATGACAGTGATAGTTGAGTTGGTCGTAGGCAAATGATGATTGATGGTAAGATGTGAGGTAAAGGATAATGCCAGCGTGTGAGGGCAAGCTGCGGTGATCGAGTGCACCAATTGGCTGTGTCCAAAGTTGAATTCCGTTTCCGTTTTCCGAGATTTTTGGCTGGCTCTTGGTGGCTGCAGTTCTGTTGCTCGTGCGCTGCCGCTGTTGTGTGTGTGTGTGTTGGAAAAAGGCGCGTCTCAGCTCCACTTTCCGCAGAGAGTTGGAGACACGCAAGCGCTCAAGCAACTCTTTCCAATACACTTCTATACGTGACATCTTCTTGTCTGGCTCTCTCGCTCACATTCAACCACCAATCGCAATTACTTGGCGTCCGCTACATCATCAGCGCACATTGATCACCCAACACCCTACAGTACACTCGCGAAGCTTGCCATTTATCGGCAACTCATCAGCAAGAACGCGCATAGGCACCAGCTCGACCTGGCACTTTTTTCGACCTCTACTTCACTCCTTCCTTGCACCCAGGCTTACCTCGATACAGCCGTCTTTCCACTGTCAAAATGGTTCTCGAAGCGACCATGATCGTGTTGGACAACTCCGAATGGATGCGAAATGGAGACTATACGCCAACTCGATGGGAGGCACAGGCTGATGCGGTCAGCATGATCTTTGACGCCAAGACCAACTCGAATCCAGAGAGCGAGGTCGGACTCATGACAATGGCAGGAAAGAGCCCCGAGGTGCTCGCTACATTGACACAAGACATGGGCAAGATCTTGGCAGCACTTCACAGAAGCAAAATCGTCGGTAATGCCGATGTTGCTACCGGCATCAACGTCGCTTCGCTCGCATTGAAGCATCGCCAGAACAAGAATCAGAGGCAGAGGGTCATCGTCTTTGTCGGATCACCCGTCGCACAGTCAGAGGATGATTTGGTCAAGCTTGGCAAGAAGCTCAAGAAGAATAACATTGCTGTCGACATTGTCAACTTTGGCGAAGATGCAGAGAATCAGGAAAAGCTCTCCAAGTTCATCGAGGCTGTCAACAGCGGCGAGAACAGGTAAGTTGGAGAATCCAACGATCGTCGCCGTGCGATACGGCTCAACACTAACGTCTTACACCCTTGCGTCTATCGCTTCGCCATGCTTACAGTCACTTGTTGAGCGTTCCGGCGGGACCACAGCTTCTATCCGACATCATTCTCACTTCTCCTGTGCTGCAAGAAGAGGGTGGTGACTCAGGCGCCGGTCCATCCGGCAGTGGTGGTGGATCCAACAACTTTGAGTTTGGCGTTGACCCAAGCATGGACCCCGAATTGGCAATGGTGAGTTTTCACTCGGTTTCAATCTCGGTACCGGTCCGAACAGTCGCTGGTTCGACATGGCGCACCTCCGGATAATCACTCGGATGTGAACCCGATTGCTGACTGTGACTTTCTGTTCCCACCTTATTGTTCTGTCGCTCCGTCTTCTCAGGCACTCCGACTCTCGCTCGAAGAAGAGCAGGCCCGACAGAGAGCTGCCGAAGGCACTTCTAGATCGCAAGCGCCAACACTTCCTACGGTCACAGAAGGCACCGAAGGGAATGCGCCAGCCGTGGCCGGCACTGCCGATGTAGCAGGTGGCTTGGCTGGCAGCGGCTCGATGGTACCAAGAGGTGCCGAATCCATCACAGGAGAAGGTCACAACGCCGATGATGAGTCGGAAGAAGCCATGTTGCAAAAAGCAATTGCCCTCTCACAGGCCGGCGAGACCTCACAAAGCAACGATGAGGATGTTGACATGGCATCGGCAGAGCCGTCGGCCGGTCGCCGAGCTGTTGTTGCCGGTACAGGTGAAGACGAGGAAGACGAAGAGATGGACGAAGACGAGGCTATCGCAAGGGCTATCCAGATGAGCTTGCAGGAAGGCGACGGCCAGGGCGACAGCAAATAGATCTGAAGGCAATCGCCAAGATGATGCGACGTCCAGACTCTCTCTTCGCTCTTTCATGCTGAAATGTAACCATTTGCCGACGATTCTCGATGGTTAGGAGCGGCTGTGTGAAGAGGAAGTCCTCGCTTTGAGCCCGGATGCCGATGGCGCATTGTGACGTGCGCTTGCTTGATGGCACAATGATCGATAGATCCGATGCTGAAGGAAGGAGCGTCAGAGCGTCGTGATGAAATTGTGAACGCCGGGTCAAGGACCTCTCTCTTGCCGCATGGCAGCGCGTCGCTTCGTGTCGAATACTTTGACAGCTGGCGTTTCGAGACAGTCGGGACCCTCCGACGGTGTATGTGATACCGCAGTCCTTCTCACTCTCATGCAGAAGCGCGCACGCCTTTCCCTTTTATTCTCCACACAATGAGTCCTTTGTCTGCAAAGATCGTCGGGACGGGCATGGATCTAAGCTGTACAGCAAAGGGCAGCGCTCCACCGTTAGCACCTGTGCTTCTTTTTGCAGTGAAACGAGCTTTGCAGTCAACAGCAAATCGACCTTTCCGAGAGTATCTTGCGTTGTCGGAGATCAACGTCGGCTTCTAAGTCGGCACCACACATCAGCGACACTTTGAGGCTATGCGTTGGCGTGAGAAAGATACTTACCAGAGTGTGTATGTGTGTGCGCGCTTGACTTCGGTGGGCAGTATCCGTCGGTCTGCTTCCGACGACTGAGTGAGAAAATGTGAAACTGTATCCGTCAAACTTAGGCTTCGTGGGAGTTTTGGCTTAGCCTTTCTAGTCTTCCCTTTGCCTTTGCCTCGGCTTTGCTTCTGCTTGTGATGACCGCCATGGTGTGGCGCGGAAGCTTCCGTTGCGATGCGGAACTGCCGTACGGTCATGTCCCTTCGATCTTCAAAGTTGATGTCGCTTCGGCGCTGCTTTGTGCCTTTTTTAGGTGCTTCCGCCCCTGTTTTGGCCTCGTCATTCCTTTCCGTCACAATCATCTTCTCCTTCAGTGTCACATCACATTCGCTCCTTTGCAGCCAAACCTTATTGGCCATATCAAGGCCTTTTGCCCAGTTGCAAGGCAAATGGACGGTCGCTCGAGCCTCACTATGCGCTCTAGAGTCCGTGCGAACTGCACTCTGCAAGCTGCAGCCTGTAGCCTTTGTTCATCGAGGGAAGAGGCTCTGCACCTGAGAACTTTTGACCCACCCGCTCCAGCTTGCTAGAGCTTATTTCATTTAAATGAAGCCTCTTTTCGAGGCATCCCACAATCAGCCCATCCCCCAGTTTCTTCCACGGATTGGAGCTTCTGCCAAACAGCTCAGTTTTGGCTTCTCGTTGGCATACTTCATAAGGGACAGCCATCGCAAGCCGAAATCGTAACTCGACCTCGTTGTCTCGTTGTTTCCTCCGCCTTTGCTTCATCTCAACAAGAAACCTCAAGCCAAAAGCCAACTTGCCCTGTGCGGTACCGTCGTCACCTCGTTATCTCCCCTTCATCCCACTTTCTCCCCTCTTCGTCCCCTCTTTTTCTCTTCGACAACCCTGCTGCTTCTCTTGAAGCCAGCTGAGCATCTGTTCCGTCATGACCACCAAGAACCAGGGACCACGACATTCCCTGCCTCCCAAGGTAAGTCTACTAGACAGCCGTTCTAAGACGTACGTGTAGCGACTGACCGTCACATCCCCTCCCTAATGTTCACTCTGTGTTCAATCCCGCAGCCAATGGTCGCATTCCCCTCTTCTACTGATGGCAGCCCTCGAGATCAGAACTCACTGACGGAGCAATACGCTGCTTCGGCTCGCGAGCGCTTCTGCCCTGACACCTTTGCTCCTGCGCTCAACGCTGTACCTATGAGGCAGAGAAGCGGGCTCGATTGGGCTGCGACTCCTCCGTTCCCGACACCGGCGCTGACTACTAGCTCGCTCTCCTCATCCTCAATATATGGAGAGCGGTCGCCGGTGCTCACACCAGGGACACCCGGAGGTTTCATGACGCGCAGAACCTTCGACAGTCTCAGCATGACCAACTTGCCACCTGCGAGGAGCTTTGATGATGCGCCGTCACTCTCCTTTGCAGGCTCGAGCAACGCGATTAATGGAGAGCACTGCTACACCTCTGAATCGCTCTCGTACAATCACTACGAGGAGAACATCAGCTCGCTAGCTTCCTCCTTCAGTGGACTTACAATGATGGAACAGCAGCGAAAGGAGTCTATCAGGTCCATGGACGCTGCAGCTCAGTCGTTCGCCTCTTCGATGACCGAGCCCGAGCCCGCACCGTTGCTCATTCCGATGCAGCCTACAGGCGCTGGTGTACCTCTTACTTCGGTGGTCGAGACGCTCTCCTCCAAAGGCTCAAAAGCAGCGGCTGAAGATCCGGAGACAGTCGCCGCCGCTTACAAGCTCAGCCAGTGGGGTATCGGCATTGGCCCGGGTATCAACCCAAAGATGGCGACCAGCAGGAACGGCAACCTTGGTCGAGGTCGAAGCACCACAAGCGAGCCTCCTATCGTCAACACCGGCAACTCTGGACCCATGTGTGTTCAGCCTGGCGATTGGATCTGCACTGCTTGTGGCTTCGTAAACTGGAGACGACGCGATTTGTGCATGCGCTGCTACCCTCAAGCAGACGGCAACGATACCGCAAGGGGCCTTCAAGGTAGTGATATGCTGGCAAGGAGGCTCGCAGAAGGCCTTGACACGAACACCGAAGAGTACAGAAAGTCTGTTCATGCCTTGTGTCCCGAACGTACCAGGCGAGGTTTGCTGGCTTCCCAGCAGCGAACCACAACCCACGAGCTGCCTCGCAATCCACTTCAAGCTTATAGCCCGTCGGCATTCAGCCCTGCCCCTCTACCACAAGCTCAGGTTCAAGCAGCCACTCCTTCGAACTACCTTGGCATTCATCTCGGTAACACCTCGCAGCAGCAGCAGCAGTGGCGACAGCATCTGGAGCGTCAGAGCTCCTTGACTGATCTGTACGCAGCTGATAATAGCCAAGGCCTCCCGCAGGACCCTTACGCTCAGATGCAGACTCATGCTCCTCCACAGCAGCAGGATCAGCACTGCAGTTCTGAAGGGAACAGAGTGAGCAGTCCCTACAAGGCATACTGCCCTCGGTTCAGCTGGACTCCAACCACTTCGTCGACGGCCGCTGCTCCTTCCCGCGATACAAACTACGAGCAGCAAAACCACGAGCGTCCCGATCTGCAGAAGCGCGCATCAAACTATTCAGCTCCGCCCAGACTCGATGTTAGTGCCCGTGCTAGTCTTCATCGCTCGGCTATTCATACCGGTGCCGATGAGTGGCGACGACAAACCGGATATCAATGTCAGGAACAGCCTCAACCTCAAGCTCAGCAAGACTTCAGTCCCTTGCAAAGCATGTCGATAGCTGGGTGGCCTCAGACCACTGGACAGGAGCTGGCTCCATCTGGCCTGCCAAGAGACATTTGGGCTCCTGCACCCAAGCGACCGACACTTGTTCTGGCTGATCCTGAAGTCGTCTCACAAGAAAAGCGAGCCAAGCCGCAACCCATCGGCACCCGATCTGGTGCCAACACTGCCAACAATACCTCCAGCGCCAACAACAATCACAATAATGCTGGCCCTGAGCACAGCTCTTTCACTACTGCTGCTGCTTCTGCTGCTTCGCCCGGAAAGCAAAATGATACTCTGGAATTCGGTGGACGCAAGGATAACAACAACAAACAAAACAACAATAACATCGACTGGATCTCGGACCCTATCACTTCTTCCTCTGCTACTGCCACTCCTACTATTCTCGCTTCTGCCTCTGCTCCGGCTTCGTCCTGAGGACAGCCTCTCACACGTTCCTTCCCCTTTGTCTGTCCGCATGAGTGCACTTCGGCCTGTATCACGAGCTATCACATTCACTCTCCTTTGTTCTTATTTCAATGCTCAGTCTTGTTCTCTTGTCTCTCGCTCCCATTTTCGCTTGTGTCGTTTGATCGCAGTTTCCATCCGAGAGTGGTGCTGTCGTTGTGGGCTGGCTTGACTTTGTGCCTCCACTTGAAAATGTTAAGCCATCCTGTCTCGGTGCCTGACTGGATTTGGGTCCCTGACAGGCATCGATCTCCGATCCAGCGTCGGTGTCACCTCATCCAAATGCAACGGCACCACCACTCATCATCCGCAAACCACACAAGCCTCTAAGCAGAATTAAAAAAAATAAAAATTGTTCAACAAAACCACAGAGCGCAAAAAAACTAAAAATACATCACCATCTCCCTTCAGTTAACAATCAACTCAACCTCGCCTTTGAACCTAGCGGTATCAAATGCCATTCCCACATCGTCGTCATCCATCATTACCACTGTATCACCGTCTTCATCGACGTACCTCATTCTTAAGGTGTGATCTATGGTTTTACCTGAGCAAACCCTCACTTTTTTCGTAACCTTTTCAAGAAGGGTGGAGAAGGAAGTTGAGGAGAGGACTACAACTACGTATTTGTCCTCTCCGAAGTTGACGATGAGTTTGATTGCGTTGCTGGCTGAGGTGGGGGTTGTGGGGGTGGTTGGTTGCGGTTGGTGTTGAGGGGGACGGGAGTTACGGAGAGCGGAGGTGGAGGAGGAATGATTGGTAGTAGGGTTTATGGGCGAAGAAGCAGTGGTTGAAGACTGAGGTCTAGAGTTCGACCCTGATTCCGATGTGGAGATGGAAGAGCTTGAGAAGCGTTTATCCACTCCACCACCTGCCATTTGGATAGCGGAAGGATTCTTCAAATGCTCCCCAATCGGCGCTTTGGGTAAGGGAGGAGGAGGACCAGATTGTTGCAACATATAAGGATGTTGTTGAGGATTGCTTGCAGATCTAGATCTACTGTGAGCTGCTCCGTTATCGCTCATTGCCCTAGACATTGACGAAGCAACGCTATCACCTCTTGCTCGACCAAAATGACTTCCACTTGAAGCAGAGTCAGACGAACCATCGAGGTACTCAACCGCTCCACCATCCACCCCAGCACCTCGTCTAGTGTAACCGCCTTGCGTGGGTTGTCTGAGCTGCCTAGAACTGCTTGCCTTTCGCAACGCATGCTGCTGCTGTTGCTGATCAGCTCCAGAGGAATAGCTGAGACCGCGAGGCATAGGAGGAGGAACTGCAGGACTGTGACTTCTCCATTGAGCCATAACACTTGAATCCTGATCCTCTGTTCTCGCTCTAGGCCTCAAATCACCATTGCTCGCAGTACTGTTCTGTCTCTCCCTCCCCTCCGATCCAGATTGAGAGAACCTTCCAACCCCGCCAGCAGGTGTAACCCTTCCACTAGTCCCACCTTCTGACAGCTCCTCCTCCTCGAATCGATACGAACTAGCCTGGCTCTGCGTCCTCGATAACCCGCTCGCTGGCAAAGCACTAAAAGGATTCGCCGGTGCCATCTCTGACAATGGTGTCTGAGGGAAATGCGAACTGGTCTGCGTAATCCTTCTGCCCACCGCCCCAGTACCGGCCATGTTAATATTCTGCTGGTGCTGTTGCGAGTAAAGCTGTGCTGCAGCTTGCTGTCTCCTTGAATTAACCTCATCGATCAACTTATTGATCGCAGTCTGCCACTGCTTCAACTGTTCCTCGTTCTTACACTTTAAAGCGAAGCTTTCATGATCGACATCTCCTCTCCACCAAACCTGCAACGCATGCTGTCCACTTGGCGCACCGAGAATACTGCTCATCTTGCTATTCGCAAAAGCACCAGTCACGTTGTTGATAAAGATCCTGCCTTTCAGCTGAAGTGTGGTCTTGACCTTCTTCCCCGCCGTTGCAGCAGAGACACCCTTCTGTTTGAGCAGCGAATTGTTCTTGTTCCCCTTCTTCTGTTGCGTAGGCGCAATCTCCTTGCAACACAGCAAGATCTTTTCGAAGAGATAAACATGATACTCCCTCTCGGTATCACTCTTTGCAACCATAAAGACATCCGACAATAACAACAGACCAAAGGTTCTAATGTTATGCCCCTTCCAATCTTCCACTCTCCACTCGAGCTCCTTTACCAGTTGCGCGTTCTCTTGAAGCCTCGAAGTCTCGTTGACCTTATCCGTAATGCGACGCATCACTTCCAATCCATCTTCTAACTCTTGATATCTGGGTGCATCTTCGGGTGTCTTTTTCAACAGTTGCTCCAAAAGCAAAGGGTATTTGCAAATACGCTGAACAGGTTTGATCATAAAGGTGGGCAGCTCGTACGCTGGATCCAAATAACATCCTTGCGCAGAAGGCATCCCTTTCAATCTGACCAAGTTGTGCGCTTCCTGGTTGATCAAGTCCAACGCCAAGTTGTAGTTGGCACAGAACGGTTCGTAGACAGCAAAGTCCTCTTCCATCGTCATGAAAACATGGCCGAAATGCTGCTCGTCCGGTGGACGTCGAACGTTCTCTTCCACACAGATAAGGAACCTTCTCTGCACATCAACGAGCTTGTTGAGGTTACCGAAAAGGTTGTGCAGTGTGTCTGGTGGGAGGATGTCATACTGTGCAAGTGCCCTTGCATAGTTTTGCAAGACTTCGAGATCCTGTACGTACTTGCGCTCTGTTGTGAGAAGTTCGCGAATGACCTTTGCGCGGTCGTCGGACGGATGGTCAAGATCGTCATTGTCAGACTTGCGATTTGTCTGGATCAGGAGACCGCGCTCTTCAAACACGTCGAGAAGACGATTAATCGTGCGCACAACCTTGACGAAGCCGTTAGTGTCGTTAAGATAGAGCTGAGAAACGGTGAAAATGTCATCCGGATCCCAACCGAGCTTCTCTTTGAGTGCAATGATAAACTTCATGACCTGAGCCTTGCATGCATTGGCGTTGGAACGGTTTGCGTCAGGGTTCACTGGGAGCTCGACTTCCGGGTTCATGGTGTTGAAAAGCGCACAGAGCGGCGAACCGAGACGGAAACACTGCCAAAGCTGTGTGACGGGATCACTGCTGGATTTTCGCGCAGATGCAGCGCCGGTGGGTGAAGTCGGGCTACCAGAAGCGGGCGATAGTGGATCGGAAGGCGATGCTGCCGAATTGGCGGCTACCATTTCGTCCAAGTACGGCTCGCCAAAGCCTGGGACGCAGTAGAGTCGATCGCGAAGGTTGAGACATGCTTGGTACAGGGAGGAGCCTGCGACGGCCTGCTTGTTGGCGATGGTGTTGGCAGCAGCGGGTGCGCCAGCCATGAGAGCAGCACCACCTGGGCCAATGAGGGAAGCGCCGATGCCGCCGTCTGCCGAGCTAGCAGCTGTGGAGGAAGCTGAGGATGCGTTCATACCGGGCAAAGGAGAGGGGGAGAGTGGCATAGAAGCTGCTGAGAGTGTTGTTGGGTCAAAGGCGGGAGAAGAGGAGGAGGATATGGACTGCTTGCGTATAGATCTGAACGCAAGCGATGTGGACGCAGCCATGGTGTATGGTTTCGTGGGAAAAGCTGTAGAGGACGGGCAATGTGTCCGTCCTTGATCCGATGTCGGATCAGCTCGTGAGGGTTGTGCGTGCTGTAGGTAACCTCAAAGTGCGAAGGATGCGTACAAGATGATAGATAAGCTGAGTGTGTCCAGCTTGACGTTGGAGGAGACCTCGAGATTGTTTGCGATGAGCGAGACCGAAGCGAGTGATCCGGCGGACTCAGCGAGAGATGGTGGTAAGTAAGGTGACGGCGGTGGGACGATGCGAGCGACGAGACTAAACAAGGTTGAAATTGCGGTCGTGATGAAACGATGAAAGGAGCGAGGCAGCCGAAGTGATGGTAACGGTGGTGTATTAGCTCGTGTCCGGCCGGGTGCTCATGGGTCGGTGTCTAGCTGGTGCTTCACGGCGATGGAGGCGGTGATACAAGGAAAGGACCGTGAAATGGTGCTGCACCTGAGCTGAGGAGTGCGATTAGTGGAGGGAAGGGTCCGATCCGAGTAAGAGACGATGTTGAGGTGGTGTAGATGGTGGTGAGGATGAACACGCCTTTCGCAACAAGAATGAACCGAGATAGCGAAAGAGAGTGAGAGAGAAAAGGGAAGCGAGGGAGTGACTCTGCTGCAGATGCAGCAGCAGTAGGGCGGAGGGTTTGTGTGAGAGAGAGAGTCAGTGTGGTGTTTCTATTTGATTTCGGACAGAGAGATAGAGAGAGGGGGAGAGAGAGGGAGACAGGCTCAGACAGACGGTCGGTCGGTCGGTCGGTCGGATGGTGCGGATGGATTCGAGGAACAGACTCGCACAAGATTTGGCGCAGTGACAGTGTGTGACAGCCTGGAAAAATAGTGAGATGTGTGTGTGCGTGCGTGTCAGTCACAGACAGAGAGGCAGACAAAGTGGGATTCAAACACGGGCGAAACAAGAGAGGGAGAGAAGAAAGGCGTGTAGCGAGACAGGTCAAGTGCTCACTACTGATCAGCACACACAGACAGGCACAGGCACTTTCATTCCCTACACTCGTCACCTCCTCTATCATTCGGAAAGATACCAACACCGGCGACGCCCTTCCAACGCATGATGTCCGCTCTGTTATGTAGGTACTGCAATGCTAGCTGTACGCAAGGGGAGTAGAAGCAAGCTGCGGTGCAGTGTAATGTATTGGATGTGGAGCCGGACTCAAGTGAAGCTAGCCTGCTGGACTCGCTTCTGCATGTAGAACCGAGATAAAGACAGAGAGAAAGGGGTCCTTTTCATCCCTTGATTTCCAAAAGAAAAGAGGCGGCAGCAAATGAAATGTGGACGCAGCACTAAAAAGGCGTTTGACAAGCAAGGAGAGTCTGTGTCTGCTGCTCCTCTGTCCCACCAAGGGTGAAAAACATCCAAGAGTGTGAATTTTGGAGATTTGACATTACCAGATCTGATATCGAGGCGAAAAGAAACAATCAAGAAAAAAAGCGTCTCGAAAATAAGGGTGGAGAAAAGCCATCGCCATGAACAACCTGCTGCTGCTGTCGGATTGCCACTCTATCTACGGTGATACACCCTGAAACAACTTCAATATAAAAGTGCCAGAGCAATGGCAGCAACTTCAGGCGTAAGTTTTCCAAGGCGATATCGAGCGCTTCATCTGAGCAAAGCCTAAACCACTTTCAAAGTCCGCTCGTAGGACTTGTTGCCCACGTGACGAACAAAGCTTTGCATCCTCCTAGTCGACCACGACACCACCCTAGCGTCCATAGCCTTGCAACGCTCTCGGCTGGCTCGACTCTTGATTCTATCGCGTGCCAGCAACCAGCACTCGTTGCTCCACACCTTATACCTTCGAAAGCCGATGAAAACCCCCTTTACAAGCTTGAGGCACAACCATCACAACCCGCACTGTTGGCTTGCCAGCATGAACACAGCGCCCGCCAACGAGCGATTTTCGCGGGCTGAACAACTTTAGTCGCCAGAATTCCAGCCTTAACCTGCATCACTGCTTCCAATTGACCGACGTGTGGCAGTGGAACGCTTGCTTCTCCACAGCAGCATGCTCGCATCCGTCAATTGACTTAGGTACCGCTGTTTGTGTGTGCTTTCCCGCTCGCTTGAGGTTGCACTGCCGGTTTTTGTCCCTCGGAAGGGTTGAGCAGACGTGTTGGAAAGCGACTTCCGTGCAACGACGAGGCTTTCGTGCAAAGCTTCGACGGCCGGCAAAGCTTAAAGATCTGACATCGGCGGGCAACATTGACATCGACGCAGAATCTGTGACAGCAAGCTTAAGACCGCAGCTTGATGGTCTTGTCGAGTCGGCGTCGAAACTTGCCATTACCACACGACCCATCTTCTGTACGCTTACACAACCGTCTCTGCTAGTACTGCAGATCTGTACCCTATCCGACCCTCGACCACAAAGTCGATTAGCAGCAATCCATCGAATCGGCGGTTGGAAAGATTCGCCAAGAATTTTTTTGAGATGCCAAGCTTTTCATGTCAAGTCAAACAGAAAACTGCTCTTCTTGTATTCCGACGGCTTCTCTTTACCAACACCGCGTGAAATGATAGCCGAGGGTAAAGGAGCCCATCGAAGATTGCAGATCGATCGTGAAGCTGCCAATCTTAATTGCTCTGCTGATGTTGACAGCTGAAGACAGTCCGATGGTCTTCATGTCGGCCGGTTTTGGTTCTGCATGCAGGCAAAGTCGGTCTTTGCTTCACATCATTCCCAAGTGAGATTGAGGAAATTCGGAATGATCGTCTTGCGGACCTAACGACCTTGTTTGTATCGAAGATCATTGTGGCTTGCTTGTCGCTTAGCGAACAGGCGCCAAATATCTGCACCCTGCAACTCAATGCAAGCTAACGTTGTGAACTGTCTTTCTCCTCTAAGATGTCATCGACGATGCAACACATGTGGATCGATCTGTTTACGCGTCCCAACTTCCTTCCTACTTTCCTATATGGTGCGAGACTGGTGCAACCATCTGTGGAGCAGAAGCTCGGATAGACGCTTAACCTCAATGAAAATAGTAAAACCATGTAAGCTCTAGTTCGATCTCACATCGCCGCCATCTTCACTTACTTGGATCCACATCATGTTGGTCCGGACCAGATAGTTTCCCCGCTACGTCTCAGCCTGAACATACCACTGTGTCGCACATACATACACAGAGTCCTGGAGAGATCTACATATATACTAGTCATTGCCTTGTACATAGTTCTGAAGCATCATCGCAATCGATACTTGTGACCAACGCTATTCGCCGCACGCCCTACAACAAAAATGATGCTTCTGCACGCGTTGATGCTGACTGCTCAACAGTGCGAGGTTGGTTGATGATCGCGAAAGCAAGTCACACGAACTTGTCAATCTAACTTATTAGGGTTGATTGAGATTTGTGATCAGTGATGCTGAGAGTGCAAGGGAGGGCGGAGGGCGGAGGACGATCAAGAAGAAGCTTTCCCTTTCCCTTTAGCCTTCCTACGAGCCTCTGCAGCCACTTCCTCCTGCTCTTCTTGCTCCTCCTCATTCCTTCCCTTCATCCCATCTTCCGCCGCCGCCTGCTGGGAAAGCACATCCCTCGATACCACCCCATTGCCATTCCGTGCCGCTTTCATCATCGCCATCAACTGTTCCTCCCCCATCACCCCCTTCCCCTTCCCCTTCCCCTTCCCCTTCTTCTCTCCCTCCGCTTCCCCACCCTTTTCTTTCTTCGGCGCACTAAATTTAGCCTGCACCTCTCTGTAATGTTCCATTTCCTGTTCACTAACACTTGGAGTCAACTCCCTTAATGCTCCTTCAAAATCTCTTCTATTCACCTTCACCTCTATCTCCTCCGCTTTCGCCATTTCCGCAAGATAATACTGAGCAGTAATCGGATGAGGATGTCCCTTCCTCCCACCCTCCTTGTTAATCTCTTCAATCCTCGCATCTACTTCACTTGCCTTCCTAGTCATCGCTTTCAACATCGCGTCCGAACACAACGCGTAAAAGTCTGCACCCGTCAAGTTGAAAGGGCATTGATCCGCAATACAGCTCAGATCTCCGACGTCGGGGTCTAGTTTGAACTTGCGAGTGAGAGCTTGAAGGATGTTTAGCTGTGCAGCGTGAGTTTCGCTAACACTGAGGTATAGCATTCGGTCGAAACGTCCAGGTCGGAGGAGAGCTGGATCGAGCAAGTCAGGTCGGTTGGTAGCACCGATTACAAACACGTCCGTTCCTTCGCTGCTACCCGCCATACCGTCTAATTCTGCCAAAAGTTGAGAAACAATGCGATCCATCACACCACCACTGTCACCTTGATTGCCACGCTTAGGAGCAACGGAATCGAGTTCGTCGAAAAAGATCACGCAGGGTTTGGCATCCCTTGCCCGCTGGAACACCCGACGGACGTTGGCTTCGGATTCACCAATGTACATGTTCAACAGCTCGGGACCTTTGACGGAGAAGAAGTTGAGCGAGCAGGATGTAGCGACTGCTTTGGCGAGGAGTGTCTTGCCCGTACCTGGCGGGCCGTAGAGTAGAATACCAGAGCGTTTCTTAAGTCCGTCACTGAAAAGTTCAGGATGCTCGAGCGGAAGCTGAATCGTATCCAGGATATCAGATTTGACTGCAGCCAATCCACCAACGTCGTCCCATGTAACATTAGGGATCTTAGGCGCGCCAATGGACTCCGAGTAAGAAGATCGAGCTTTGTTGAGCGCCGCATCCAAATCCTCACCCGTGATAGCTAGTCCTCCGAGGAACAGATCCCTATCCGAAACAACACTACTCGCTGAGGAAGGCGGTGCTTTCCTAACCCTTGATACGGAAGCCAGTCTCGACCGAGAAGCAAGATTGACCAAATCCGCAGCCACAAGTGCAGCCGTCTGTGTCGCTAGCCCTTTCAACTCCACATCTGGTCCCAGCACACTTCCTTGCATCGTGATCTCCAGCATCGCCCTTCTTTCCGCTTCGTTTGGTGCACCAAATGTCACTTCATGCTTGAAATACCCGAGGACACCCGACGGACACTTGTCAGGCTCGGAAGCCGTACCGAATACCGCCACTGGCATCGTACCTCTCACGCTCCAAAGCTCTTCGAAGCAGCTAGCTAGTGCAGTTGCAAGGGGTGGTTCTTGTCCAGTCTCCAGTGCTTGACTTTTCCGCGCTAGTGCTTCGATGTTACGAAGGAGGAAGATACACGGTGCGCATTCCGCAGCTTTCGAGAACCGCGCACGGAGCATTCCTTCGGTTCGAACATCGGTATCCGAGATAACGTCAAAGCAGTCCAATTCGACGAGTTGTACTCCAGCCGATTTGGCGACCCAGCGAGTGACCGTGCGTTTACCACATCCACGTGCGCCTTTGAGCAGAACAGAAAGATGCAGGTTGAATCGACTAGCGTTGGGTTGCAGCGTCGCGTTGAGGAGTGAGGAGAGTGTAGCATAAGGGCTGGAGGGTGCGACCAGTGGTGCGACCAGTTTCTGCTGTTCCGGATTCGTAAAATGGCTCGGCAGAGTAGGAGTGTCGGAATAAACACCCAACCACCGATCGCAGTCGACTACGCGACAATGTTCAACACCAGTCTGAACCATGTTCGTCACATGTGGATCCACAATGCATCCCAACTGACCCATTCTGCCTTGCAACGATAGTGCTCTTGTAGCTTCATCCCTCGCTGTCTTTCCGTTTGTTGCTGCGTCGGGTGCTACTAGCTCGCTCCTGAGATCGGTGACCTTGAAATACACCGTTGCCGTCTTAGCACTGCTCGAAGAGGGAAGTTCAAGATCATGTATATCGTCATTCTCCGCATCAGGAGCGTCTTGTTCGGCTTCACGAGCAACGAACCTCGCTTTAGACGCTTCGATAGCAACAGCGATCAAATCTCCGTTTCGGCAAATGCGACGTCTGTCCTCGAAAAACGTTCGGAGAGCCTCGAGGAACAGTCCTTGGTAGGCGCGGTCGACGCTGAGTGGTCCGGCTACTCGAGCGATGCGTAAGCTCTCGGCGAAAGGTATGGGGACGGGGCAGGAGCGGACGAGAGCGGAGACCTCGGGTTGGGTGTCGCTTGGGCACGAGCCAAGGATGCGTAAGATGAGGCTAGAGGCGTTGGCGGTGGAGGAAGGGGAGAAGACGGCGTCTCTGAGAATGTTCTGTGCTAAAATGGGCGACATGTGCACTCCCAGGCTCCGAGATGATGAGGAGGAATGGGGAAGGTCTTGGGAGGAAAAAATGCGGACGAGGCGAGTGGAAGAAGGATTGGTGTCAGGGGAAGCAGCGACCCAGTCACCGTTGAACGCGCCGAGAGAGGCCATGTCTCTTTCGCTTGCGAGAATTACGTTTTCTTCGTCGATGTTGTCCGATGCACTGCCCATTAGCGAGTTGGATTCGGTCGAAGAGGCTTGCGCGAACCAATGTGAAATGGCGGCTGTGATGGAGGAAGGATCTTGCAGTTGGTGCAGTGAGCACCTTTTTACTTTGCTCTCCTTGCTCCGTTGTCCGTCTGCTTTTGCTGTGGAAGCAGGATCGATGGAGATCTCCAGATTGGAGAAATCCTCCAACACCGTTTGCGCCAGGAACCTTTCATCGATCTCCAAATCGTCCTCATCTCCCACCTCATCCCCACTATCACCCTTCTCATCGGCACCCGCCTCAGTTTCACTACCCGCTATCGAGAACGAATCCTCTGACGCGCTCGAAACCATCGACTGCTCCAACCCATCCTCTTCTGCTGCTCCGCTTTGCAGAGTAAGCAACACATCCGACTTGTCCGCCGAAAACACCCCTTGCAGCAATGGCTCAAGCATTGCCACTCTCAGCGGTACTACTGTTGCTCCTAGCTGCAGTCGGATAATTTGACCTTGGCGTAAGACCTTGCCATCTAGCTGTCGGACAAGCTCGTCTTGAGAGCTGTCCGCATTATCGTAGCTGGTTTGTGAGGTTGCTTGGAGGTACACAAGCGAGGCATCGAACAGAGTGAGCTTCTCGACTAAAACCTGTCTGCCTTTGTCTGAGCGGTGGCTGCGGGATGAAGCGTTAAGGATGCTAGCGACGGCTTTCGAAGCTTCGATCCATAGTCCTGAGGTTTCGTGGGTGCTCTTGACTGCGTAAATGGCTAGGGAGGGGATGCTGGAGATGCCTAGAGTGCGGTTTGACGTCGGGCGGAGGCTGATGCTTATCTTCTCTGCAACTGGTGTGGTTGTGGTTGTGGATGCTTGCTTGGAGGTACTTGGCTGCAAGATAGAACAGAGAGCTGGGGAGAGAGCTACGAGCTGATCAGAGACAGCCTCTCGCTCACCGACGACGAGGTCGACGATGAGGTCGCCGGATGGCATCGCCGGTATTGTCATTTTGGAGCGAGCAAGAGGAATCAAGCCTGCAATGCTGATTTCTGGGCTCTAAGGTGATGGTGTGGAGAAGGCAAGTTGAGCTCGGATGTCTGACACCTGCTTCAATTCCTTCCGGCGAGGAGGTTGAGTGAATGAAAGCGGCGGTGGCGGCCTGAGCGCCTTGATGGGGTCCAATCAGACGAAACGAGAAGAGTGTGGAGAAATTCGACGTTGCACAGAGCAGTCACCAGAAGTGAAAACGTGCTTTCAACCCGGGCCGGGAACACCGGCCATTTCTTTTGCCGGCTTCTTGTTGTCAAGAGCTCTTTTTGTTCTTGTCCCCTCGCAAACATAGTTCGACCTGCCGCTGTTGCTACTCGTCCATGCCTTACTGCACCTCAAAAAAGTCAGACTGTGCCATTGACGCGATGTTGTGCAGCGAGGGTAAGGGTATCGGAAAGCATGCCGGCCAGAATGACATCCTAGCAGAAAGATGTTAGATCGATATAATCACGTGACCGAGCCTGGGCCAGAATTTGTCCAAGGCGTTGCAGCTGCAAGCCGAGTCTCTTCTTCAGGGTCTCATTTTTCGCATCTTCGCTTTTCTTCATTACTTCATCCAGCAAGTACACGACAAGATGGCCAGTCAAGAAGACACAGACGATCTCTACGCCGATCTCTACGGTGGCGACGGCGCTGGATCAGGCGATGTCGTAGACCTCGGTAGCCAAGTTCATGAAGGTGACGAACAGGATCCCATCGGGTACGTGGACGACCACACCAACCACGACGACAAGAACGACAACCAGAAGGATGGAAGCAACGGCAAGACGTACGACAAGCCCAATGCGGGCAGCGGAGGCTCTTTCATCCCTCCTCCCTCCTCGACGCAGCAGCAACAGCAGCAGCAGCAGCAAGACACAGGTTTGCAGATCAAAGGAAGCTTCATCCCTCCACCTGCAGCATCCGCAGCTCACTCGCAGAGTGATGTAAGGGATCTAACGCCTGCGAGCCACAACAGTGCTCAGCAGGGTGCTGAGCAGAATGATGCGTATAGCAATGGTGAAGCAGGAGGGCAGGGAGGAGAGGGCGGAGAGAACAGAGCAGTGATGCCGCATGAGATGCCTGAAGAAGGGTGAGTAAAATGATTCCTAGACTTTGTTCGCTGACTCGAAAACGTGCAACGATACTGCTTGCTGCTTGCCGCTGGATCAAGATTGCCTCTTCCGCAACGGGAAGAGAGAAAGCTTAACGATGCGGCAGGCATGACCATCCGGCTCGTCACGCTATTGCTAGCGCCCTTGTAGATCATTCCATCTTGGTCTTGTAGTCAAGACTGCACCAATCTATCACAGCACTTACTTAGACAGCTCATTGACCACATACGATACTGCTTCACTTTTATCATATCTTCGTCATCATCGTCACCATCATCATCGTAACAATTACGTGATATCACCATCGTCGTCCATTTATGTCCAATCGCAACTTCATAACACTTCTTCGGCACGCACATATACATCCTCGATGATGGAATGTCAATCTGTTGCACAACGCACAATCCACACTCGGTTGGCTCGACTCGATACGCCGCTTGATGGTTTGATGATGAAACAGAAAAATGTTTGTCGGAGGTCTCAACTGGGACACTACTGAAGGTAATTATCCACCTTTGCATGTCGGAATGACGGTGCATTCCACATCTACTGCATTTTGCAAGGTTCAACTTTGAACGTGTGCTGATACATCGTTGTCTCGATTCTGTCTGCTTAACGGTTTGATGGCGCCCGTAGATTCTCTCCGCCGCTACTTCTCCCAATTCGGCGAGATCGGTCACTGTACCATCATGCGCGACAACCTTACCGGTCGCTCTCGAGGTTTCGCCTTCCTCAACTTTGTCGATCCTAAAGCAGTCAACACTGTCATGGTGCGAGAGCATTATCTTGATGGTAAAGTCGTACGTGTCCTCTCGTCCCTTGCCCTTCCTCGCTGTCGTACAAAACTCACTCAATCCAATTCTCTATCCTTCGATGCTCCAGATCGATCCAAAACGAGCAATCCCACGCCCACAAGGTGGAGGCTCCCATCAAGGTCAACAACAGCAACAACATCCCTCTGGTGGCAACAACTACAACATCAACACCAACTTTTCCGCCCCTTCTTCCGGTGGACAAAAGCTTTTCGTCGGTGGACTTCCTGCATCGATAACACCCGTAACCTTCCGTCAGTTCTTTGAACAATTCGGACCGCTTTCCGAATGCACGTGTATGATGGATCGCGAGACGGGTAAGCCCCGTGGATTCGGCTTTTTAACCTATGTTGATGATGCGTCGTTGCAGACGGTTCTCAATACCCACCCAATCGTGTTTGATGGGAAGGAGGTAGATGTGAAGCGCGCACAGAGTAAGAACGATCCGCAATCACTGCAGATGAGAAGACAGCAGAGGGTGGATAATCCTGAAATCAATGCCAATACGGGGTATCTCGGCCATGGGAGGAATAATCAGCGTAGTTACAACAGCAATAATGATAATGCTGGTGGAGGTTACGGAGGAGGAAACAACTGGGGAGCAGCAGGGCAGACGAACCCTATGATGGGAGGGTTTGATCCTGCGGCAATGGCACAGATGTATCAGAGTATGGGTTGGGGAGGTGCGGCGGGTGGAATGGGGGGACAGTGGAATCCGATGGCTTGGCAACAGATGATGGCTAGTATGGGCGGAGCGGGAGGGATGGATATGAGTGCGATGATGGGGATGGGGGCGATGGGGAATATGAGTCCGACTAACATGGCTGGTGCGATGAGTCCGAATATGGTGAATGCTCAGAGGGGCGGTTCATCGGGCCCGGCTGGGGATGAGAGAGGCTCGTCGAACAGGTTTCAGAGAGGGGGAAGTCATATGGGTGGCAATGGGGGAGGAAGGAAGCAGGGAGAAGGTTATGATAGGGAGAGGTCTCCGAGGTCAACTAGTATTCCTACTGGTCCGTCTGGTGGAGGACATTCTAGAGAGAGAAGTCCGAACAGGCAGGGTGGGAACGGGAGGTATGATGGCGGAAGTCGCAACAGGTACTGAGCTTTGTAGCTTCTCAGCTTGCCCATGTAGTTCAGCGCCTCTCGTGGATTCTGATGGTCTCGTCTCACAAACATGCACTGATGACTAGCACGAGGAGCAACAAGTTCTATTGCTCAAAGGGACAGGAGCACGGGATACACTTTACTTGCTCTAACCCTTGGCCTGCTTAGCAGCTTCATCAATCTTCTTCTCGATGTCCAACCCGATCAAAACATCCAACGTCCTCACAAACCACCACCTTCCACACTCTGCCTCTTCATCCTCCTCCTTCTTTCCGTCCTCAATTGGGAAGCCCACATGCTCAGCCACCTGTTCGGCCAGCTTCTTTGTCGCATGTTCCTTACCCTTCTCCAAATCCCCTTCACTGATCAGATCGAACTTGACCGCAGCAATAAGAGCTCTATCGTCGGCGAAAGGGAAAACAGCTCCCCACTGAGATTGAACTCGCCGCAGGAAGATTTCGACTCCACCGGGACCCAACCCGTTGATTTCCTTTGTGAGGACTGCTTTGATTTGTTCTGCTACTTCGAACGAGTCGTCTTTGTTTGAGGCCTGAGAAAGGGCTTTGTCAAGGATAGGACGCAAGTTGTCCTGGGAGTCGGTATCTTCGCCGCAGAGGGAAACGATTCCTTCAGCAAGCGAACCGAGTTGGACGGCAGTCTTCTCCTTGTGTCGAGTTCTAGCTTCCCAAAGACCTGCCCGACGACCTTCGTTTCCTGCATCGATGAGATCTTTAGCACTGCGAAAATAGTAGGGCTTGTTAAGGAGCGTCTCGATTGTGCGCAATCCAAGTTGGTGAGAGATGGGCTTGCTGAGCAGAATTGCACAAAGTAGAGTCTGAAAAGCGGTAAGATCGGAGTTGGGGAAGGAGAGATGCCCTTCTGCATCGGCGCCGGCTCGTTTGTTCTCGTATGGCTCGGGTGGGGTCCGGACAGTTTCTCCTCCTTCTTCGGCTGTGTCCTTTTCGCCTTTGCCATCAGGAATGTCAGGGTGAGATAGGGTCCAAGCAGCAGAGGAATGGAGCCAGGTAAGAGCGTCGGAGTGAGATTCGAGCTCGGATTGCTGGACTTCGAGGATAGAGTCCATGTCCGAATTCTTGATTGCGGTTGAGGTTTTTGGTTTCTTGGGAGCTGGTTCTTCCGAGTCTTTGGCCTTGGTGTTGCCAGCTTTGGAGTCATCGTCGTCGGCGGCTTGTTCCTGCTTCTCAGGCTCTTCGGACTTGACCTGGTTGTTCTGGCGCTTGGTGCCTTTAGTATCAGCAGCCGAGCCTTGCGACTTTTGTTGATCTCCGGAGGCTTGTCTTCTGGTAACTACCATCTTTGCAACTTCTGCAAGCGATCAGCAGTTAGTGTAGAGATGATGGTGGTGTCTGCTCAGTTGCTCTTGATCCTGTTGCTGAGCAAGCTTCCGATAAGTTACTGCGCACAGACAGAGTAAGAAGAATGCATGGCTTCCGAAACGAGAATGACGCCCAACCATTATTACTCATCCGTCTCGCAATACGGCTTGACTGCTGTGGTACCGGAAGCGCGTCGGTGTCTCTCGCGTAAAGTTGAATGACTGTGAAGGCTGTCAACAATTGCAGCTGACCCCGCAATGTGGAGGCTTTGAATTTAAATGTTACACCACAATCACCAACACCACACAAAAATTAAATGAGTTTGTGATTTAACAGCGCTTCGAAAATGTGATTAGGGATCCGATCAGCAGCAATATGTCGATGCAGTCAAGAGTCTTGGTCGGAAGTCTTTCCGATAGGTTCCATTCTTCTGTAGGGACCTCTTGACCCTGCGATTAGTGATTTGGGTTATGCTTTTCGTACTGCCACCAGCAAGGTTTGAGTTGTACATGGCGTGGAGGTCTTTCTCACGCTACCACTTCTACTCGTGAGCGTTGTCGAGGAGATGAGCAGAGTTGGACCGAATATCGTATCGGATCGAGCGAAAGTCTGCTTTCTCATTGGCAGCGGGAGTAATCGGCCATCCCGACCAGCTTCAATCGCGTTCCAACGCTGCATGACAAAGCTCAGACTCCTGAAAAGAAAAATCATCGATCGTTTCTCTCTCTCACGACTAGCTAACCCGGGGGGGTATGATCGAGTCAAAGCTCTAATTCGAGCGAGCAATCGTCGTAAGGCCATGACCGAAAAAAGCGAAATTTGGCTGTGCTGTGCTTGACAACGCTCTGCCCCTTTTCCATGTCTCAGAATATGCATGTATGATCCGAACAAGCTGTAGGCTCACAAACAGATCCCTCACTACTGTTCAGGAGGGACGGGAAAGCGTAAAGAGGCCCGTCAGATGAATCTGCATTGCTGCAACCCGTGCTTTGCATCTCTCCTTTGCAGTTTAGAGGGCATTGACCAACAGCATGCACGTCTCACTTGTCAACTGGATCATTGTAAGGCATGTCGAGAAGGGTGTCGCAACAAGTCACTTTTCATCTGGGGGGTAAGAGGTGTTGTCGGAGGGTTGGACGACATGAAAGTGACAGCTTCCAAATCGACTTGGGCACTCCCGAGTCGAGCTATGCCTGCTTACCATAATCCAAGTCGGCCAAGCGGACGAGGAGTGCGAAGAAGGAAGGCAGCGTTGACGTGCTGACAAGTCTAAAGAAAACCAAACTCAGGGGTTCATGTTCTTGATACGAGGGGGTATCAAAATTTGAGTGTTTTTAGAAACACGTGTTTCTCGATTTTGACGTATTTTTCCCATTTTTGAGCACTCAAAAATGGTGTCTTTCTAAAAACACATTTGCGAACAAAGGTGGCAATTGGTTAGATATAACATGTATCTTATTAAATACATTGCCGGTCATTTTACCTGGTCCGGAGGCGTGTTTTCAGAAACATGTTTTTTCTTTTCTTTTTTCTTTTCTTTTTTCTTTTTTCTTTCTCCTCTTTTCAATTTTGGGTGAGCTTACATAATATTTTTATGCGAAATCAAAACATGTCAAAATCGAGAAACATGTGTTTCTAATAACACAAAACGTTTGATACCCCCTTTTAAGGGGGGCCATGCTTCAATGAGATCAAATCAAGAAACTGCTTTGCCTTTGCCCCTGCAGTGAGATGCTCTTTCGGTCGTCTCGGATCTCATCTTCCAGTTTCTTTCAGCCAATCTCTTTGTGAATGGATGGAAAGAGGGTGAATGAACTCATCCCGCGAAATTCAGCCCCTTTTCTCGGTCTCTCCCGTTGCAAGCAAACACACTCAGGTTCCTTTACCTCTTTTTATTCTCATTTTTGTATTCTATTTCTTTCAGAGTGAGATGCAAATGCCAACACATGCACGCAGTTCCATGGAAAAGAAAAAAAGTGCAGCAGCAGATAGGCAGTCACTAAGGAACCCGCGTGTGTTTTCGCCTGTTCCCGGGTCGCGTCCTCATTTTTGGCTAGGCTTGCTGGTGAAGGCAAAGTGGGCCTCGGCTTTGTGTGTCAATTTAGACCAACACTTGGCGCCCCACCCTTGAGAGTCGAGTCGAGTCGATTCGATCTTGGCTCAGCTCTCGCTCACTCTCACCATCATCATCATCCTACCGGCCATCATACCTACACATCAATCCCCCCCGTTTTGTCTTGTTCGTCAGCAACCATACAACCCCCCCCCCCCCTCCCCGGAATTTCGCGCCTCACATTCAACCTTGCACTTTCGCAACCTTTGCATTCGCAGCCAGCCAGCATTCAATCATCCCCAACTTTGAAATTGGCCGCTCTATCGGCTTTGAACCCAAGGATCGGACCCGGCTTGCATACAGCCATTGTCTAACCATCGTCAACAACAGCACCGACGCCAGCACCTCTCCCCACTCCAGCGTCATGAGCATCCTACATAACAGTACAACACATACTCATCTCTCTTAACACCTCATCAGCAATCCAAGGACATCCGCCCCTTGCTCAACACATTCACTAGCCGGCCCCACGGCTCCACTTCCAGACATGGAGTCCATGCACAGGCAGGACTCCTCCATCTCCTTTCCAACACTTCCCTCTTCGCCTATCAAGCCGACATCGACAGCACCATTGCCCACCTTCTCCACCTCAGAGTGCTTCAACTCGCATCAAAACGACTCTATGCCACCACCATCGCGTGTCATCGGTAAAGCCTGCTCAACCAACATCCAGCCATCTCAGCAACAGCAGAGGCATTCCATCATCTCGGACGACTCATCCGCTGCTTCTTCTGCCGACTACTTTGGCGCTCATGCTCCCATCAGTAGACCAATTTCGGCCACGACGCTCGCCTCCTCCCGTCCCTCATCCGTCGCATCTAATGCATCTACCGGAAGCCACGTTCAAGGGCAGCTGACAGCGTGTGCTGACTTGCTCAGTCCAGGCCTTGCATCCGCACTTGGTCTCGTTCCGAGCAACCCCAACAACATCACCTTCCCCAGCTCCAGCAGGAGCTCAAGTGGCCAGCACGCACCAGGTAGTGCAGATGCAGGCAGCAGTTTGGGCAACCCAGCGAGGAGACGCGTTCGAGCTCAGAGTGCACACAGCGGCGCTCTCGCCAACCGACGTCCTTCCATGCCTATCGTGCCAAGCATGAACCATCGCATTAGTGTTGCCAGTGTCTCGAGCTTCGAGAGCTTACCCGAGGACGAAATGGTGCAGGGCTTCCTTGCGCCTGCTACATTGATGCCCAAGTCACGCACCAGCAGCTACGAGCGCATCACTCGCAGTGCCACAGGCGCATACTCGCACGCAAAGGAGGACACCGTCATGGCTGGAAGTAGCGCAAGGAGTCAGATACCAGAGCGGTCCGTCTCGAACTCTTCGATCGGCAACTCTTCCAATGCACGTTCATCCAACGAAGGTCCGACAGCATACAACGATCAAGCACCCTCGGATAGTGTCTCTTTGCTCTCATCGTCTGTTTCCTCTTCGGCTCACGGCGGGGGGCCTAGCACTACCAGCTCAAACTCAACAATCACAACAGGCTCCACACGCCCGAGCTTCTTCCTTCGACGCGCAGCCACGGCACCTGTGCCACCAGTTGACTCCTCGGTTCTTATGGCACATCGACAGCGTAGCGCACGCGAGCTTCTCGACACAGAACGATCTTTTGTGGCCAGCTTGACTTTGATCGATCAAGAGTACTATCAGCCACTGATGGCTAGTCTCGGTAAAGGCAAAGGTCCAGCTGCTGCAAATGCAAGCACACCGCCAATTCTGTCTCGCAAGTCCATGTCCGACATCTTTTCCAACTTCTACGACATTCTTCAGCTTAGCAAAGAACTGCTTAGCCAGCTTGAAGATCGACTCCAAGTCACTAGCTATTCTGCTTCCTCTGCCTCTTCGAGCTCAGATCGTACTCAGTCGGCAGGTACAGACATGAAGTGGAATGCTTCTGTCGACTGCGTCGGCGACATTCTCGCCACGCTGGCGCCTTTCCTCAAAATGTACTCGCTCTTCGTCAAGAACTTCAGCAGTGCCCTACAGCGTATCGAGTACGAGCAAAAGACTAACGAGGCCTTTGCCAAGTTCCTCAAAGAGACGGATCAGAGGCGAGCTGCAAAGGAGAAGGTCACCACCACCACTGGTGGCGTTCGACAGGCTTTCGGGTATGGGCTTGGGTTCCAAGCTCATCTGTTGACCATCGTTCAGAGGATCCCGCGATACAAATTGTTGGTTGACGATCTGGTCAAGTCGACACCAGAGACGCATCCCGACTTTGTCGACCTCAGGCGGGCAAGTCATATGATCGAACAGGTCGCTTCGTACATCAACGAAAACGTCAGGCAGCACGAGATGGTGCTTACCATGCTAGGGCTGCAGAAGAGCTTGCAGGGTCTCACAGAGCCGCTCGTTGCACCAGGGAGAGCACTGATCAAGCGAGGAACGTTGATGAAGACGTGTCGTCGCAACATTCAGCCTCGCGAGTTCTTCTTATTCACCGACTGCTTGATGTATGCGAGTCCCATCTCGGGCGGTATGGAGTCAGCTTCTGCTGCTTGGATGGCGTTGGCGCAACGTGGAGGCTTGTATGCCGGTAACACGGCAGAACAGCTTCAGTCGCCTACCATGACTTCTCCTTCCACAACGTCTTCGTCACCAATCGAGTCGATTCTGCCATCTGCAAGCTATACCGCTCCATTGGGTCCGCGAGCTCGATTTGCGTCGGTGCCTGAACCATATACCCCACTTGCAGGCGCGATTTTTTCACTGGCAGGACATCAATTGCAGTTTCGAGACAAGTTCGGGCTTCGCGACTGCACCGTCGTCGGTGTGGAGGACAACATGCATGAGGGTCTTCGACATTGCTTTGAGATCCGTACACCGGACAAGTCGTTTGCGGTCTATGCAGAGAGTCAGGCTAATAAAGAGGCCTGGGTCAATTGCATTCGCGAGGCGCGTGCTGATCACATGTCGGCGAGAAGGACTTTGAAGGCGGAAGAAGACAGTATTGAGGCCAAGAGGGAGAGGAGAAGGTCTCTGTACAAGATCGATGCGACAAAGGTTGCCAATCGATGCCTCAGCACTCAGAGCTTAGGTGCCTATTTGGCAGGGACCAACTTGATCGGGTCAGATAAAGCTGTGGTGCTGCCTTCTTCGTCGTCGCAGCAAGCGGCGGAGGAGCAAGGAGGAGAGAGTAGCGCCTCGAGGTCTGCTTCGCGAGAGCGTGGCGCAGCGGTACCGCATCGACGATCGCGTGTCGACTCGTTGCCCAACTTGCTTCTGCGTCCGCCGTCGTTCCCATCGTTCCCGACAGCTGGTACCAACTTGTCCCTGGCCAACTTGCTGCCTTCAAGCGGTTCGGGTGCTGCTGCAGCACCACCGCTTCGGGTGCTGGAAGACTACAATGCACCTGTATGGGTACCAGACAATCGGGCCGACAAGTGCTGCAACTGCCAGGAGACTTTTGGCATGTGGCGTCGCAAGCATCACTGTCGGTTATGCGGACAGGTGGTGTGCAGGACATGCTCGCAACGATCTTTCCTCATTCCGAGCTATCAGGAAGGTGAGCCGGATCGACCTGCGCGTGCTTGCGATCGTTGCTATGATAGTGTCTTTCCTCCTGACACGGCTGAGGAGGGTGAAGCAGCAGTAGGAGGGGAGGATGCAAATGCGGTCGGGCCGGATATTGCGGAGATGCCGTTGGTTCCGAGTACGAGTACGGATGACAGTGTTGCTCAGACCTTAGGTGCGTATAGGTTTGCTTCAGATCTGGATACGGATGTAGAGGCGGGTAGTCATCAGGGTTCGCCTGTGACACCGCCTGTTGGAGAAAGTGCAGGTGCGGGTGTGGAAGTGATGATAGCTTCAGTCTCACTTTCTGAAGGTGTTGCTGGGAAGTCAGCGATGGCAAAGAAGAAAGGCGGAGGTGGTGGTAATGTCCGATCCAAATCGTTGAGATTTGAGACTTTGCCTCCGCCAGAGATGTCCATATCCGAAGCAGGGCCTTTGCGAGATGGAGCCGTATCGCCCACTGCACCCACCAGCTCAGCCGATCTCACTCCGCCACCTTCGCAAAGCGCGCCTCCCACACCGCATCATCTCGATCGACGACGCAGCGAAACCGCCACCAGCACTCGCACCTCTCCCACCCGTCCTCTTTCGCACCAACAACAACCACCCATCCTCCCCGCACGATCCAAATCCCTCGCTGGCCCCGTCGCATCAGGCTCACCACGTGTCATCTCCAACCGCGCGTCAGCCCTCGAAGCTCATCGTCTCTTCACTCAACACCGTCCGCATAGAAATTCCGCCATCCAAGCTGCCACCTCTGGATCGGGCACGTTCAGGTTGGTTACACCGAGATTGACTACTCCCGAATCAGAGTTGCCTCCCGGTGCGATGAGTGGGAAGAGGAGTATTATGGATGCAGGATACTTTGGTGGTGCAGCTATTGCAGAGGAGGGGCAAGGTGGCGTGGAGGAAGGGGTGAGTGGGGAGGGGTTCAAGCCGTGGATGCTGCATGCTATGTCTCCGAATGGTGGGGGTGTGGGAGCGAGACCGGTGAGAAAGAGACCGTTGAGTGCCGCGGCCAGACTGAGTAGAGTCTATGGACCGATGTTGGCAGCGAGTGGGAGCCAGAGTCAGTTAGATGCTGGTACCAGTGGAAGTGGTGCAACTGGGAACAAGGTTTAAGGCTGCGCCTGGTGAACCTAGCGGTGTTCTGTTATGATCTGTTTTCTGTTATGATCTGATGATATTACGTTTTCGACTTCGTATAGCTTAGCTTTCGTTTTTTAGCATTCATACCCGTTTGTTTTGTTTATCTCAATACGGTACTTCTTACATCGGAAGTCGAGAGAGTGTGCGGTTGCGTGTGCTCAACATATTTCGGTGACTTTCCCTCAAGGTGTATGGAAGTGTCCAATATAAATTAGATTAAGATGGTATCATTAAGACGGTCATATACATATTGAGGTGGTATCATTGAATCCGAATCCGAGCGCTACCTAACCTTCCTGCGTTGCGCTTAGTGAGCGCCAACAGCAGCAGGCTGGTAAGCAGCGGTAGTAGCAGAAGTCTATGTTGTAACCAGCTGGCTGAGCAGCGTTAGCAGGAATGTTGGTGTTCCGCAACTGGGTCACTGACTGGGTCTGCACTGGAGCTCCATTACCGGGACCGCCAGTCACCGGAGCGTCGGTGTTAGCAGCCAACGCCTCCTTGTGACGGTGTCGCTCCTGTTCACCCGTAGCCTTGTTGTGCTGGGCACTCGCCAAGTGCTGTTCAGCATTCTGAGTCTTGCCACGGTGGTCGGCGAGAGACCTGTTGGTGTTGTCCACCTTCATCTTCTTCTCTTCCAATGTTCGAACAGCTTCGTTCTACTTGGCTTGGGCCTTCTCGAGTCTGGCCTGGAGTTTGTGCTCCTTCTTGATGGCCTTCTGGTGTTCCTTTTCAGCACCGGTCCCAATAACCCGCCAACCCAACGGCCACGATATCTGGGATGCACCACAAGTGGTTGCACCTCTCACCACCTCCACCCGACACCCTCGATGGACACCTCGACCCGCCAACCTCTTTGATCCCCGCAGTAACGTTATTGATACCACCACAGAATCTCTATCTCAACGAACAGAGCCGCTCCATCGCAACGCCACCAATTTTCTCGATTCTCGCAATCAACCTACGGTATCAACACCTTACCCTACTCACTGGCCTACATCACTATTCACGACGTTCACGTCCGACTCTGTTAACAACGAGGAAGATAACACAACTCTGGCGCAGCACAACCTACCACCCTCCACGGACAATTCAAACATGGAACGACTTCAAACTATGAACGCAACCGACATTGCGGCCTTTTTGAGAGGGAACCTAGCGCAAAACGACGGCTCGCAAGCAGACGACTTGCAGGAAGACGACTTGACCATGGCACCGAGGCCAGCGACACCACTGGGATCAAATGGGGATCACCCCCTTCACCAACTTCTCGATGAACCCGACGATGAAGACCGAGAAGATGCCCTACTCATCGCGACCGCCGAAGCGGGCTCGCTGTTCACGGCTTTCTTTGCCGGTGAGTTATAACCCGAAGCACTTTTCACATCTCATCACGCTTTAGTGGGGTGCGCCAGCCCACTCGCCCGTCTGCAGCGAAATGCAGACAGGTCGCCTACGGACAAGGGACATTGGACAAGAAAGTGATTACGGCCGGCCTGTGGTCACACGGTGTTTCACTCCGGGAGATGTTTAGTTCTTCAGCATGTATTCTTCCAGATCTGGGTAGGTAACCAGAAAAACACAAGTCACAAGTAATCAACACTAGATTTTGGCAGACTTGAGCTGCTTGTCGTCAGCCTTGGCTTCCTTGGCGAGGATCTTTTCTTCGCGCTTGGCTTGCTTGGTGTTCATGATGTTAGATGTGTTGTATGTGTGTAGATGGGAGTGAAGGGTATACGGAGTTGTTGGAAACACACACTTGGTTGAGTAGAAGGTGAGGGATGTTTATATATATCTTTACCGACCGTGGGAAAACTCTTTGCACATGGCATAGGAAAGTGCTCTGACGTAGGCGAAGCAATCTTAGGCGAAATAGCCCAAGGGTCAAGCTCTCAAGTTGGCAGTCCAAGTTGCACTCGCCACTATAACCGTGCCGTGTCTTACGCCATGCCACACCTCGTGTAGAAACCTCGAAGCCAAGCAACTCGCCTTCTTGTTTCGAATGCAGTATTAGACACATAAGCAAAGACACGTGAGTGCAGCGCACAGTGTGAAGCAACGATGACGTCATAACGTCATACGTTTTTGCTCACTGGGCGCGTGGCGTGGAGTCAGAAAGGAATAAAAACCAAACAAAGCACGGCTTTTTTTTTTTTTTTTTTTTTTTTTTTTTTTTTTTTGAGCTCTGCTTCTTTTCCTGCACTTTTGGAGCGCTCTCTTTGCTCAGTGCTATCACCCGTTGCACCCAAACCAGACGCTGATTCGCCGTTAGCAAGAGTCATGCTAAAGGTTTCAATTACCGAATGAGGAGTTCAAAACAAAACTCGTTCCAGTCGGAGTTCAGCTTAGCCCAGTCAAAGAAGGGTAAGCTTCGGCAACGTCCTCGTTGATTCTTTTCTGCCGCTGCAAAGCATAGCGATGCAAATAGAATTGTGTTGGCTCGAGGGTGACATGGATAAACATTACGCCTTGGCTGATTGACCGAAGCGCCGTAAGGCATGACGAACGCGCCAGTGGACGTCACAAGTGTAGCTTTGCCAGCCGCCTTTCGTGACGATGTACAATGGACCTGTCACCATCCTCGAAAATAGCATTCTCTGAACATGACTACGCCGAAGTTACTGCGGAGCACGGCATGTATACGCCACCGACCTATACAACTCAAATAGAACCCTTCTATTCCCTATTGTGGCGGTCGGCATTCGGTGTTGTTCGCACAGCATCATCGTACCGAATCGTTGGTGGTTTTTAGAGTTGCGCATGGCTCGATATAGGTAGCCGGTGACGTTGGAGATGTTCGGAGCGCTTATCGCCGTTCCTGCTGGGCACCCATTTAGCTACCCTAAGTTGTGCGCTGTGTCGGTAGGAAGCTAACATCACAGCCTCGGTGGTGGGAGTCTTCTGAAAGATCATCGTCAGACATAAATGACTCGTTCTTTGACGTCCTGCCCACTCAATGCGGGTTATAGTTTGTGGGTTTAGTTTAATTGGCCGCCAGTTTGGGTGGCGATACCTCGGGTCGGCTGCATGCGGAAGTATGATCTTGATGAAGAGCAGTTTGTTTTGTGCTGCCGCCGGATGAATGGTGTGGAAGCTTAATGATCATGTTGACGCAAAAAAGAGACTTGTGATGCACTGTTAGGCCGAAATCATCAACAAGATATGGATTCATGAAGGTGTTGGTTTCGACCCTTCATCTCGCGAATGCGCGACGCGCGCGCTCTTGTCCCACTGCGCAAACTGAAAGAGCACTTTACACGACGTGCCAACTTGGTGGAAATTAGAGCACTGCGCAGCCAACCAACTTCCTTCCGCACAGACATCTCAAGATCATCTCTCTGACATCACCATCCTGTCTTTCCTTCCTTATCCGCTCACAAATCGCTTCACTTCACCTACACAGTACTCAAGCACCGCCTTACGCATTCGAAAACCCCGCATCAAGATCAATCCCAACACACCAGAAACTTCAACAAGAGGAGAAAAGATCGAGCAACAATGTCAATCGTCCACCTGAACAGCGTCAAAATCCTCAACGCAGAGGCCAAGTTCGAAGACCCTTACATCTTCAAAATCACTTTCGAATGCATCTCACCGTTGCAAGATGATATCGAGTGGAGATTGGTCTATGTTGGATCTGCCGGAGATGAGAAATATGATCAAGAATTGGATAATTGTATGGTGGGGCCTGTTCCTGTTGGTATGTATCACACCAATATCAACCCGAACAAGCTTGTCTGAGAGCTGATTACTGATGCTTACCTCTCCTGTCCTTCTTTTCGCCATGTCTTACTCTGCCGGCTCTGCGATGTTGTGTTTTGGTCTTCTACGATTTGCTTCGCTCTGTGCTGCTTCGCTCAAAATTGGGCTCCTATAAAACAACCCGCTCCGCCACGCTCGACATCCCCATCTCTCGCCCACCTCCGCATTGCCTCGCTTCGCTCCACAGGCATTAACTCGTTCGAATTTGAAGCAGCAGCCCCATCCCCATCCAAAATCCCCCCTGAAGACCTTCTAGGCGTAACCGTTATCCTTCTCACCGCCTCTTATCGAGACCAAGAATTCATTCGAGTCGGATACTACGTAAACAACGCCTACGAGACAGAAGAGTTAAGAGAAAATCCTCCAGAGAAAGTAGACTTGACGCAGGTTAGAAGAGAAGTTCTCGTAAGCAAACCAAGAGTAACGAGGTTCAACATCAAGTGGGATGATGCTGCTCCCGTTGCTGCCTCGACATCAACAGGATCTGCGGGGATGGCGAATGGGGAGGGTGTTACTGCATGAAGAGAGGGAGATGGTGTAAAATTGAAATAGTAGATGTCATTGTCACCTAAAGAGAAGATGGTGTCGTGTGCAGATAGTAGGAGCGACAAGAAGATCGTTGAGGTCTGGGTTGCGAGCTTGATGAGTGATATGGGATGATGCAGATGCTGTTTGATTGTGTGAGGAGTACAAATACAAATGAGGCTGTAGAGGGTTGAGAGATAGCGGCTGACAGAAAGATCCTGGTTGGGTATGCGATGCGAGTTCATATGTCGAGATTGAAACTGAGTGTCTTACAGATCGATGCAATGCGGTTGATGCCGATGAGGACGCTAGAGACCGACTCCTCTTAGCGCCTCTTCTGGGCTCCAACACCTCAACGGCCCAACCCCTGCTCCCTCCCTCCCCAACACATCGTTCATCCCATACTCGAACCTCTTCGCCAACGGATCCCCATACCCGATGCTCTTTCCCTCCGGCTTCCACAACAACCCAACCTCATCCAAATAATCAGTCATACTCGCCATCCCGCTTAACGAGTTAAAATAGATCGCTTCCGCCCTACTTCCGAACCCGCCCTCCAACATATACGCCAAATGTCTCTGAATCAAACCCGTATGTAACCCCCAATTTGTCGCTACCTTGAAGAAGAATCCTACTGCCTCACCCGGAGTCTTGTCCTCCCCCGCAAACAGGGCCGGATTAGCTAGCAACCCTCTCGCACTCATCGCTCCCCTGCACCCCGTCTTCTTCCTATACCTAATCGCATCGTCCAAAGTCCACACATCGCCATTAGCAACACATGGAACCAACCCTCCACTACCCCCATCTGCCCATCTACTCGCCGCTCCACCTTTACTTCCCCAATTCGTCCTGAACCCGCACGTGTTTGCCGCGTCGACTGCGAACTTGATCCCATCTAGATCAACCGGTTGCGTCGAAGTTTGCCATCTTGTCCTACCATGGATCTGCAATACTGAGGCTCCGGCGTGTAGTGCATTTCTGACGAGAGTATCGGTGAGACGAAGGTCGGGATCGATTCGGATCTTGACGGAGACGCAAAAGTCGGATCCCATACGAGATTTGACTGCACGAACCATATCACGAACCGTTTCGGGTTGACGGAGAAGATAGGAACCAATTTGTTCTTCGTATGCCCATGATTGTGGACAGCCGCAGTTGAGGTCTACGCCGTCGACAAAGGGTCCAATGAGTTCGGATGCGTCTGCGAAGGGTTCTGGTTCGGGGGATGCGAATTGGGCAATTAGTGCTCCTCGTACCCTCACTCTTTGCTTGGATACTTTTCTTTCCGATGCGAGCTTTTCTCGTTGGATCTCGCCCACAGTGCCGTTTAGATGGGAGCCAGGGGAGTTAAGTACACGCTGTGCACTCTCCGATCCCTCGATAGTGGCAGGGAGGAGGTCGTACGTGCCACGTTCGTACTGATTTGTGGAGAACTCTGAGTTTCGTGCTGCTTCAGTACGACTGAACTCTCGAGCGAGAGTCATGGGTGTGGTGGTGATATGTGTTTCATAGCGAGATACGAGCGTTCGGAAGGCGAGTTTGGAGTAGCGCACCATTGGAGCGCAAACGTTGAGTCCGTGGAACGCATCGAGGAGGAGGTGCGGTGGAAGTTGGACTGCTTCCGGGTCGTACTTCGGACATGGGTCTGACGAGGAGCTCACGCCGGTGGTGGTGTCGAAACCGTTTATTCCAGGCATAGTTGTAGGTGGACGCGCCTCGAGAGGCTAGGATGTTGATCCGTTGTGAGTAGATCGAATGTAACGGGGGAAGGAGAAGGCGTGGATAGGAAGAAATGCAAGGGTGCAGGAGGCGGCAAAGTCAAATTTCCAAGGTTCTTGATTCCGAGAGCCGAGTTTTGACTTCGACTTTTGGTGATGTGTGAATAAACAGGGTTAACATTTTTCCCCATTCCCTTCCGACACATCCCAGACTGTAGCCTAGTCGTTCGTCTTGCGTCAACATACCTCATGGCTGTTAGGTAAGCTTCGATGATGAATCCGGCTCTATGTAAAACGAACCATAGACTCCGCCTTGAAGCATGGAGTTCTTTGCTGATCGATTTCAAGCTAGGCAGATCGGATGATTGAGATTTTTAAAGTCCGCCTGAGTGTATCCTGGCCGGAAATCGTGCTGAAAGGCATCAGAAGCAGACTCAACCTCCCACAGAGCAAGGTGTAGACTGCGCTGATGGTGAGCTTGCACTAATGAAAGCGGAGAGGGAAGCGGCATCAGAATCGACAGCAGAAGTTTGTTGTGAGATATCTGCGTTTGGCGGGACTCCCTCTTGTCCCGTCTGCCTTCAACCAAGGTATTGAGATCCCGACGATCAGGTACTGGCTTCGCTCACCATCCCCGACCATTAAAGCTCCACTCTTTCATCATCCGATCTCATCAGGGCTGTACGGAATCCGAGAACATATAAAGATGTCGCGCGTGAATCGGAAGTACCCAAGTCGGGGCATGAAAGTATATGCGAGATCCTTTAGCTTATAGCTTATGGCAGCTAAAGCGATCACAAAGTCGTCTGCAGAGGCTCATCCATGCCAAGGAATGACTTGTGACGAGAAGTCCGATCAAAGTATCCAGCTGGCGGGTCCAGAACATGTTCTGCTGATCAGCTGCCAAGCAATCCCCACGCTTTGACTGCTTCCACCAACCCAAATGGCGTGTGGAAAAGTCGGCCTCCGTCCCAAACCCCTTCCCTTCCAACTCCGATGATGTTACCCGTGCAAACACCATCCCGCGGTACAGTACAGAAGCTGGTATTCATGCCGCTGCACCATGTACGGCATACCTCTTGAGGTCGAAAAGAAAGGAGCATGGCGGGGAGCGGTGTAGAGAATGTCAGGCGCGCTCCAGCATGAATGGTTGGTGAAGCAGAATGCTGCGGGCTTGACGGGACCATTGCTCGAACGGTCTTCTGCTCTCGAAGCACTACTTCCCGCGATTCCTAGACGAAGTTTACTCACCTCCGCTGACGTCCTTGTTCTCCTTTTCATAATGTCGCTCTGTAATGGAATCGGATGTTCGATGCGAGCAAGGGCGCGGGGGATTTTATAAGCCATCTTTCTTGATCCGATTTGGAAAAGGTCAAAAGGCGGAAAAATGCCAAACATGCCACTGCAGCTTAACAGTCGTGGTTATTGTGGTCGTTGCTGTCGGTGTCGTCGGACATTGTTTCAGAGTATATATAGAACGAAAGCTTGGCGCAGACAGACAGAAACCGGAACGGCGATAGGACTGTATGAGAAAGCAAACATGTCAATCTCTTAGTCTCTTGCTCTCACAGCCCTTCTGCCAGCTGGCTAAGCTAAGCCACGCACACACACAGCAATGTGTCGAGAGAAGGCTTTCTTCTGCGTTCTGCTGTGCACGGCGTCTGCCCGCTCTTGTCCGTCGTATTTGAGTGTCCGTTGTGCTACGTCTTCCTTTTCGTTCTGCAATTGCAACTGCCAGCGCTCAGCTTTCACATTCCTGGATCGCAAGTCGTAAACAATCGTGTTCTTCGCGTTTCCTTTTCGACGAGGAGCACACGGACAATGGCAACTTGCCGCAGGCTGCCGATAACCGCATCCGCTAGATGAGTCGAGCGATCAGCTGTTTTCCTGCTCGCTGCTCTCTCCTCGCTGGGCCGTGTTCGAAATTGAGTTCTCGAGGCGAAGCAAGAAAGCAGGAAAGCAGCGAAGAAGGGGAAACGAGGGCGCCGTCTGCAAGTCTATACCACCACCCTGACAACTGTCAGCAAACGAGGCTTGTTTGACACTCCGATCCGTTCCTCCCTTTCCACTTCGTCTCATAGAGACTTTGTCTGATTGTCCATTCTGAACTTCTGTTCCTCGAGCCCGCATCAATCCCTCTCTGTCTATTCTCCGTGCCAAGGCCAGACGATCAAAGTCGAACAAGGTTTTCGGTGCTGGAAAGGTCTCCTCCACAACTTCTTGCTTTGATTCGAACTCTGGTCCTCCTCATCCTCCTGCTCGACCTCTTTCCCTCAGCAATCAAGCCCTTTGATGCATCTTACTGCCCTCAGAAAACCCTATTTTCGCCGTTCGCACCACAGAGTCGAAACTCTGTTCCCGTCTCCACTTCCACTCAAGACCAGACCTGAGCTACCAGTGTAGTGTGTGTACATTCCTGACCAAGAGCGGGACTAAATACATGTTATAAGAGGCTAAGGGCACCACTGTACTTAAACAGCTTGACCTCCGTGGTGTCCGCTTCCTTCCCGACCTTTTCCTCCACTCTCTATCTCTCATCCTCCTCTTTCTTGCCTTTGTCTCTTGGAATCTCTCCTAAGTTCAGCTCAGCTACAACGCGAATTGCCACCATTCTGGCATCCACATCGCAACATCCAACTTCACCATTCCCTCGCGAACTCATATGTCCGTCTACAGCCTGTTCTTCTCATCCCAGCGACATCCAGCTTGTAGCGACACTTGCATATCAACTCCGTCAACGGTCCTGCACATCATCACTCCATCATTCCCACTTTGGTCTCCTTCAAGATGCCGTCCTTCCCTCAGCAGTATGACTACGTTGACTCGGGCAGATTCCACTACGGCTACGACCGTGAAGAATACCCTCACTACGAACAACAACACGACAACGGCGGCGTCATGTCACCTTGCGTTCAACCTCACTCGCGCACCATCTCGCGTCCTCGTGTTGGTATGGCTTGCGAGCACTGTCGTAAAAGGTAAGCTTCATCACATTCCTCGCCATCATCACGCGTCGTCAAGGACCACATCACTTACACCCTTGCTTTCTCTTTTCTCTTCAATGTTCGTGTTTGTGCCGAGTAGAAAAGTGAGATGCGACGGCAAGCAGCCAAGCTGCGGTCTCTGCAGCCGACTCGCTCACGTCACATGTGTCTACGTCAAGGTGACCCCCGAGCAAAACGCGGTTCTACGCGAAAAGAAACGTCAATCCAAACAACGCAAGAACGCAGAATAAGAAGCTGCCCGTGCCAACTTCCACAAACACGACACTTTCCCTGCTTACCATCCCTATCGCAACACCGGCCTGCCTGCCCAGTCAGGCACCTACCGCAGCGGTGCTGGCTTTTCATCGAGCGTCATCGATGACATCAACACTCAGCGTGCCAGTGGAATTCCCAACGCTCCAGCTCTGCCTCAGACTGGCACTGTCCTTCAGTCCAACCAACCCCAGCAGCCATCGAGCGGCTACTTCTACGATGGTCGATACCAGGCAGCTCCCGGCACCAGCACGGGGGCGAATGCGATATTCAACGTTGGTGCAGGCATCAAGGGTTCTTCTCGTCGTCCGTCGGTGATGGCTCCTTATGCAAGGAAGCAGAGTTTTGAAGCAGCTTCGGTGATCACTACTGCTGGTGGTTAGTCTCGTGCTTCAGAAACTAGATCTTTTTTCTCCTCTTCCACCTCTAGCTACCGCTACGACCCGATCCCCAACGACGCAAACACTCTACCAGTTGCAGGTGGACTCAACATCCTCACCCCTCATCTGAACACGAACACCACTTCGTACTACACCAACTCGACGTTTCGTACCCCTATCACCGAACCTCAACCTGAAAGGTCCATGTCAGCATTCACTCCACAACCTTGCCTCGTCGAATACCAGACTTCATCTCCGATTCACACTCCCACTGCCACTCCCACCCGCCCACAATCTGCGTCGGGGGCGGGGGGGATATTTCGACCATCCCAATCGTGGGGTGGAGGGATTTCGTCCCCCCTCCGGCTCATCATCTAGCCTCCTCGCTCACCATCAGCAGCAATGCCTTAGTTGTTCACCCACAACCACCGCGACTTCCCCCTCCTATTTGACCAACCTCCCTTCGTTGGAGAGAGCTCCGTCCAGAACGGATTCTTGTTCGGTTGCTTCGCCCGAGACTTCTCCCCACCATGCTGAGGATTCCGCCACCGTTTGGGGTGGCGAGCAAAAAAAGCAGTACTGGGGTGGTTCGCAGCAGAATTGGGATTCGCAGGCAGCCGCTGCTGGAGAGGAAGTCGCTAGCTGGGCAAGTCAAGTGAACCCTGGTGGAAACGGTAAAGCTTGGGATCCAGTTGTGTCGCATTACCTGCAACAGCCTAGTCATAGCCCAATCTAGTGCTCTTAAGCCCAATCGAATCGTCCGCTGACAGGCTTTTGTCAAAATCGCAAATCGTATCGCATTGCATCCGTCTCGTTTTGTATTGTTATATCATTATATCCCCTTAGCGCGTGAGTGTCTACTTTCTTTTCTGTGCCACCAGCATCTTCTCACGGAAGAGTCGTTGATCTCGCGCGCTAGTCCTACATATCATTATATCCTGTCCGTTCTTAGCAATCCATGATTTTGTTGTCTCTTCCTTCCCTCCTTGTGTCTGTGAATGTCTGGGGACGGTGAATGACGAGATCGACAAGAAAGCAGGCTTTGTTTGATGTCGGTGAAGAGGTGATCGATGCTTGAGTTCTTCCCACCTTCCCTTTGCAACCCGATCTCGTCCGGCGAAGCAATAACCTTATTAGGATATCCTCTCGACAGACTCTGGATTCTTCTTTAAGAGCACTGCGAGTGACACTCTCTCGCACCGTCGCGGTGGCCCAACCATGAGACGCTAGATTGAGCACGCAAAGGTTACTTCCCGGTGCTTCAGTTGCCAAGCTGACTTACACAGCTTTTGTAATGACACGACCAGCAGTGTCTCCTCACCTTCCGAAGCGTCGAGGAGGCAGCTCGTTGGTCGGCTAGACTCTGCCACTCCATCGACCAATATAGTTCGGCTTTGCCGAGCATCATCGCATCTTCCGCTCGCCCACATCAAAGCTCCACAGCTCCATCACAAGTCGCATCCCCTCACACACTGCCGCTCAACGTCACACTACCTCACACTACCTCACACAATCGCAACGTATGAATATGATATCCAGGCAGAAGAACCGTACTGGAGAGTGTAGTTAATGCATCAAAAACACGACATGCGCTACATCTATTCATTCAGAACAAAGAGCAAACGTCGATCGAACAGTACACTACTTTTACTTGCCCTGGGGAGCATCCTTGAAAGAAAGACAGTGCTCCTCACCCATAGCGGAAACAACGGTGACCATGAGGTCCTTGCCGTCATCGAAAGCAGCCTGGATCTGCTCACCAAGATCACCATCGGGAACACGGACATCGTCCTTGGTGTCACCATCGTTGGTCATGAGGTTGAGGAAACCGTCGTCAATGTTGACGAGCTGGTACTCGTCACGCTTGACGTGGGGGACGTCCATGTTGTGGGTGGAAGGCGAAATGTCTTCGTACTTCTTCGAGGTGAAGATGTCGGTAGCAACAAGGTGCACCTTGGCGTGACCATGCTTACCGGTCTTGGAGGTAGACATGTCGATGATCTGCGAGTCGTTGAGGGAAGAGAGAGAGGAGGATAGGTTGTAGGGTCAGATGGTTGTTCAGACGGAGTGGGGCTGTGAGATCGAAGTTTCTCGTCATGGTTGCAGTGCAGTTGTCGAAGCAGAGTGCAGGTTGCAGAGGTTGAAACGATCGGCTGACGCTGAGGGAGACAGAAGGTGCGGCATCAATGGCATTGTGGTTGTCACAACATGCGAGGCAGTATTGCAAGATGCAATGCATAGCGGGGCTCGACGGCAGCAAACTCGGGTCCGACCTTGGCTTCAATTCGCGACTTCCCATGCACCCAGTCCTGACTTTGCTTGTGCTACTCTTCAGCAGCACCGTGAGGACACCTGTGACTGCACCGAGACAGAGAAACTTGGAGTACTGGAGCTGAAACTTACCTTGCAAGGGCGGCCCTTGATGACGACGTGACCGTTCTTACGCAGAGCAGAGCACTGCATAGGGAAGGTGAGCGACGAACCGGCATCAGCGGTGTCGAAGGTGGCGTTGTGCTGCTCGTCGTCGGAGGCGGACTATTGTTGCGATAATTGTTGGGAGAAAGAGGGGAGTGAATGTCAGTGATCATGTTCTATTTGTAGAATGAACCATGCGACCGATCTGAGCTGCGCCACCGACTCGATATCGTTGCTTATCTGCAGCGCGATGCAGTGACGAGATAGCAGCAGCTGCGGCGATGCTGTACGATGCAATATAGAGCCATGAATTCGATAGCCTTCGCTGCTATGGAAACGAAATCGCTCGACGGGCGATCATGGTCGAGCGACGTTCACGCTGCTGAGATTGTCATAGCTGCAAGCTGCAAATCCAGCGATATCAATCGGTAACAGCCTTGTCGCAAACTCTAGACGTCGTCAAAACGTACCATTTTGGCTGATTGATCTACAGGTGGGTAGGTGGTAGTGAGAAGAAGAAAACCGGCGATAGCGCTATTGTGAGGACCAACGCTCTGTTCTGGCTGCTGCTTGCTGCTGCGACAAAGTGAAAAAATGGCCAAGGCTGGGCTTGCTTGCGAGTCGTTCGAGAAGATCTGCTTTCGCTCTCTCTCTCTCTCTCTCTCTCTCTCTCTCTCTTCCAATTTGGCCCGGTCTGAGGTGGCACTTGGGCAGCGTTCTGTACCCAATTTACGCCCTTCTCACTGCAAGCAAAAGCGGCACACCATCCACACCTCAATTTTCTCTAGAGCAGCAAGCGCAAAAAAGTTTTTCAGTCTCTTTTCCCAGATGCTTTGAATACAACTTCGCAGACGTGGCTTTAAACGCTGTGTCGAAGTTGTAGTCATGAGGAGGGCAAGAATTACAAAATGGTCCTAGAGTTGAATACAGTCTTGTGTCTGCCTTTTCTCGAAATGTTTGCTTCGGGACAGCGAGGCCAAATCCCTCTTTGTGGCTCTCTCGCACACGCCAACTCTGCACACAAAGAGAGGATGAGAGGGCTGAGCTGCCGGCCGGTTCCGCTCAAAACTACATCGGGCCCGATTCTATGCTCGAAGCTTGTATCGACGATGCTATCCTATCATTACTTCGTATCCGAACCGCTCAGCATCATGCTCTTGCGGCATCCGCATCTGCCACGGCAACGTCGCTGACACTGAGCCTTCCACTGCTTGTGGCTCGCACTGGGGTGTATTCGTAGGGGTCAAGGGGCTAATAAGCCTCAATGACACGATGACTCGACGCTGCCATGCTTCATTGTTCCTTCCGATGCAACCAGCGGCAAGTGATGCTGAGGAGCCATCATAAAGGGTCGCAGAGAGCAGGGAAGACCCTATCACACGTGCTGCCCGAGGGATGGAAGAATATTGCCGTTTGCTCCCCATGAAGGAGCGACATTGATGCTGTTGCGACTCCATGGATCCGAACGGGCGGAAGACTGCCTCGGCTGACCACATTTTCTGCCGGAGAAGGTCCTTTAGAGTTGATATCAACGACTTAGCAGTTGATGCCGGTAGAATGTTTCGTAGCGCGGTGACGTCCGACTCAGCATCGATCTGTAACGTCTACCCAGCATTGTTTTGCTTGTCATGTGGTTGATATAAGAGCCGTGTCAAAGCCAGCTTCACCCACAACCAAACGATCATCAACCAACAACACCGCCAACATGTCCATCCTCAGAGCATTCCAAATAGGCATCATCATCAGCAGCACTCGTCAACCCCGAATCTGTCCCCAGAAACTGCGTTCCACACGGAACCAGGCAGCTGTCAAACAGCCTCAACCTGCATCAAAGGTTCAACCTTTCCCCTGTCGCTCTGTCGCACGAAACAACTCGAAAATTCCTCCGCTGTCAAATTCTCAGCCATCTCACGTCGAAATTTTGCCATCTCACCCAAGTGTGAAGCAAGGGGATCAAAAAGGAAAAACGTGACCTGCTCGCCATCCAACCATCATCCCGTGACCTGCTTGCGAATATTCACGACTCCAAGCCCAACGCCGCAAGACCAACTCACACTCTACGCGTTTGGCCAACGCGAGTGATCCAACACCCTGCATTCCAAGTCCAACATTTCTTGCATCTTCTTTCGTTCCTCGTCGAAGGCTTTGCTTCGACGCTACTCGAGTGCGATCGTCGTCGTTGTGGTCGTCGTCGCGATCATTAGGAACTAAGACGCGTCAGAAGTGGTATAGTGACCACGATCTAGGTTTGATCATAGGGGTTGTGAGAGCGCTAGTGCTTGTGAGAGCATCGAAGACATAGCGACAACAGGGTCAAGGACAGGTGCGACGCATAAAGAGGCTGTGAGCACCGGGTTTCATCAGTGATAGTCTGGACGTGATCTAGGCATACATCTAGCCAACAACGACAAGGTAGCATCCACTCCCTCAGCATCTCGCACCATGTCAGCGGCAACAGAATCAGCAGCACCAGCTCATCAGCGCGAGGGTGAGCACATACAACCCACTGCCAATGGTCACAACTCCACTGCCAACACCACTGCCACCACCACCGAGCAAGCAGCAGAAGATGGACCGCAAGAAAACACAAATTCCGCAGCTCGCAACGACACCGTCGCAGCCGCCGCCGCCGCTCTCGAATCCACCCCAGACCCTGCTGAACGCGACGTATCCAACATCCTCGCTGGCCTAAACCAAGAACAGCTCGCCTCGATCGTCGCCGCTGCTCGCGCCTCCGAAGCTCGCAATGGCGCCGGCTCCACCGAGAACCCCAGCGAAAATACTCTCAACGGCGAAACCAACTTAGGTCAAGCAGCAAGTGCACTCACCAGCATCGCATCCGGCTTCAAACGCACCCCCGGCAAAGACACCCCCACCGCCGGTGCAACTTCTTCCCAAACCTCCACCGAGTTCAACGGCGGCACAAAAGACCTCAACCCAGCCACAACCGCCGCCATCACCGCTGCCAAAACCGCCACAGGCACTGCCACAGCCGCTGCCATCGCCTCCCTTGGCTCCCTAGCAGCCGCATCCCACACCCAACAATCCCAATCAACCACTTCTCCACACCAACAAGAACCTGATGAATCTCTGGATTACTCTAACCCAAATTCCCCTGGTGGTTCTCGCAAACGTCCTCGTGGTCCAGAATTGGATAGACAGAGGAAAGATAATCATAAAGAAGTCGAACGTCGTCGTCGCTCCGCTATCAATGAAGGCATCACCCAGTTATCGCATATCGTACCTGGTTGCGATGCGAAAAACACAAACAAGGGGGCAATTATTCATGCTGCAGTACGGTATATTCAGGATCTGAAGCATAACGAAGCGAATAATATCGAAAAGTGGACACTGGAGAAACTACTGATGGATCAAGCGATGGGTGATTTGACTCAACAGTTGGAGGAGGCGAGAGCTCAGGTAGAGAGGTTGAGAGCTGAACTTGATGAACGATTTGCCTCCGAACATCAACAGGATGCTAGTGGGAAGGGGCAAGCAGGGGAGAGTTGAAGCACACGAATCGCACTTCGATTATATCCTTTTTTTGGAACGCTTGTATATTCGTAATTCTAGTCTCGTTTTATCTACATATCTCCCAGAGTGATTACCATCGAAGGGAAAGGTTCTTATTCCTAACCATAGGACGCGTTGCAATGATCCCCGCCGAGAGGATGGATAGCGTCAGTAGCAACTGTGCTTTGTTGAAGCTCTCCTGCAAGATGTCGAACTGCCCAGACGGGCTGACCCGAGTGAGCACCGTATCCAATCCGTACGCATATACGATCGCTGTGGACTCGAGAAGAGCAGGGCCAGTGGCGAAACTTCGAATCTTTGCCGCTGGGTAAACATGGTTGATTACCCACTTCGGATCTTCGGGGATGAGTGGGGAGTAAGGGACCATGTATTCCTCCGCTTCGGACTTGCTTGGCTTTCCGATAGGTCGTCGAGGGTCGAGCAGTTTACGAGGAATGGAGACGAGCGAGTCTCTGTCGGTTGAGATAAGGAGGTTTTTGAGCGAGATACCAAATTTGGTTGAGGTGGTGGAGAGGGCGTGGATTGGGCCTCCCGTGTAGATGTATGTCTGGAGGTATGCCACTGGAAGGATACCCGAAGTGGTAGATTGGGAACTATCACCGGTGAAACTGCTAAAGTTGCCCTCCAAGCCGGACCAAGAGGAGGAGAGACTGCGCGTGGTGGCTTTACCCTTGACCTCTTCGGTAGGGGTGGAAGGCTGTTCGTAGATTTCGATTGTGACAATGTGAGTCGAGAGTCCTTCGTCCGGTGTTCGAACGCTGTAAGTTGCCGTGATCCAATTTTCGACCAAGTGTGCATGGACAGGTTGGGCTAGATCGACATCATCCAGTTGCAGCTCGTACAATACTGCACCTGTCACTGTGTCCAACAGGTACAGATGGGCCTGATTACTCTGCCTCGTAGCTGTCACGATCACCCTGGCGTGGGGGTTGAGATACTTGTACAGAGTCGATCGGTCTCCCAAAACACGACCATAAGAAGCGATCACATCCTTACTCGGCGCCTGTACAACGTCCAACACTTCCTCACCTTTCGGCACTGTCCATGTCCAAGCCTGGCTTGACCTGTGAATGCTGCTCACACCCTTCTCCACCGTGTAACCGACGAACTTAGCTCCAGCACCCGCCGACGCAGCAGGCCCTTGTACTGCAAAGAAGTACTTATCCGAAAGCGGCTCGAACCTCTCCGCAACCGCAAGTGTATCAGGATAGAGGAAAAGATTATTCTGCTGATCCACCAGTCCCAAGCTCAGCTGCCTCTCCACTGCATCTTCCACACTCTGCGGCAACAAGAACGCATCCTGACACCTCCCCACGAACACAGCCTGGCCCGAGCTAGCATCGTTTCTAAACTCGCCCGTCAGGGGGTTCAACTCGAACACTCTCGTCGTGAACAGTCCTGGCTGCAACTCCACCTCAGCCACAATAGCAAGTAAAGGACTCTTCCCATCGGTCGAAAGTTCTCGAACAGTCTGCATAAACTTGATGTTGATCTTTGGCTCGAGCTCTCCTTCTCCCTCGCCGTATCCGATGAGGGACTTCTCCCAGAGGACAGTGTTCTTGGCGATGGTGTCTAGTGCGTAGAGCTTGCCTTTGGCAGTAGCTACAACAACGACCTTACGGAAGCCGAAGGGATCACGGAATAGCTGAGAGGTAGTGTTGGCATCAGCGACACGGGGAGCGAGGGAGGTGGGTTTTTTCTCCTGTTCTTGCTTTTGGCGTGCAGGTTTATTGCCTTCTTTGACCATCGTGGTTGTTGCCGGTGCACTGGTCGAGGTGGCTGGGCTAGCAGAGTTAGAGCTGGATAGACCGAGCTGTTCCAAGCTGCCATACGAGCCGGTGGCGAAACGAGTGACAAAGGCAACTGTGTACTGCGGCAAATCCTTGAGCGAGAGAGTGTGTCGGATGAGCCGATGAACAAAACCCTCGTGATCGAGACTAGCAGCTCCGCCAGGGATAGTGGTGAGCTTCTTCTCCGGAAGATCGACGAACGCAATGTGTGTAGTCTGTGTCAAACCCTCTTCCAAGATCCACTGGTGCTGATCTTCAAGGAGCATTCGCACAGATCCACTCGAGGTGACGAGAACAGTACGAGTAGCCAACTGATACTGCCCAACCTGACTAGCCTCGAAAGTAGCAGCGTGGACATTACCATGCAGATCGTGATCCCATTGGAAAGAGAACCCGCTGACCTGACCATCACCGCCGTTCTTGGCATCAACCCAAAGGAAGTGGAAGTTCATCAAATGCTGCGATCGAGAGAAAAAGATGCGCTGAAGGTAAGCTCTACCTTGTCGGTCGTAGGTAGCAGCATAGACTGCATCGTGAGCATCCTCCTCAAACTCCCAGAAGCTGGTGAATTTGGCATCGGCCGACACTTTGAGCACCTCGGCAAGGCCGTCGGATCGTCTACCGATGAAAAGGCCACGGTTGGAAAGACCAGGATCGACGAGCCCGGTAAAGACAGAGTCGGCACGCTTGGCATAGATGACCTGAGGCTGGGCGAGGCGCTTGCTGGGAGGATCGAGAGGAGCGGCTCGAACGCTTCCATCCTTGTTGAGCCAAGCGACCCACGAGCCAGGGTTGGCGGTGGGAGGCAAGTTAGGCAGTTGGTTCCAAGGAAGAATGACCACATCGGCAGCTTTGTTGAGGCTGGACTGGATCTCGTGCGAGGTGAGGAGCTCACCGGTATGTGCCGAAAGTGTGGTGACCGAGATCGAGTTGTAGACCGAGCCAGTGTTGCGTAGAAGCGAGACGACGTAAACCTTGTCCTTGTTGGCGACGACACGAATGACCGAACGACGAGATATGTCTTCGTTGGGCTCCCACTTCCAAACCTCTGCACCGAAAGCACCGTTGAGTCTGCGAACCGTTCGAGCGTTGGAGAGGACGACAACATCTGGTGGGACCTCCGCCGTAGCCTTGTCGGTCAAGAAAGCAGCGTCGGTAGCGGGGAAGCCAGGCTCCGGAAGCAAACCATCGCGAATGTTGTGCTGAGCAGACTCCCAGATGAGGAAGCCAGTGAAACCGTGATAAAGCCGAACGTTGGCACCTCCGTTGCCGGAAACCGTGAGAGCAACCTCACCAAACTGCTTGTGAAGAAGAACCTGGTCGTGCTCTTCAAAGGTCTGACGCCAGACGATAGCACCGTTGCGTGGGTTGAGGGCGCCTACAGCGTTGGACTCCGTTGCGACAAAGATGGCGGTCTGTGCCTTGTCCTTGATATCGGCATCGGGTTTGATGATTCGATGGAAACGTGGCGAGAGATCAGGTGTCGCCGAATCGTTGGAAGAGTGAGGTACGCCAATACGGGGTACGTGCCAGTCAATCTTGCCAGCTTCAGCTTTGGAGAGAGCGGAGACATTGTGTACACCCAGGAGGAGCGTCAGGAAGGAGGCGAGAAGGGTGACGGCGGCAAGACGGCCGAAGCCGAAGCCGTACCGACTTGTGGGTGAAGTCGGGTGTGCACGCAACATGTTAGGCGGCTATTCGCAAAGTGAATGCGAAGTTGAAGTCGTTCTGCTTTGTGTGTGGTGATGAGTTCAAGAAGAAGGAGTAGAGGTGAAGAAGAAATGTTACTCCCTCAAGATGGTTTTGCGCTTGCACACCGCAGTGTGCGAAATGAATTGACCGCTCCGACCGTGCGCAACTCGAATGTGTGTGTGTATTCTTCTCGACGTCCAGCGAAGAGGTACTGTTCGTGCGAAGCTCTCTCGCTGTGAAGTTGAGCTCGAGCTTCTCTGAGACTGAGGCTGAGACGCGTTCTTGAGGTTGGTGCGCTCATCGAAATCCAACTTTCATCGAAATCGAATCGGTGATCAGTGTACGCGAAGCCGACCCTTCGAAAAAGGCACGAGAGAGCCTCTCAACTTTCACAGAGAAAGCAAGAAGGGTCTAAGCGTCCCAATTTTCCTTTCTCTGCGCAGCAATCGGGCATCCCGGACAGCAGTCAAAAAGCAAGACGATTCTGTTGTAGGGTGTTCGACAAATAGCGTTGATCACAAGTATCAATTGCAACAATGATCATGAACTACGTACAAGATGTTTTGAATGTATATATATGTCTTCTCGTGTATACGTGTACGATACAAGGATGATGAGGCTGAAACGTAACGGGGAAACTTTGTTGGTTGTATGATAGCCGGTATGCCGATGCCTATCGCGACAATCAGTTCGGGCCTACATGGTGCATATCCGGGTAAGTGAAGTTGGCGAAGTATGTGAGAATGAAGTAGAGCTCACATACTTTTACTGATTCTTTCGCGCCTGCCCTGCGAGTGTCAGCAGCCATCGAAGGGTCTACGTTGAAAGGCGCAGCTGCGCAGACACACAAGCGAATAATCGAACACAACCAATGCGCGCTCTTTACAAATCTCGGTCGTGCCTCGCTCCGCCCTCGCCCCCGCACTGCTTGCTGCATTCAGCTTGAACACGACCATCATCTCTCTTCCATTTGTCCTCCTCTCCCTTGCTTTGCTTGCCAAGACCATCCTCTTGCAACAGGCGCTCTCGACGCCACATCTAGTGAAGCACCGTATCTGCAGCGTCTAGCTCTCACTGGTCCTTATCGCATCCGAAGTCGGGTAGACAGCTAAGCGCTTCCCATCGGACCAACGAGACAGGACCGTCGACTTCCATCCTATCGCTTCCTTCCGATCTGCATTCATCCGTTTGCTTCAAGCAAGTCTCGAGAAGCGTGTAAGTGGATATTGTCGGCTTGCATCCGACAACTCGGCCTGTGGGCTGCAGCAATCGGCTCTTCCGAGAAACGGGAACACCATCTTCCCACGACGCATCAAACAATCACAGCGCCTCTTCCTCTTTCGGCCTCTTCCGACATCTGCACGTCATTCCGTCGCAGCTTCACCATTTTCTTTGATCATATCCGTCGCTGTGACATAACGGCTCGGATACACTCTCCCCTGCACCTTCCTCGGCGCTGCATCCGATTGCCAACGCCGCCCGCTTTCACCGAGGGCACATCGGGAGCGCGACCGTACCCAAGCCTGAAAGCACTACTTCTGCTTCTCTGAATCGACAGTCTCGCTCCGCAGCGCCGCAACTATGCCGAAAGACGACTCGAAAAACTATCGGCATGATGCCGCAGCCTCCGGATCTGCCGCAGCAAAAGACGACGATGACACCAAGGATAAACCCAAAAAGGTGCTCCGTGCGTGCGACGCTTGCCATCATCGTCGAGTGCGTTGTAATCACAACAATCCTTGCAAAAATTGCATCCGTCTCAACATCAACTGTACTTGGATCAAAGCATCCAAAGGCAAACAGGCGTCGGGCCGACGTATCGATCTCCTTCGAAAAGGGCACAACCCGGCTGCTGCCGACCTACCTCATTCGCCATCCAATGCTCGGCCGTTGAGCGATCAGCATGCTCCGATGACAGCACCCAGTCCGTCCGGCTTACGTGTCATTTTGCCGCCACCGGGAGGAGCCGGACCGCCTGCCTCGCACTCGCACTCGCCTCGTCACTACGCGCCACCTTCTGGAAGCTCTGCGATGAGCCCGCCAGGTATGCCTGCCAGCGCTGGTTCGCCTTCCTCGATGATGGGATCCAGTTTCTACCCTCGCGATGCTCCGCCCATCTCGTCAAGGAACTCGTACGGTGGTGGTGGTTATGGCAGATACGATGCCAACGTTGGTGGTCCTTTTCCTCCTGGTGCGCCTGGTTCTGCTCATCATCCTTCACCTTCTTCGCACTGGTCCAGTCCCTCTTCGCGCTCGCCCGGACATCGATACCCTTCGCATGGCGGATACGGCCAACAAGAATACCCATCGTCGAACATGCCTCCCTCGACCTCTTCTTCGTCCAGCCACCACCAGCATCATCAAGGATACCGGCCGCACCTTTCGCCATCGCACGCCTACTCGCAGCACCAGAAGTACCAGCAGGTCCCACCTCATCACGCATCTTCCGGTGCGCCTCCACCTCCTCAGCGTCACCCATCGAACGCCAGCCAAGGCGCGGCGCAAGCGTCAGGCTCCAACCTCGGCTTTGCGCCTTCCGAGTCGTTCTCAGAAGGTCTAGCTGGCTCTTTCTCCGAGCTTGCACCCGATGTCGCCGCTAGCCTTCGCCTGCCTGGCTTCGACACTTCACTCGCCGACTCCTACCTCAATCCGCAAGAGGGCAGCGATCGTCGCCGCAATGTCCTTCTCGAAATGAATGCAGGTTGCATGCCCATGGATGGCCCAAGCAACACCGGCAACGGAATGGCCGGACAGCCCAACGGCCACAGCGGCAGCGGCAGCAACAACTACGACCCCTACAACAACGGCAGACAAACCTTCCTCGACGTTCTCGGTCAAAACAGCCAACTTCTTGGCGGCCCTTCCTCCACTCCTGGCTCCGTCACTTACAGCGAACCAGATTTCAACAGCAACGAACCTCATCCGCTCTCCGACTCAGTACTAATCCCAAGCATTGCCATCTTCTTCGAGCGTCTTCAATCGATCATGCCTGTTTTCACCCGTGCTTGGATCTTTGGTAAGATTGACAGGGGAGAGCATCGCACGGATCCACAGCTGGGGGCGATGTTGATTGCGCTCAGTGCATTTGCGCTTTGTCAGCCGGTCGATTCGGCGGATCCGGTCGACAGTTCTTCGCGCAAGCGAAGGGTGAGGCGACTGTTGGAGGAGTCGGTCAAAATGAGAAACAGTGCGCTGTTGGGTAGTCATCCGTCGTTGGAGGCTATCATGTGCTCCTTCTTTATCTTTGGAACGCTGTTTGGGCTGGGAGAGGAGAACGCAGCTTGGTTCAGGTTGCGTGAGGCTGTCACGCTGGGATACTTGCTCAGGATCCACGAGACATCTTCGTACGAGCATATGTACAAAGACGAACAGGAGAGGAGGTTGCGAGCGTATTTGCTGTTGGCAATTACGGAGAGAGCTTATGCTATTCAGTCCGGTTCATCGATTACGTTTAGGGGTAACCCGAGAAAGGCAACTGACTCGATCCGACGAAAGTTCGACGTAGCACAGTTGCAAGACTTCCCCAACTTGCAGAGCAGGCTGTTCGATGTGGTGGATGAGAAGTTCGTCGATTGCTGGAATATGAAATGCCCTGGTCCGGGATGTGACTATTTGGATGCCAAGCGAGCTGTTCAGTTGCATAGGGCGATCAAGGAGAGTGACGAGGATGAACAGAAGGAGAAAGAGTCTTTCTATTGTGATAGAGCTTCTTCTTCCGGTGCTGTGCGAAAGGAGAGCTCCTACCACAGGCATCATTCTTATGGTGGAAACTCTCACTTCTCGGAGAGCGGGACGAAGATGGAGGATCCAAGCAGCAACGGAGGTCATGGGAGCAAATCTGATTGGGATAAGTCGAAAGTTCAGAAAGCTGATGTAGAGGTTACTCGACAATGGTTACTGAATCGACTTTGGATGACTTGTCGGAGTCATGGGTTGCTTACAGCTGATGCACCCGAGGAACCTTTGCGGATCGACTATTCGATCGATATCGCCCGTGAGACGCTACGCGTATGCAACTCCCTCTCCCTCCGATCTATGGAAGCTCACGGTATCGGTCTTACACGCAAACTCAACGATATCGCTCAAACCCTAGTCATCGTCTGTCGTGACTACCCAGCAATAGCCATGTCAGTCCCGTTCGAAGGTGATCCGATCAAAACAGACCCAACTCTCTTTGGGCCGTACTTTGGTCCCTCCCCACCTACAGATGGATCTCAACACCAAAGCCCGCCCAGTACAGACCACCCGATCGATCATCCATCAAACAACTCGGCGGGGACGGCAGGAACAACAACTTTAGGTGTCGTACCCTTGGACAAAGCCTTTTCGCCAAGCTATGCGATCGAGGCGATCCTACACAAGTATTTGGATATCTTCAAGAGGTTCAGAGGTGGTGATCATCCCTATTTGCCGCAGTTGGTGGAGGCGGTAAAGGAGTTACCGAAGATGGCCGAGTTGAGCTTTGACAGGTTCTTGAGGGAGATGGGGTTGTTCTAGTCAACATCGATAGGCTCTTCGCAGTGTTTCCTTGCCGATAAGGATTTCTTTGTTATCTCACCGTATGCACAATATTCAGTCAATGATACCGAATATCACACAGTCACACATGGCTCCGCTTGTTCTTGAATGTGAGCAACGTCAATCGATGCTTGCTTGCTTGCTTTGAGTGAGTACGCATGGTGAGAGTCGGGCGGCTAGACAGCATCTTCCAAAATCAACCTCGGTACAACTTGCATCGCCATCAACTCCTGCAACATCAACTTTGTACCATACGGAATGGTCAGCTTGACCACATGTTTCCCACTCCCGCAGAACGGACACCAACCGTTATATCCCATTAATCCGCACCTCTGACAAGCATGCACAGTGAAAGCATCACTACTAATCATCAACCTCTCCAACAACAACTGGGTAGCTCCGTATCCGATCAAACAGTCCCTCTCCATTTCACCCAGGCGTAAACCACCATCTCTGCTCCTACCTTCTGTGGGCTGTCGGGTGAGAACGGCGCGTGGGCCTCTAGCTCGGGCGTGCATCTTATCTTGAACCATGTGCTTGAGACGTTGGTAGTAGATCGGGCCGAAGTATACATAGCACTCCAGAGGTTGGCCCGTGATGCCTGAGGTTAAGGTTTCTTTCCCTCCGTAGTTGTATCCGTGATCGACTAGGATCTGGGACATATCTTCGACTTTGCTACCACCGAAAGCAGTTCCGTATTGAAGGTTACCCGTAATGACACCGGCCTTTCCAGATAGAAGTTCGATCATTTTCCCTACCGTCATACGAGAAGGGAAACCGTGAGGGTTCATGATAATGTCCGGATTAATACCTTGATCGCTGAACGGCATATCTTCCTGATTGACGATCAATCCACAAACACCCTTCTGTCCATGTCTCGAACTAAACTTATCTCCCAACTCTGGCCTCCTAGTCTGCCTGATCAAAGCTTTGATTAGGGTCTGATCCGAATCAGTATCCGTAATCAACACCTGATCAACATACCCTGATACAGGAGGCTTATACGACAATGGTGCAGACTTGTACGCTACGCTAGCAGCAGCATTACTAGCACCGATCATGATCGCCGCACTCGAATTGTCATTCGCATTCACAGGAGTTTGCTTGTTAACAAACACATCTCCCTGCTCCACCCGCTCTCCGACACCAGCAATGCCGTCTGCTTCGAGAATGTCATACCGCTTCTGTCGTTTTCCCGTACTCTCATCCACGGGTGCATCGGCCAACCTGTCATGCGTGCCGTTAGGATATTTCCGGAGGATGGTAGAAGACTTCTTCATTGTTTGACACCGACCAAAACCTCGGTCGAGAGAAGCCTTGTTCAGGAGGAGGGCGTCTTCGATGTCGTAGCCCGAAAAGGACATGACTGCTACCATTGCGTTTTGGCCAGCGGGGAGCTTGTCGTAACCAATAAGATCGATGGTGCGGGTTTTCACCATGGGTTGTTGGGGGTAGACCATGAGATAGAGGAGGGTGTCGATGCGGAGGAATTGGTTATAAGCGATCGCGGACACGGCCTGTTTTCCCATGGCGCACTCTGTTGACGTTTGAAGTAGATGAAGAGGTGTACATCGATGAGTAGAAAATATCGACGAAGAAGTGGTGACGAAGAGGTGTTGGTGTAACGATGCGTGGTGCGCGAAAAATGAATTTTAAGGAAAACAAATCAAAAAAAAAAAAAAAAAAAAAAAGGACGCGGTGAAACGAGATGGTTAGTCCGACTGCTCGACGATAACGAAAACATGCAAAGGAAGGGGATTGGAATACTGTACGGTAGGTCAGACGGGGTGATTGGTTGTGATGAGGATAAGGAATCAAACCAGCGACAGCGCCGAGGATGGTGAAAGGTTCGATCTCGAGGTGAGTCGTGTATCGTGGTTTGATGTCTCGTTCGTACAAAGCAATGTTGGAGTCGTTTTCTTCGTTGACATCGAGATACTCGAGCAAACCGTTGTGGAGGAAGTCATTGAAGCAGCGAATACCTGCTTTGAGCTGTTGGATATGCGAATCTGTAACCCTAGGCTGACCGGTCACAGGATCAACAATGATAAGCGGCCTACAGATACGACCTCCATCCGAAGCGATATACACCGTCTGGTGATGGCTGTTCGTATAGATCGAAACGAACTCCGAGATGTGACCTGCTCTACGCAGACGTCTGAACTGCATCACGAACCGTTGCGGGAACCTGGTTACACCAAGCACGTTACCGTTCAAGTACACAATGTACGAATCGGGACGATACAGCTCAGCACCGGTAAGGAGATGAACATCTTCCACACCGAGCGTAAAAGCAAGCTTCGCAATTGGTTCCTCTTCCACATCCGTAGTGATATGTGTAGTCAGAGCCAAGTTCTTAACCAAACCACAAGCTTCCCCTTCTGGCGTATCGGAAGGACACAACATCCCCCATTGTGAAGGCTGCAATGCTCTTGGACCTGAAACCTTTCTCGTCTTTTCAAATTGCGAGCTGATCCTCGTCATCATACCAAGTGCTGCGATGTACGACAATCTGCTGAGAACGTGTGTGATACCGGCACGTTCCATCTTGAAACGCTTCAAACTCCAGTTGCCTGTCGAGATAGCCCGAACAAAGCCAGCGGTGATGTAGTCTCCGTTGAAGTGGAACTGGTTGAATGCATCGAACTCAACAGTGCGATTGGGCTTCTTGAGGACTTTATCGATGTTGATTTTGAGGTCAGAGTTGAACTTCTTGAACAAATCTTCGAAGAGTAGAGCGAGAAGCTGTCCAGCCAGTTCTAGACGCTTGTTACCGACGTAGTCACGATCGTCGACCTTCTTTTCATCCTGCATAGCCACGAGAACACGACGCACCATCGAAGCGATGTAGATGGCTTTGGGACGGAAGTTGAGTCTCTCGACGGGGACGTGAGCCATGATGACTGTAGCGAGGACGTCGAGAGCTTCTTCGGAGAGTGGACGTCGCATGGAGAGAGGTTTGCGTGATGCTTTAGCTCGAGCACCGATGTAGTCAAGAGCCTGTTTGCGGGTGTAGATGCCCAGACGGGCTGCTTCTTCGAGGTTGATAGCAAAGAGCTCCTTGTAGATGTCATCGTGACCTACGACGAGCTGCAAGATCTCTCGATCCGCCTGAATACCCATAGCTTTGAATGCAACAGCAATGGGAATATCTTCATGCAGCGAGTTGTGCTTGAGGAAGATCTTGCCATGTTTTGTTAAGACGTATGACTTGGACTTGCGCTCGTGCGTCGACGATGTGACGGACGCTGAAACAGAACCTTTCTTTGTGTCTGCTTCAACAATGATCCTGTTCTTGCTAAGCTGTTCCTGCACAAGAATGACTTTCTCGGTTCCCTTGACCACAAAGTATCCTCCCGGATCTAGCGGACATTCGCTCATCTTCGCCAACTCCTTCTCCGACTTGTTGGAGAGAACGCACTTGTTACTGCGAAGCATCACCGGGATTCTCCCAATAGCGACATTCTTACGACGAATGATCTTGCCCCCACGTGTATACTCAATGTTAACAAAGATATGCGCCGAATAGGTAATGTCTCGAAGACGACACTCTTGTGGTGTGATGGGCCGTTGCAATGCATCTCCATCGTATCTGCGTGGTTCTCCCACCGTGATGTCGGTGTATTTGAGGTAGAACTTGGGGTCAATGTCGGAAGTAATCTTCTCGTTGGCTTTGATGATGTTTTTGAGATCATGGTCGACAAAGTAGTTGTACGACTCGATGTGTTGCTTGACTAAACCTTTGACTTGGAGGAAAGCGGGTACGAGCTCCCATTTGTCTTCGACGGATTTGATGGGGTCCATGAGACCTTTGCCTTTGTAGTTGGCTGCTTTGAGTGCTGCGATGGGATCATCGGATGCTGTGTTGGGGAAGTGACCGGTGGCTTGGGCCATCTCGGCGATGCTGGATGGGAGAGTCATGGCTGGTGAAGTTTAGGGCGACACCTGCCGAGCCGAAGCTGCAAATGGCCGCTGCTATCTTACGAGTCCAGCTATGGTGTTGTTCGGGTCGGAGCGGGATTCGCGAGCTGTGCAAGCGGTCTTAACAGCACACCCTGCTGCCTCCTGAAGTATGATACGGCCGACGGATACGAGCGTAGTGTATGCTCAGTTGCACTTTGTGAACGTCAGAACAAGCCAAATTCGTTGACAAAGTGGTTGAATGCAGGTGAGGTCGTGAGCAACGAATGGAGGAAGAATCTTCGAATGGACGTGAGCTAGCTGTTGGCAAGGCTTCAAACGGTGATGACTGTGCTTCGAAATGGCCGAAGCTGCCAGTACGGAAGTGCGGGGAGAGTGCTGCTCTGGAAGGCGGTTAGAGAGCGGTTCTCGAGGATGAAGGGTGTGCGATATGGTCAAGAGGGATAGGCTGGAAGGATCAAGTCTGAGAATCCTCAACAGCGGTGTGGCTGCCAAATTTTCGCGAAGACCTTCTCAAGCTCAGTTTCTGCTGCGCTCTACATTGCCGATTCCCGCGAAAAAAAATGTCGATCTCCCGATCTGCCTTTCTGATTCAAGCCGAAGATCAGACACACACGCTCCGGCAAAAAAGGGTCTCAAGAGAGTCGCTCGCTGTCTTTTGATGGACACAAGTTGCCGTCAGTTGATAAAATGCTATCTCCGTCAGCACCTCATCTCTTTCATCTGTCATCAAGTCTAACACTCCCTACCATCGCCCACCAGCGACGTCGCTACAGAGGCTATTAGCACCAGCATTGAAATCCGAACGAATCCGCATCCCATCCGACACAAAAGTATCCTTTTCGACAACGACTCGCAACCTTAGCTCAGCCACTACAGCTGGGCGACCTATCTTGTCAGTCTTGACGCTTCTCCATAGCACGGCTCCATCTAGCCTCAACTGTCCGTCAATCACGCATCGTATTAAGACCGACCAGGCCACCAGCGCGCTGAGCTCACAACGAACCATCTACCATGGCAGTCGGCAATCCAGATACATGGATAGAGCAGCTCCGACAATGCAAGTACCTCCCTGAACCCGATATCAAAGCATTATGCGAGATGGTCAGAGGCATACTCATGGAAGAAAGCAACATTCAACCGGTCAATAGTCCTGTTACAGTATGCGGTGACATCCATGGTCAATTTTGGGACTTGCTCGAACTGTTCAGAGTCGGTGGAGAACCTCCGGATACTTCTTATGTCTTTATGGTAAGCCTGCAGCCCTCCTTCCCTCCTCTTCTCGGGATCTCTTTTGGAGTCAAGACTAACATTGCTATACTGTTTGATTCTGGTAGGGAGATTTTGTGGATCGAGGATACTTTAGTCTGGAAACCTTCTCGTTACTTATGGCGTTGAAAGCGAGACATCCTTCTCGCATCACACTGCTTCGAGGCAATCACGAGAGTCGACAAATCACACAGGTATATGGGTTCTACGATGAATGTCAGCGGAAATATGGCAATGCAAATGTCTGGAAGAGCTGCTGTCAGGTTTTCGACTACCTCAACTTGGCAGCTATCATCGATGGGAGGGTGTTGTGCGTTCATGGAGGTCTAAGTCCAGACGTACGAACATTGGACCAAATCAGAATCATCGCAAGAGCGCAGGAAGTTCCTCATGAGGGTGCTTTTTGTGGTAAGTCCCGACCCTTCTCCCACTCCCACTCCCCTTTCTCCAAACGCTGATGAAATCTCTTACTTTTCCTCCGTTGGCACTGGTGGTGGTAGACCTCATGTGGAGTGATCCAGACGACATTGATACGTGGCGAGTATCTCCGCGCGGCGCCGGCTGGTTATTCGGCGGAGCGGTAACAAAGGAGTTCAACCACGTCAATGGTCTCTCTCTCATAGCTCGTGCCCATCAGCTCGTTCAAGAAGGCTACAAGCTCATGCACGACAATAACATCGTGACTGTTTGGTCAGCTCCCAATTACTGCTATAGATGCGGTAATGTTGCTTCGATCTTCGCAGTAGATGATTTGATCGCTTACGAAAGCAAGGATGGTGCATCGGCTCTCGTCGCCGGTGCGCAAGAAGGCGAGGAAGATGATGAAGAATCAACAAAGAAGCTTTCAATAGCAGCAGGGGAAGAGGGAGAAGCAGGGCAAGGTGGAGGAAAGAAACCATGGGAAGCGACACAGAACAACTTCAAGATTTTTGACGCTGTACCCGATCAAACGAGGACTGTTACTTTGCATAGCCAGTACTTCCTCTAAACCCGCAAAACGAAAGCAAGAAAAGCGGCGAGCTGTAGTGACAAGATCTCGGCCGGTAAAGCCGTCATGCTGTTATGCGGCTCGTCAAATGTCGGAACTTCCGCATCCTCTCTATCCTATGTCTCAGTGTATTTGTAGCTCGAATCAATCTCAACTTGTACGTGCCGGTATTCGACATGGCCTATGGGTACGCCGCGACGTCAAACGAAAGACTGACATCCTGACATGCTAGTGAAAGTATGCGAAAGAAATGATGCTTGCGAGACAGAAGGTGAGGTACAAATACAGATGGAAACAGTCTAACCATGGCATAAGATCAGGGTATAAGGAATGTGCAAAGAGAAGAGCGTGATGATGCGAAGAGCAGAAGTGGATACTGAGGTTGATAAATGCGCCTAAGAAAAGTGAATACCCTTCTCATGGAAAGCAGCGAGCAACTTTAACAGATCATCGATATCCATCTTTGCCGCACGATCCTCCGCACACGCGGTATCAATCAGAATCTGCTTGACCATATCCGCAAAGTTACCCTCCTCAGGCATAATCTCCTTCACCGCACAATACGTCTTGTAGTTGCTCTCCAACATGTCAATTACACCTCTCGCATCAAAGAAACTGGCCCTGACGGTCTTGTTTCTCCTTGAGAACACAATACGTGTCAAACCATCGAACTCTTCGAAAGGAATGGCGGGAGGAGGGTTGAGTGGGGTGATGCGAACAACGCTTGACTCGACTTGCGGTGGAGGTCGGAAAGAGTTACGGGAAACTTTCATAATATGGTCGACCTTGGAGTAGAGTTGGACGTTGGCGGAGAGACGACACCAGAGATTGTCGCCTGGTCGAGCGATGAGTCGGAGAGCGAATTCGCGCTGGAACATGAGGATGGCACATCGAAAGAGGGGGCGGTGGGAGAGAAGCTTGAAGACGAGAGGCGAGGAGATTTGGTATGGAGTATTGGAGATGCAGACGTCAAAGTAGGGGAGTTCGGTCTTGCAGAAGTCTCCAAGCATAATGTCTAGCTTGCGCTGTTCGGGTCTGCAAGTGTGGCAGAAACGGGAAGAGCACGATAAATCAGTATACAGTTGACAACCGTGAAGTTATCAATTGTGTAACAGCAGCAGTAGTCCTCTACCAATCTCCGTGTCCCTTCATCCAGCGTCTCTGGCGAGCAAAGAGCTTGGTAAGTAAAATCAGCTATCTTGGAAAGTTGCCGCATTGTCCGATTGCAAAGTCGGGCTCGTACGAAAGATGGTAAATAATTGGATCATCATGTAGAGAGGACGATGGTGGTCCGTCATCGAAGGGTGATAAGAATGAAGGTCGCGGTGGTGGCGTGACTTAAGGGCGACTTGCTATGCCACCACTTCTGCTGCTGTTACTGTTGCTACTACTACTTGCTTTGACTGCTCTCTAGCAGCGAGGGTGTGTTGTACTCACTTTCCTTGAACACGCTTGCTCAATTCGGCAGCCATGCGTGGGTCCATCTCTACGACGGTGGTCTTCTTTGCCTTTTCCAGAATACGGACCGTCAAGTTACCGGTACCGGGACCGACTTCGAGAACCATATCGGTAGGCTTGAGGTTGGCCTTGTCGACGATACCTTGTGCAACGAGAGGGTTCTTGAGAATATGCTGACCGAACTTGTCGGTGTTGAAGATGGGGTTCTTGGTGGTGGCGCTCGAGTTCTGGTTCGAGGAATGAGCTGCGTTTGGGTTAGATCCGGAGGTACGAGCCGAGCCAGGACGCAAGCCGGCTGAAGGCTCATGCTGCCTTGAAAGCTTTGCTGATACTGCTCGAGGCATGCTGAAGGTTGATCGAGGTGATGGTGCCAAGGGAAGAGGACGAGGAGGAGCTACTGTCGGCCTTATCATGAGACAAAATTTTCCTGAGCCTGACACAGTTTCAAAAATCAACATTTTGTTTTTGCTTTGTTTTGCAGGGTCCGCTAAAAAAAAGGAGGCAGCAGCTCAGTTCAAGAAGGTAAGGTTGTCTCGGAACCGATGTTTCGATTTTTGCTCGACTTTTGAATGTTAGTAAAGAGGCCTCGCGCTTGAGCCAGCCAACTCGTGTCGGCGTGTCTCAGCAGTGTGAGGCTGCAGCGTGGCAACGACTCGGCGAATCCGAAGATCACCAACACCAACACTCCCAACTCCCATTCACGTCTTTCCCACGCTCAACGGATCGCAGCTCTTCTCGTGTCCATCGCCACCACATTATTCGTCATCATCGGAGCAGTGCCGACGATCGAGTGCTGAGCTGACCACCTGACCCATCGACGCCTTTGATCGACAGCTGGACAGGGTCTATCAATCGTCTCATCACATCCGTCCACCTCAAGTGATCAGCTCGAAAGCTCAGCTTAGTTCGATTCCATCGTCGCTTCCGGTCCATCGGCATCTTTGGCATAGCTCGTCATGAGCAGACCACGCTTCTTCAATGCTCCCCGCAAGGGTGAGAACTTCGAGCTGCGGGCCGACCTCAACTCGGAATACAGGGATCGTAGAAAGGATGCCATCAAGCGTGTCATCGCCAACATGACCGTCGGCAAGGATGTCAGTGGTCTTTTCCCTGATGTGCTTAAAAACATGCAGACAGAAGATTTGGAACAGAAGAAGCTTGTCTACCTCTACCTCATGAACTATGCAAAAACACAACCCGAACTTGTCATCCTTGCCGTCAACACATTTGTCAAGGACTCGGAAGATCCCAACCCGCTCATTCGCGCCCTCGCCATCCGGACCATGGGATGCTTGCGTGCTGAGAAGATCATCGACTATCTTTCTGATCCACTCGAAAAGTCACTGCGCGATGAGAACCCATACGTCCGCAAGACTGCTGCTATTTGCGTCGCCAAGTTGTATGACTTGAAACCAGAACTCGCTGTCGACCGCGGCTTTGTAGGCATTCTCAAGGACATGGTCGGAGACAGCAATCCTATGGTCGTCGCCAATGCTGTTACCGCACTCACCGACATTCACCAGACTGCGCTCGAGAACGACCCTTCCGGACAATCCGCTGTTTTCGTCATCGACTCAGACATCCTCGCCAAACTCCTGATCGCCCTCAACGAATGCACAGAATGGGGTCGTATTGCCATTCTCAATTCTCTCGCTCGCTACCGTGCAAAGGACGAAAAGCAAGCCGAGCACATCTGCGAACGTGTCATGCCTCAGTTCCAACACGCAAACGGCAGTGTCGTCCTTGGCGCCGTTAAGGTTGTCCTCATTCACATGGCCAAGGTCCGCAACAACGACGAACTCATCAAGCAACTTGTCCGCAAGATGGCACCACCTCTTGTCACCCTCATCTCTTCCGCTCCTGAGGTGCAATGGGTCGCACTCAGAAACATCAACCTCATCTTGCAAAAGCGTCCCGACATCTTGCAAAATGAACTCCGTGTCTTCTTCTGCAAGTACAACGATCCATCTTACGTCAAGCTCGAAAAGGTCGAGATCATGATCAAACTCGCAAACGAGCGCAACGTCGACATGCTACTTTCGGAGCTCAAGGAGTACGCATCCGAGGTCGACGTTGACTTTGTTCGACGGGCAATCAGGGCAATTGGTCAGTGTGCTATCAAGATCGATGCTGCGGCTGAAAGGTGTGTCCACGTACTCCTCGATTTGATTGCCACCAAGGTTAGCTACGTGGTGCAAGAAGCGGTGGTGGTAATCAAAGACATCTTCCGCAAATATCCACACAACTACGAAGGCATCATCCCCACCCTCTGTTCCAACCTCGAAGAGCTCGACGAGCCAGAAGCTAAGGCATCGCTCATCTGGATCCTCGGAGAGTACGCAGACAAAATCTCCAACGCCGAAGACCTCCTCGCACATTTCCTCGACTCGTTCACAGACGAGCCTTACCAAGTCCAATTCCAGACGCTTACCGCGATTGTCAAAGCCTTCCTCAAGAAACCAGACAGCAGCCTAGCACAGCAAGTCGTGCAACAAGTCCTGGAGAAAGCCACCAAAGAATGCGATTCTCCAGACTTACGCGATCGTGCATTCATCTATTGGCGCTTGCTTTCTTCTTCCGACTCCAATGCTGGAAGGAATGTTATTCTTGCTTCTCGTCCACCGATCTCCATCCCAACAACAACTGTTCCACCGGCTGTGCTGGACGAGCTGGTTTCAGAGCTCTCGAGTTTGGCGAGCGCATATCATAAGCCAGCAGCAACATTCATCGGTAAAGCCCGGATCGGAGCTGATGGTGTTCGCAACGGTCAGGCAGAAGCAGCAAAAGACGAAATTACGCGCGAAAAGGCTCTCGCAACCGTCGTTCAGGGTCAAAAGTCGGAAAACTTGCTCGACTTTGGCGAAGACGATGTCGACATCCCCGCCAACAACGGTGCAGCGAAGAACGGTGCTGGTGCTCTAGGTGCTTTGGCTGGACTAGATGATCTGATGATGGGCGCTAGTATTAGTTCGCCAACGACGGCTTCGGGTGGGAGTGCAGGGGCGGCGGCTCCAGTAGGAGGTGGTGGTGGGTTGAATGACTTGCTGGGCTTGTTTGATAATGCGCCAGGAGCAGAGGAGCCTGGAGCACAGAGTGGAGTGCAGGCGTTGAAGGCGCTCTCGGCGACACCAGCTACGAATGTTGGGTTTGGCTCGCCATTGACACCGAGCACAACAAGTCCTAGTCCTGGGCAAACAACAACGGCGAAGCCTACACAAAGTGGTCAGGACAACTTGCTTGGCTTGTTCTAAGCGGTACTGCATGGGCTCAAATGTCGCAATGCCATCGTTTTACCATTGAAGCAAGTTTTCGAAGAGAGTGGCAAGTTCACAATCGTGGGAAGAGCAACGGCTTTTCAAGGGTTTGAATTCTTTCAGAGCCAGCGTGGTATTATGCAAGATGACAGTGTGTTCTGCGAGTAGGCTTAGACAGAGAGCTCAGCCTTACCGGCAACCTTGATAGCAGCCTGGTAAGGCTCCAACGCAGGCTTGACCCATTTTATCAAGAAGCTATCCACCTGTTGTTCAGCTCGACCTGTAAAGCTCTTAGGGTCCAACAACTGATCCATCTGTGCCAAAATTGGCTGGAAGTAAGAGGAGTCCTTGATTCTAGCGATGAGGTCGTTCTCCTTTCCGTGTTCCTTAACCTGAGCAGCGGCTTGGTGGGAAAGCACTCTGATTCTCTCGTGGCATTCCTGACGGTCACCACCTGCACGAACCATGGCCATGATAACATTCTCAGTAGCCATGAAGGGAAGCTCGCTCTGGATACGACGAGCAATGATGGCAGGGTAGACCACCAGACCCTCCGAAACGTTTTGGAGGATAGTAAGGATGACGTCTGCGGTGAGGAAAGCTTCGGGAATCGAGAGACGACGGTTAGCCGAATCGTCGAGGGTACGTTCCATCCATTGCGAACCGGCGGTTTCTCGAGCAGAGTTGACGGTGTTACCGAGCCAACGAGCGAGACCGCAGACACGCTCGGAACGCATTGGGTTACGTTTGTATGCCATAGCGCTCGATCCTATTTGGTCCTTTTCGAAGGGTTCTTCGACTTCCTTCAAGTGACAAAGAAGACGAATGTCGGTAGCCATCTTAAGCGCAGAAGCGGAGAAAGAAGAAAGGCTGTTGAGCACATCAATGTCGACCTTGCGAGAGTAGGTTTGACCAGTAACAGGCATAGCGTGGGGAAAGCCGAACAACTCGGTAACCCTCTCATCCAACGCCTCTACCTTAGCATGATCACCATCGAACAAGGCAAGGAAAGAAGCCTGAGTACCAGTGGTACCCTTAACACCACGGAAACCCAAATCGTCACGAGCTCTCTGAATGTTCCTCAAATCCCACAACAACTCTTGAATCCAAAGCGTAGCTCTCTTCCCCACAGTGGTCAATTGAGCCGGTTGCATGTGAGTGAAACCCAACGTAGGCAAAGCCTTGTGCTTCTCTGCAAACGCCGACAACCTTTCAATCACCAGCGCCAACTTGGGCAATAACAGATCCAGTCCCTTTCGCAAAAAGATAAGATCCGCATTGTCCGTAACGTAGCAAGAAGTAGCACCCAAATGAATGAACCCAGCAGCCTTGGGGGCAACCAAGCCATAGACGTGGACATGAGCCATAACATCGTGCCTTCTCTTCTTCTCCTCCTCGGCAGCAAGAGCCATCTGTCGCTCATCGAGAGTAAGGTTGGCTTTCATCTGTTCGATGGCGTCGGCAGGGATATCGAGTCCAAGTTCGCGCTCGGCAATGGCAAGGTTGAGCCAAAGTTCACGCCAAGTGGAGAAACGAGTGGCGTTGGAGAAGAGACCGGACATCTCTTTGGATGCGTAACGGCTCGAAAGCGGGGATTGCCAGGATTCGAAGGAGGCCATCTTTGACTATGACTGGCGGAGTCGACCGTTGGATGACAATGGGGAAAGGGGAAAGAGTGCCGATGATGGTTGGAGGTCGGGACGGAAGTGGTGTCGGATGTGTTCAGATTGAAGAACCAATGCGGAGGTTTCTTCCAGGACAACTCTGATCCAACCAATCGATAATGCCCACTCCGCAGAGTCACACAACGTCCTTGAGCACACGCCTACTGAAAGAAACAATCCAGTGATGATATGGAGTGACGTAAGCAGCTACATGAGGGATCGGGGGGAAGTACGATCTGATCGGAGATCGAGGATCGGGCACAACCTAGTCCCACTCGTTGTCAGACCTCGTCATTAAGTAGGATGTACCCACGTCCGGCAAGTGCCACCCAGTTTGTATATATATCATGCGGGGAGCTCGAAGCTCCCGCCACAATCCTTTTCTTAGTCAATCGAGTATACATGTTTCTGTCCTAAAACAACAAGGACATCGTGCTCCGACTCTCACCGATCGCCAGTCATCGGGACCTGCGCGATCCACTTTTTCTCAACGCCATGCTTGAGGTTCTTCTTCTACGCAATCAGGTTGCCCTGGAAATTTATCACTGTTAGATCTTCCTGCTCGCGGTTTGAGGCCCAAATTTATCTGAGCGTCCGTTCGTGGCCCGATCTTTCCGCAGTCAACTTGATCCTCATCGGGGGAGCGAGATCGGGAGGCATGGACCCTGAGAAGCTTGCAAGTGCGACTTCCTCTTGCTGGTTAGTACCTCTGCTCCAGACTGGACGACTTCTTCCAAGTGGTGCTCATACTCTCAAGCTGCAGATCGCTATGGCCATCACTCTTCTAAGCAATATGGCCCAAGACCCGCTCAATACCGTTGCAGTGGTGCCTTACGACCTGGAACGAACCACATCAAGAACAGGAGCCTCAGGGCCAAGGACTCAACCAAGAAACGCTCTCGCGGTTGCTGCCTCAAACCTCATCAGCGCCATCGCACAAGGATCTACAGCCAACGACACAGTCGTAGTCCCGGAAATCGACAACTTGTCTGATGCCGGGTGTGACGAAGGCCCCAGCTCATTCACCTACGCTGCACTAAACAACGATAGTGTCGAAGCTGACCAACGAGGGTGGTATGCATCAGCAACATACCACATCTCAAATAGATACTACGACGTCGACATTACTCTCAAAGCCACCAAAGTTGCTCTTTCAGCTCCACGCCAGCCCTCTGAAATTAGCACAAGCCCCACCGAAAGTGTCCTCTCACATCCCTTCCCAGCATACCTCGTAGTCGTAGACCGAAGCCAACCGCTCGAACACCACCGACACCTCGCCTCCAGCCTCGAGTCGAAAGTAGCAGCAGGCTTCGACGCAGATATCAGCATCGTCGCCGGAGTCTCGCTTCTCTCCTCATCACATCCACAATTAGTCACTGCGCTAGACGATGAGCCAAGATCTTCAGCTTCCGCACGCGAAACAACCACGAAAGCTAAGACAAGCGACCTTGTTGCTCTGTACGCTGATTTTGGATGGGAGTTCATTGCCATTGATGATCTGGATGCAGAGAACGAACGAGGTATTGGCTCTGAAAACGGAGACAGCTACAGTGATGGTGAAGGCGAAGATGATACTGATGGGATAGAGAGGATAAGGGAAGCGCTGATGAATCATATGTGGAATGGGCTTGTGAGGAAGGATCAAGATTCGGGCTCGGCAAGTCGGCATTTGGCCAGCAGAGATACTGCGTTCGGAATGTTTTTTCACCAAGGGTTCTCGGACAGCATGGAAGACAGGGACGAGGCTGATGGCGACCAAGACGCTACTCCATCACGAGCTGAGGCTACATCTTCGTGTTCCAACAATGACAGCAATCTCGGCACAAAGCTTCCTTCAATCAGCCTAGACAACCACGTCGAAGCAACCGGCTTGGACGAACAACTTGCAAAACTCTTCCTTTCCTCTTCCGACGGCAAAGACCTTGCAGACCTAGAAGCCTTCCTCGAGTCAGAAGATCCTTCTTGGCCAGCATCCCAGCCTCGCACCGCCACACAAGCCGACAAGACTGATGACGCGCCAGCACAGTTCGATGATGACTTTGATGGTTTCCTTCCATTCCACTCCGCCCCATCCCAACCTTCTGCACTGGCAACAGGGGCGGAGGATGCAGAAGAACTGCCGAGTATGGACGAAGTTTCTCAAATGCAAGACCGTCTGTTTGGCTCCAATGCAGCATCTAGACTGGAAGCAGGGCCGCTGGGCATGAGTAGCGGGGGAAGTGTTGCGGGTCAAGATCTTGCATCACAATTACAGCAGCTTCAATGGCATGCTGAGAGAGTAAGGAGTATTCAAGATCCGGATCAGAGGAGGAAGGAAGCTGCACTTGTGGCGTTAGCGTTTAGTATGCAGTGGGAAAACGAAGGTGAAGGCGAGCTGGGAGGCGATGGTGCGATGGCATTCTAGTTCCTCAACGCAATGCAGACACGATGAGAAAGAACTTTGATTCATTTGTCTGTGTTCGTCAGCGATCACTACAGAGGCAAGCGGGTTTACTGAGCCTTCTTGAGACGCTCTTCAGCAGCCTTAAAATTGATCACTTCCCAGATAGCCTTGAAGTAGTCAGCCTTGACGTTTTGGTACTGAAGGTAGAAGGCGTGTTCCCAGGCGTCAACTCCGATCAAAGGGACGTGGGCTGTGAACACCAAAAAAAAAAAAAAAAAAAAAAAAAAAAAAAAAAAAAAAAAAAAAACAAGACGAGTCAGTACTTTCTTCTCGACTACCATGATCACATACATCGACACTCAATATGGTACTTACAAAGAAGGGGATCCTGGTTAGCAGTAGTCACAATATCCAATTTCTTTGTCTGAGGGTTGTAACCCAACCAACCCCAACCGCTACCCTGAATCGCTGCAATCTGAGCGTTAAACTTCTGCTTCAAACCATCCAATCCACCAAAGTCCCTATCGATTGCATCCTTCAGCACACCACTGCTGAGCTCTCCACCACCTTGCTTCTTCGGAGCGAGGTTCTCCCAGAACAAAGTGTGGTTGATGTGACCACCACCGTTAAAGTTGATGGCTTTCTGAAGAGCAATGGCGGATTTGACATCTTTCTTGTGAAGAGCTTCCGAGAGTTGTTCTTCGGCGGTGTTGAGACCGTTGAGGTAAGTTTGATGGTGTTTGGTGTGGTGAAGTTCCATGATCTGACCGGAGATGGCGGGTTCGAGAGCTCCGTAATCGTAGGAGAGATCGGGGAGGGTGTGCTTGCTGCGGACAGAGGCAGCGGCGGCGAGGGTGCGAGAGCCGGCCTTGAAGGCGGTGAAGGCGGGGGCAGTGGAGCGGGTAAGAGCGGTGCGCAACATTTCGGATAGTATCAGTTGTTCGTGTTCGATTTGATGGTGTGGTAGGTGGCAAGGAGGGTGAGAAGACGGTGCGGTTACTAATATCGAACAAGTAGAAGAGTTTAGGCTTCTGCGTTGTTCCTCGGGCCAGGACGGCGTTACCGCGGATCGTTGCGAGCACGGACACCTTTTCTTTTGCTCGAAACCTCCACCGCGTGCGCTTGCGATCTCATGAAAGCGCCTTGACGCAATTTCTAAGCCTCGCTTGGCCATTGCTGTAGATCTGATGGGAGACGGGAGATGCACCCGATGTGATGCTATTATCGGGAAAATGACACCGTTGGCTCGCGACGCGTAAAGTGTGCTTCTGGCCCAAGTTACGGTTACGCCCTGCGTCTAGGAATTCAAAATGGTTCGAAGAGCAACACTTTTGGACCTCAGCCCAAGATTGTGTCTTGCAACTCAGCCATCGCCGCAGGACCCTCTCTCTCTCTCTCAGCCTCAGCCGCCAAACGATAGAACCTCCGACAAGTGCAACGATAGACAATGTCAGCAAAGCGACAAACATAGAATCACCGACTTTAGACGACAGCTCAGCCAAATCAACATGCCGGGATGCTCGAGGACGGCAATCACGCCAAACAGAGTAATGAGAGCTCCTCTCATCCAGCGAAGGAGGTAGTCCCAACCTCCGACGACGAGGATATCTACTTCATTTCACAGTCGAGCGACAAGCTGAGCTCTAGCTCGAGCTCAGCACACGTTGCCCAGCACACCGCTCCAGCACCTAGTGAAGACGACGACGAGCCAGTTCTACCGCTTCGAGCGGAGCCACTAGTGCAAGCAGATAGTCAGTCTGCTCATGTCGCCGACGGAGGGCTGCAGAAGACAGCAACAAACAGCATATCAATGACACAACAGACGCCGCCAAATGACTCCACCTCAGAGCTAGATTCAGCATTGGTCTTGCCTTCATCTCAGCCTACGAGTCCGATATGCCAAGGAGATGCTGTTCAAGCACAGACTCTCAGCCCAGAATCTGTTACACGGCTACTAGGCTCCCAGGAAAAAGACGATAGAACCTTGGACTCGACAGAGCACGCGGACGTACGGCGGCCCGCTCCTGAGGGCTCAGGTCGCGGGAGCATGACTGGTCGTGAAAACGGGCTGGACTTGGCCAATGCTGCAGACGATGAAAATGACATAACGATCCGTCGGGAAGCAAGAACGGATTCACCAACTCAGCGAAGCGATCTGACCCTGCCTCTCACGCCAGACCGAGCTAGCTCACGACAGCAAACGCCCTCACTTTCACCTGTCCTCGCTGATCCGGGCCCGTCACGCAGTCAGCCCATCAGCATCAGAGAGTCACCGCACCCACTCGATGCCACAAACTTGTTGCCAATGAACGAGCAAGACGATGTCACTAATCATGTTCGAGAAGCTTCGCAATCCAGTCAAAATAACGTGACGAAACACACCACCAATCTGGAACCGTTCGCATCATCAACGCCGCCGCTCCCGCCCCTTCGCATTCCGAATCGTGCTCCTGCGCCAGAGGCGCCACCAATACAGTCACCACGCTCACCTCAAAGAACCTCAACTACAACTCATCAAAAGAATCATGATGAGCTGGTGGCCAGAACAGCAGCTGCTCAGCCTCCAACTCCACCGAGACGGCAACTTCGTGCTAGAAAAGCGGCCCAGCTCAACCCATACACGCTCGAAGCCATGCGCTACCAGCGAACATTGATCCGCAATGACTGGCAAGATGCAGTAGTCAGCCAGAGCGAATGGCACCGACAGGAACGCAGAAGACTGGCGGAGGAAGCTACAAAGGCTCAGCGCGAAGTGCAAGGCGTCAACGGATCTGAGGAGTCGCAAAACCAGTGGCTGGTGCCGAGTTCTGGTCCAAGCTCACAAGCTGACGCCGACGACATGTCGGTGCCATCTTCCCCACCAGCGCCTTCGATACCGGATGTCCTTGTCGAGATTCCTGCCTTAGGCGAGGCAGATCCCAGTCGTGCGCCAGCGAATCACTCAAGAGTTCGTGCGTCACCACCAACGCCCTCGCAAATCGGTACATTACCAGAACTGTCAGAGATGCTAGCTGGTCCCTCTAGGACTGGGCCCTTGCAAGCACGTAGCAATCTCGGTAGACCTGGCCCTTCAACGCATGCTACCTACAAAGGACCTCGCACCACGGCTCAGACACGGCAAGACGCACCAGCATCGCAAGTATCCAGTGCTCGAGAGTCGACCACGAATGAGGAAGAGTCAGCACCGCTGCCTGCACCCGTACGTCGGAAGCACCCGTTGCGGGCCTTGATATCCTCGGACGATGATAAACCAGCTGCGGTGAACGAGCCAAGTTCGGTGCATCCGGAAGCAGTCACTGTCGACTCGTCCGAAGACGAGCGGCCGGCCCCGACTTTGACCGCGCCTCGAGTGCGGCGTAGAAGCCGATGGTCCGGAGACGGATCGAGCAGCGACAGCACGGATTACGAGCGGCGATTCCGACAGCTCAAGAAGATGATGCCGGCCGGTATGGCTCGCAAGCACATTCGTGACTTGAGAGCGATGCGGCATGGTAAGGCGTACCATTCTGATGGACACGTCTCTTCTTCTTCCTCGGATGCTCGCAATGGCGGAAGACCGGGTTCTCGACCTCAAGTACGACCTGCAGAAACCGAACAGATCTCCGGCGATGAATCCTTGCAGCCCGGTCAGACAAGGAAAAGACTTAGACGACACGACAGCCTTGATGGCAATGCTGCGCTCCTTATCGATCCCGATTCTGATTCATCTTCATCTTCGGCGTCGTCTCTGTCGTCAGATGCTTCTATGACGCTCACACGAACCAGCTTCGCCGATACGAGCATTGACAGGGATCATACTGCTCGGCATGATGAGGCGGAAGAAGTGGACGAAGCACCTCCTGCGTGGTGGTCAGTCAATCGATTGGACTCTTACGTTCCGTATCGTGAAAGAGACGCCGTTGATCGCATGCTTAGCCGCACTGGTGGTCGCAAGCCCAGTAGTAAAACAACCGCCCGCAAGATGACAGCGCTATCTAGCCGCCGTCAAGCTCGACTGGACGGCTTCGTCGCTACCTATCGTCATCGTGAACGACAGAGCGATTCTTCCCGATCGCACCTTATGGAACTCGATCAGAACCAGCGGGGGCCACATCGACCATTGATCACAGTCAACGAGAAATATATCCAGCCATGGTTATCAAAAAGGAAGAAGAAGAAGAGGAAGTTGGACCCGAGAGTAGGGCGAACTAGTACAGCAGGGCCAAGGCACGGTCCGGTCATATTGCGCAATCCTCCGGTGGTTCGCCCGCGTGTTCAACCGCGACTCGACCTCGAGCATCACGAGGTCCTGTTCGCTCCGGATCCTCACAGAGCTCTTGGCGCCCATCGCAGTGAAGAAGAAGGGAAGAACGCCGGACACTTGTCAGACGACGACGAGCAATGGCAGGACCTGGGCAGCATTATGATGGACTCAACGCCAGTCGTTCTTTCCGACACGCGACTGGCTATGCCTCGACCTCGTACAGCGGCGGCTTTGCAGCAGTATCCTGAGCCAACACATGTTCGTAGAGCAGCTGCAACACCAGCCCGTGCATCGTACGCTTCTCCTTCTGCATCTCTAGCTTCCGGTGGCCACGTTGGACTGAATCATCTGACCGACCACAGTCCAGGTACACCTACGCGACCAAGATCGGAGGCAGTGTCGCACACCGCTACGCGCCCAAGATTCGACCAGCTGCCCAGCGTATCAAAGGCCGTCACGGTGGCGAAAGAGGGTGAAGTATGGGATGACTTCCAAGGCATCAGCCTGGACTTTGGCATCACATCCTTGACTGGCAGCATTGATCTGAACGTGACGACCTCTGCACTGCTCACCCGACTTCCCGAGCTCATCGCATTGCCGGACCGACTCTTGCATCGCCAGATTATACCTCGGACGTGGTCAGGAGACGTGCTTCGTCTGGATGACACCGTCCTCTCCACCGACATGGATCACGAGATGCTTTCTTCGAAGCTCCCTTTCTACATGGACAATCTGAGGCTTCACATCAGTCGCTCATTCGATGCTGGAGGAAGCGAAGGTGAGCCTACCCCAATACACCACACGAGGAATCTCGTCGCGGACACTGGAGCTTTCCTTGGATGCTGGCTTGTACGACAGGCTGAAGCAGTCGCAGATGGGACAACCGATGCATCGTCTCTCTTGCGCAGCTATCGAATGATTCTTGAAAGAGTCGAGCAGCTGCAAGCATCAGTCCTTTCGCAGCAAGATTCGAGTCGAGCGTCCAAGGCTTCTCGAGAAGAACGCAAACTGATCTGCCTCCATCTGACCTGGACCCGCTTTGAGCTTTGCTGGCGCGCAATGGCTATATGCGATGCTGATGCGAACCACGCTTTAGAGCCGGACGCGCCAACAGTCGAGAGTCTGCTGGCCTACAGTCGGGCACTGATGTCGATCCTGCTACATCAAGGACTTCACCGCTCAGTACGCAATCTGCGCAAAGCAGCATCGTCAAATGCTCGCAGTGGAATACCGCCCGCCGAGGCGATGGACGTCGACGCAGATACAGAGACTACAGTCTCAATCGACGAGCCTACATCGATGTGGTTGGGTGTCATCCATATTCTCGACTCCTTCGAAAAGAGTAGAGGTATCGCTGACGGCCGACTCTTCTGGACGCAGTTCGAGGCAGCTTATCACCGATGGGACGCATCGATGCCGAAGCGAGCTCCTCTTCTTCGCTCTGAAAGTTTGTGGTACTGCCTGTTTGCCGTCACTACCCTTTCGCAATTGTCGCCCAGCGGAGACGTCCAAGCAGCGCCACTTCTACGCGAGTGCTGGCCCTTAGTGACTCGAGCACTTCATCTCGTGAAGTTTCGCTCCGATGAAAGCAACGAGATGGCAATGGGCTGGCACATGCTTGCGAAGCGTGATGCCTACGTTAAGATTGTGCTGCAAAGGTGTTGCTTGCTTGCGTCAGAATTGCGATGGACTATGGATGGCGCAGACAGCACGCTGGCACGCCTCTTTGACATCTTCAATAGTCAAAAGCTGGCGGACTTACCGACGGAGGCGGACCATGACTTTCCTGCTTTTCTTCGAGACTTTGACGTCAAAAAGCTAGCTGTTGCTGACGCAGTGGAGGGCGAAGCAATACAAGATCCCAGCTTCCATTTGTTCGTAAGACTGCTTGCCCAAGCAGGTCGGGAGCTGCGTGACTCTGCTAGTGACGCAAAGGATGGTGATCGCCGTGTCTCCCGACTGTTCTCACGAATGACTCCAGTCCGTGTGATGCCTTTTACGCGTAACGATGTACCAACCAGTTCGCAGCGTTCCGTGCTGTTCAATCACTACAGCGTCTTCATGCTCTTCCTGCACCTTGTTCCCGCCTCTTCGCCGCAAAGGTTACGCCAGATCCAAAGCTTCCTACCTGCCTTCAAGGACGCCGACTTCCTGAGTCAAGTCACATACATCAGAGCTATGATGTACGTTGCTGTTATCTTCCGACACCACCAGCTCGACCTGACGCCTGTCACAAGATGGTTTGGCGACACAATCACGGTGCTTCGACGCGAATACGAAGAGATCGAATCGACGACCAAGCAGTTCGAACGCCAGCAAATGCAGCAATCGCTTCATCAAAAAGGGAGACAGCAACCACCACAACCGGAGTCGATGCGAATGGCATCCATCTTCGAGAACGCCCCGGCGCGACAGGCTGCGCTGCGAAGGAAGGAGGAGGTTGCGAGACTACTGGTTGTCGCGTTGCGTTCTATCCAGCACGTCATCAGGAACGACAACCTCGATGGCGGAAGGACGAATTCTGAAGGAATGGAGGAAAGGCAGCCAGATATGCTGCTGCTGTCTTCAGCTTGGACACAACAGATGCTGGAAGCGCAAATCTCTTTGGAGCCACGCATCGGCCAAGAAGTGCTCAAGTGCATCCAGACTTTCCTGCTCGCTCGTATTCGGGCTTTGCAGCCTGCAACAACCACACCAGCTACAAATAGCGAAGATGCAGTGCACTCTCGGGATCAAGCTCAGCAGGCGGGAAACGAAGAGAGTCAGGACAGCTTTGCAGAGCTGTTCGAGGCAGACGACGACTTCGACTTTGAAGATCCGATGCTGGCTAAGCTGTTGGATGGAGGCGAAGTCCGCCCTGCAACGGGAGGCGACCTGAGCAACGGCCCAGCGGAGACCGCGGCCGCTGAGAGGCGGAAGTGGGACCGCGAGTTTGGCTACCTCATCAAGAACACCATCTCACCATCGCTGTTTCAGCTCCTTTCCAACGTCTACCATCCTGACCGAAGGATGGAAGCAGCAGCCACCGGCTCCGTGGTTATGAGACTTGGAGTGACGGAACGCCTCACTGACCCTTCCTTCGACATGCCTGGCGAAGCGTCACGCACTTCGGCATCGCGCCGGAAGATGGACCAGCTGGTGAAGGCCGCCGAAGCGCGACAGTTCCTTGAACTTGTGGTGGATTGCTGGGCTGGCTGTGCTCATGTCCTCGTTTCAAATGGTCTCAGAGAATGGAGTTCGTACCTCGGCTTCGGCAACGAGTCATGGAAGCGAATCGACGATCCCATTGGCAGACGAGACGTCGGCCTGCGTTTCCTCCAGAACGTGGTCAGTCTGGACCCATCAGCCGTGGAGAGAAAGGAGTACGAGGTGGAGTTGATAGCAGTCTGGATCCAGACCGCGGTCGCTCGTGTGTTGTCCGTGCAGGATGTGTACACGATGTCACTGATTCAGGCCGCAAGTCAAGCTCAGGGTAAGGCTCCACTACTGTCGGCCTTGGCTGAACCGTGGACTGCTGTCCTCCGCAGCGGAATGGAGGCCAACAGTGATACTCTGTTCGAGAGCGGACACACACCGCCAGCATTCGACCTCGACACATTCACCTCGCAGCGTCAAGCACTCCTAAGTAGCTGTTTCGACTGGCTCTCTTCCTCGCTCGCAGCCGGAACAGCAAGCATCGGCACCGCATACTCCATCCTGTCCGCTCTATTGTCTTCGCTCCGAGCATACATCGAAGACACACCAGCTTCCGAAGCTGGAGGGAACAGGGAATACCTCCTGTTTTGCGAGACAGTCTTGTCAGATCTGGAAAGCAAGCTTCGCGATGCGTCAGTGCTCAATTCCTTGCGGAGCGAGTTTGATGCTGCAACTCAACTTGTCAAGAATCGATTGTCGGCCATCAACGCATCCGCCACGGAGGCCCATCTCTGAAGAGGATCCTCAAGCTCGATTCTTGCTTCTTCTATATCACTCGCATTCACTCTTCATGCGCCGGAATAGAATTCAGACATCGTTCGAAATCTGCTGTGTGCGTGTGAGGGTGTGATGTTATGACTGAGGCCAGTCTTTCAAGGCAATCCCATCAAAGAAGGTGGACAGAAGCCATACGTTTGTATTGCAAGGGTATAAAGGGGCAAAATCTCTCAACATCATCAACTTGGAAGTTACAACAAATCCTCCAACAAACGCCTCATCACTCCCACTGACCCGTCCTTTTCCTCTCCCATCTCCTCTCCTCCCTCTGCACCAACCAACTCCCCAGCGATCGAATGAACACTACCCATTAAAGCCAACAAACTCGTCACCAAAGGAGCAAAAGTCGGGGCTGGGGGGGTATTCATGTGCTTAACCAACACTCTTCCAGCCGTCGCTGCTCTTTGTTTTACTTGTACCAACACTTGTTCCAGTAACTGCACCATTTCTCTTGTCTCCTCTATCAACTTTCGACCTTCTGTGCTCGAGATGAATTGTGAAAGTGTGGTGGAGGTTGGTTTTCTTTCGAACTTTGGTAGAGTTGCGTAACGATCGGGCTCAATTGATTCTAACTTCTGCCGTTGGGTATGAAAAGTTTCAATTCCGCCCCCAATGCCTGCGTACACCAAGCTAACCTTACCAACCGACTCCCTAGCCAACCCAACATAGCTGCAAGAGGAAGCAAGACACAGTTTATGCAACGATCTTCGACTCGAGTTGAAGCAAGACCACCAAAAAGCAGTCTTGAATTGGGATTTGTTTTTGTACCATATTCTATCGATCAGAGATAGCTCCTGAGTGAGATTGCATAGGGATGCGATTAAGGTTCGGAGTGTTGTTCTCATCGTTTTGAGTGAGACGTTGGGATTGATGCTGCTCCCTGCCGAAGCGAGTGCGGCCGAGTTTGGTGATGCTGGAGCAGAAAGTTCGATTGAGGATTTTGTGCTCTGCACAAGATCGGTCCGTGGAATTGCTGTGGCAACTTCCATATGAGGTGTCGGCTTGTTCGTGAGGTTTCTGTTTGGCGGTACAGCAGATGAAGACTTCGTAGGGGTCGAGGTGCCCGTGAGAAGTTCCAAAGCCGAAACACTCTTTCCTTTCGACTTTACAGCACCAGTTTGATCCGGGGTGAGTTTGGGCTTTTTCTTCAGCCGATCCTTCCCCTTTTCCTCCGGCTCTGATTTTACTTTCTGCTTTGGAGTTGGTGGCAGGGTGGAGAATATGTCTTCAAGTTGAAGCCGGGATACGCTCTTGTTTGAGGTTGTGCTTGTGGTTGATGCTGAAGATGAAGGGTCTTTGCGCTTATTACCGCTTTTCCCTTCCTTCACACCTCGCACAGTGAAGGGTGAGGATGGCGCCAACGGCCAATTCTTCGGCATCTTGACCACCGAGGCTCGCGCGTTCGCAAGTGATAGAAGGTAACGAGAGGCGGTCTTGGCGAAGAAGATGGATGTGAAATCAGGACGAAAAGCTAGAAGCTTCAGGGTCTTGGCAAGTTTTCCAGGTGGAGGCACAGCGGCTGCCAGGCCGAAATCCGAACTTTCCAACGCGCTCCCATCATACGCACACAAACAACACCACACATACCGCTTACAACCCGACAGTTGGGCGTGTTCACAGAATTGAATTGGTTGCAGGACGAAAGCGACTCACAACTGCCTCGAGATCCTATCATAAACAGACTGCCCTCCGCCTGGCGATCTACCGTTCTTCATATCTGTGTAGAGACTTTTGCCCCCCAACTGTCGGCTGCTTCTTCGAGTCGGAGTGTCTGGCATCTGTCCATCGCCGTATACCGAATGCCTCTGCTGTCCCGGAGGTGGGGGAACTGGATCATCCCTTAATTGATAGCCTTGCGATTGCGGTCTCACCACCCCTGCTCCCCCGTTCGGCGTGCCTCCACCTTGCGCTGTAGCCGTTGGCATTGGTGGAAGTCTCTCCCCTCTCCTTCCCCTTTGCCCCATTCCACCCGCGAAAGGCCCTTGAAGACTAGCCGGAGTGCCCTGCTGACTCACCCCACCAGCACTGCTCCTCGCCGGACTACCCCCCACCGCCGCCAACTGCAGTGCATTCATCGTCGCCATCTGTTGTTGCAAGAAATCCCCGGTCCCCGGTCTCATCCTCAGCAACTTCATAGCCATATCCAAGCTCCCATTCGCAGCAGTCTCCGAATCTTCCTCCTTCTTCTCCTGTTTCCTCTTCTTGATCGTACCCAAACTTCTCTGGTTGAGAACAGACTTGTTCTTCGCCCTTCTCTGCGTGCCCCCCGCCCTTCTCATCTTCGCTTGCATTCCTCTTACGCACTCCATCATCAGTTCATCCGTCGACTGATCGTGCAGGAGTAGGTAAGAAAGGATTTCGCGGTATTTGGGACCTTGGAGGACGTCAAGGGGTACACCATGGGCTATGTTTGATTCGGCATCATAGGCGTTGAAGTAGTTCTTGAGGAAACTGAGCCATTTGAATACGATATCCACTTCTTTGTCGGAGAGTTGGGACATGGAGGAAGGTGCATCGGATAGAGGAGGGACGAGGATGGATTCGATGATGTTGAGAACTTCTTTCCAGACCTTTGTGAGGACGAGGAGGGCTTCGGATTCGGATAAGGAGCCTTTTAGGGTTGCAAGACATTCATCGAGGTAGTCAAGTAGAGGGATGATGGCTGCTTCGATCTCGTGGTCCGTCAATTGCACCGGTCGGTTCTTGGGCTTGACTTCGGGTTCGACAGGTGGAATGACGGAGGCGTTCACATTGGTACTCGCCAACGCAGACGCATAAAGCGCTTTGACGTTTCCAATAGCCTTATCCAGATTAATTCCACTCCTCTTGACCAGTGTCTTGAGCAGCGACCTCGACAAACACTGCCTTATGAAAACCGACATCTTGTCCACAATAATCCGAACCATATCACTCTCTGCCCTCTTCAACGACCTAAAACCTCTCCCGAAATGATATAAAATATCATCCCTCTCGCCTTCCATACTGACCCGCATCAACAACCTTCCCTGAGTATCCAAATCCATCCACAACTCATGCGACAAAAAGTCGCCGAAATACCTAGGATCCAACCTTAAGTATGCCCTTCCAGACAAATTATGATCCCCTACCAACTTCCGATCCCATACGGTCGCAGCCAACCACATCGACTGCTCTACATGCACATCAAACACTTCATCCCACCTCGGTTCCGATGTTTCGTAGATCGTCCTCGTTTTCGCTATCTTCTGCCCTCTCTCATCACTCAGTGTGACAAAAGAGTCTATCCTGGGGTTACTACTCGTATCTCTGATCGGCTGAAGGTTCTCCCCGAGCACGATCTTGATCGAGAACACGTACCTCCCATTATCCCTCTTCTCCGAAACCTCCGATCCGTGCCGTTTGACAATCTCAGCCTGTTTATCAGCATCGATCTTCTGGTACAGCTTATCCAGCAACACCCTTGCTGCTTCGATATTGTTCAACCTTACACACGATGTAGCTTGAAAGTGGAACGGCTCTACCTTCTTCTCGCCCGCCAAGGTTTGTTTCGCTTTAACCATCCAAGCGGATTGCTTTTGAGCCATGTCCTGATCTTCTGCTGTTCTTGGAAACATTTCCTCCATGAAGAGCTCTTCCACTCGGCTGCAGTACTGTTCTACTGCCCTACTGACGATCTTCGCCAAGGTGGTGAGGAATTTCGCGTTTTGATACGCATTCGGCCATTTAAGTCCCAGGATGAAATCTACCGGCTGTTGTAGAGCACCAAAGAGGTCATCGATACTACTGCTGTGAACAGCACCTTCGCTTTCGATGGGAGTGAAGGAGTCGTTTTGGATCGCATTGCGGACCCATTCTGCTGTCTTCTTTTCGCTGTTGACTAGCCAGTGTCGGATGTGTGGTTCGAACCAATCTGTGAGGCTGAAGGTGATTTCAGAGTCGGGACAGAAGGCTTTATACATGCGTAAAAGCGATTTCACGCAATTGTAGAGCGTGAAGATGTCTTCGAATGCCAAAGGATCGTGTTCGCGTGTTGCGTGGTCGACTACTTGCTGCTTCATCGATTCCAGATCGTCGAGGAACAGTGGGACTTGCTTTTCGAGTAGCAGAGAAACTGGGTCGACTGATCCTAAGATAGGTTCCGGATATCGCTTGTCGAGTTTCTTAGCACCTTTCTCCAGCCAATTCAGCAACTGCACTAGTGGGACTACCTCGTTCGTAACAATCTGCGAGAACAACTCGGTCGTCTTTGCAGTGTAATCGTGAATAGCCATGATACGAATAGCATCCTTCAGCTCCTCGACGTGCGACTCGAGTGTGACCGGTTCAGCTTCCAAGCGCCGATCTCGACGGACAAAGCCACTCGAATGCAGATCCTGGATTATAGCGAGGTAAGGCTGGATCTCTTCGGTCTCGACATTGTGGATGTCTTGGAAAGTCTCGTATAGGTATCGCAGGAACGATTCGAAGAGCGACGTGAAAAGCTTGACCAAGGTCGACTGCTCGAGCTGCATCCAGTCCGCAAAGTCGATTTCTGACAGTGTGCGCATGACCGAGCCAAGCGATTCGGAAACGCAGTCCAGCGGGACTTGGCCGTTGTCGTACTTGGTCTTGATGACATCCAGGTTCGACGCGCCGAGGAACGGCGATGGGAGTCGCCAGCGTTGCGCACATTCCCCGAGCAGCTCGACATGGCTCTTAGAGAGAATACTAAGCGAGACCTCTTCTTCCTCCGGTTGATGTTTGATCATTTCGAGATCGTAATCGATGCAAATCTCGAGTGCTCTATGGTAGTACGCACGCGGATCAGGCGGAATATAGACGAAAGATGCAAAGGTGTCTTCTTCTCCCGAGTCAATCGATAGCCCTGCAAACTCGCCATCAGGAGTAGCCGTATTCGACGGGGGCGCAGAAGGGTTCTCTGATGACGGTGTCCCATTTCCTGCCCCGCCACCACCGCCACCATACGAGTCAGGCCTGGTCGACGCGGGACGCGATGCCGAAAGGCCCGGAACATCGGAAGAAGTGCTCTTAAGCAACTCCGGATTGTTGGTACACATTTCCATCATAATCTGAGACAGCTGTGACAACTCTTGCGTTCTCCACCGTTGATACGCTTCATCGGATGCAAAGTCTTCCTTCCGCCCCGGCCAGGGTTGTTGGAGGTTGATGTTCTTTACGCATTGCTTGAGGTCTGTCATGGCAGCTTGTTCCGTGCATGTCTTTTTCACGAACTCGATATCTTGGCTGAGTTGGTTGAGATCGACTGAGAAGAGCGCACCGACGGTACGAGCCATGCTTGATTCTGCTAAGGGATTCGAGGTTGTGGGTAGAGTGCTTGCTGAGCTAGCGCGTCGACTTGTGCTGGCAGAGTTGGCGCTCATGTACTCTTTTGCACCTGCATTTCCGTTAGATCCGGCTGAGACTCCGGTGCTTGCCGCCGCCGTGGTGCTGGAAGAAGACGAAGCAGATGGAGGTGCAAGTTTGGCCGAGTAGCCTTCCAATCGTTCCGTGAGCTCTCTCGGTACACCACTGACAGCCTTGAGACAGTCGCGAATGATGATAACGAACTGGCCAACCTGATTATTGAGCTCTTGCTTCCACTCGTCACCTACCGATCTCTTCTTCAAGCTCGCTTGTGCTGTAGTGACAAAGATGAGGATAAGCTCCTCGATCTTCCTATTCTCCTTCATCTGCTTCTGGAACGAAGCCTCCTTGAATGTGCCGTAGAAGATACCGATAGTTTGTCGCAGACTCTGTTCCTTGAATTGGGCATCACGACCCATGGCTATCAGCTCGAGACGATCTTTGAGCCTCTTGATAAGCTTTTCCGGAAAACGTGCTGATTTGGAAGACCCACCAACATCGCGTACCATATCTGCTAGACCAGCGAAGCCCATCCAGCTGTCGGACTTGGACGATGATGAATCGGACGCCTTCTTTGAAGATGATGCAGCGGCATTGGAAGAGGATGCGGTTGGGTGTAGAGACAAGCTTTCGCGTGCCTTTGCTTTGGCATCTCTGCGGGTTTGTGTGAGATGAGCATGGTAGGCAACTTGAAGAAGGAAGACGTAGACGTCGCCATCAGTCATGACTTGGTGTACGTAGCCGCTGCGATTGCTTCTGGTACTGCGAGTTGTCATCGTGGAAGTCGATAAGAGGTGGTGGAAGCTATCTGTGGATGATGGAGTGTGACCGGCGAGAGGAGCCGACCTGAGCTATGACCGAGCAATGAAGGGCGACACTACTCTCTCAGATGCATAAGCGTGTGCTGTGGGCCATAACGACAGCCGAGATGAGGTGATGCTGGATTCGATGAGGTCGTGTCGCGGGCGCGGAAGTCGTTGTCGTGATGAAGAAAGTTGGCCCAGTCCGGTAGACTTTGCGGCTCGTGCGGGTTGGAGATGCTTCGGGTATATATGAATGACGATGGTGATGAGGTTCAGGAGATGATAGTCGGAGGGAGATGCGATACGTTATTGTTGTGGTGGCGATGATGATGATGAGAATGGACAAAGCCGTGTAGAGCGAAAGAGACGGTCCGGCGGAGAGTCGCGACAAAAAAAAAACAGCAGCAGCAGCAGCTGACTGAAGTGTCCCAAAAAGAGTCAAGCAAAGCGCACGCAGCTCACAGACAGGGACTGAGCCGCATCGATCCTGCTTGCCTTTGCTGTGTCTGTGCGTGTGTGCGCGCGTATGTGTGTGTGTGCGTGTGTGTATATATATGTGTGTGTGTTAGACCATTTATTAGCTTACATAATCTCAGCTTTTCTCACTTTTTTTTCTTGGTGTTCAGGAAAAAGTGTCTGTGACTGACTGACATAACAACTCGCTTCATCCGACACCATCACCACAGTATATCCCTACTCATCGGCGAGCTTCCGACTTTTTAGCGCAAAAGAAAGATCGCTGACAATGGTCGCTGGTGCAGCTTCGCTCGCTCAACGAGCCCGATGGCGCAGCACACCGTTGCTCGCCTCAGCTTCAGCTAAGGCACCATCTAGCTCTCGTCGTCTGGTTTGCGCAGCGCCTCGAAGCTTCTCGATCCTCGCTGCTGCTTCGGCATCTCCGAAGACAGCTTCGAGCGTGGGAACTTTGGCCTACAACTCAGCCACATTCACACGATTTAGCGTTGCTTATCCTGCTCAGTCGACGCTTCTTGCCGGCAAACCGTTCTCGTCCAGCATTGCATACCGCCGTCTTTCGTTCTGGCCTTCTTCCAGCAAGTCTCAGACCACCACTGATGCTTCCACAGTGATGTCCGAGCTCGGAGACAAGAAGGATGAGGCGGTCAGTGCTGCTAGCGAGCTCAAGCTGTCCACCGAGTCCACACTTGAAGAGGCTGGTCGTTCGTTCCAGGACGGATTGCACTCGGCGCAAGAAACAGCTTCTGACGCTGTCTCTAAATTCGAACCCAAGGCATCCGAACTCAGCACTAGCCTCACAGAACAGTTCAGCAATGTCGACCCCACCACAGCCTCAACGGTCACTGAAGCCTTCAGTGGAGCTATGGGTGTTAAGGCAGGCGAACTCGCCGAGTTGGGTCTCAATCACTGGGCTTCTCCTCCCGGTTGGATCATCAATCTCCTCGAAACCGTCGGGACTACGACCGGTCTTCCATGGTGGGGAACCATCGTAGTCACCACCGTCGCCCTCCGACTTTTCATTGCACCTCTCAATATCGCAGGTCAGAAAAACGCCGTTCGTCTTGCCAACATTCAACCGGAAATGAAACGAAACATGGACAACATCAAACATTTCAAAGCAGCAGGAGACCAGATGCAAATGCAAAAAGCAGTCATGGACACTCGCAAGTTCATGAGCGACAACAATGCCAGTCCGATCAAGTCTTTCGCTCCTCTCTTGGTCCAATTGCCGCTGATGTTTTCCTACTTTGTCGCGTTGGAACGCATTGCTAAGTCTGGCTCAGAGAGCTTTGCACATGGTGGTCCTTCCTGGTGTCCTGATCTCACGATTGCTGATCCCACTTATATCCTTCCGGCGATTTCGACGCTTGCTACATTCGCTGTAGCCGAATTTGGGTTCAGGTCGGGAACCACCGGCCAGTCGAACCCGGAACAGGCTCAGTTGGTCAAATATATCTTCCGCGGGTCCATTCCTATCATGGCTTATATCTCTACCACTTTCCCCTCGGGCGTGTTGGTTTACTGGGCGACTACCAACGTTATTTCCTTGATTCAGCTAGGTGTGTTGCAAATTCCGGTGGTTAGACAGTGGGCGAAGTTCCCAAAGCGTATTCGACATCCTAAGAACCCATATCAGCAGGAGAGTAAGGGATTTATGGATAAGCTCAAGGCGGCTAGAGACAGACTTTCAGACTCGTCGACGGTCCGTCCTGTTGCCAAGCCTGTTGCGTCTACCACCAACACCATCCCCACCAGCATGAGTGCATCAGAGTCCAGGTCAGATGCGTTGAAGGAGATCTTGGATGATAAGACGGCTTATGAGGCTACAACGGCTAGTAAGGCGGATGCTGAGTCTGCAGAGGCGGCGCAAAGGAACAGAGAGCGTGTGTTGAAGGCTCGTAAACGTCGTGCTCGTCAGTAGATCCCATGGTCTCAACGGAAACTTGCATCAGACGATCAAGCTTAGATTGTACTTGCACCTCTCACTACTTTTCTTGTATTTCACTAAAACTCAATCGACTTCTTCCACCCTATATAAGACTTCATAAACATGTCGATCGGCTCGAATGATGCTTTCCTTTGCTTGCTTCGTCGCGGAACATGACACAAGATGAGAAGACGTGACGTTGGGAGATATCCCCCTTGGCATTACTTGTGTGATATTAGAAGATGTAAAGTGATGGATGATCAGCAATCTCGATGAGAAGATCAGGGCTCATTCCGAAGCGGATTCGAACCGGACCGATCTCCAGGAGCCTCGATCGCAAGCTCGACCCCATCATCAGCCCTCCGCTCGCCTTCAACCTGATCTTCGTCCCCGGCTGCACTCTCGATATCATCCCTGATCACATCCTCCTCCTCCATTTCTCCATCCCTCCTCCCACTCCCACCCCCGTCGGCAGAGGGCAACTCAACACCGCTCCCCAACTCCGGCACATCTTCGGTCTCCTCCCTTTCCCTTCCCACCGGAACCACCGGCTTCGGCTTCCAAATATTAGCATGCAACAGCCTCTTCCAATACGGAATCCTCTTGCCCTCCCTTTTCATCCTAATTAGTTCATTCCGACTTTTGTCTTTCAACTGAACATTGTTCCACCTCGCCAAGATCCTACTCTGCGTCCCATTCACCCCATGCCGTTTGAGGATCTCGGTGTAGACTTTGAACTTGGGTGCGACCTTTTTGTACCTTGCTAGCTCGTGTAGGCAGTCGAGCAGGCACTGGACTTCGGTGGGGGTCCAACGAGAACGTCCCGTCATGTTATGGCCTGTAACGTAGAGGTTGGATCGTTTGTAGGGTTCTACGCGAACCGATTGGCCTAATGGTTCGGTATGGGTGTTGCGACGGCGGCGCGACAAAGAGGGTTGGGGGGGATCTTCATCAAGTTCATCGACCTCATCGTCGAATTGGAGATCAGGGATTGAGGATGGATCAGCTTCTTCCTCCGCCCCCTGGCCCCTTGTTGAGTTCTCTGGATGGTAGGGTCCAATACGACGCTGTGGACGAGTATTCGAAGTGAGAAGAATAGCTGCTACATCACCATCCCTCCTCCTCCTCCTCCTCCTTCTGGCAATCGCATCAATGTTCCCTCCCTCCTCTCCATCCTCCCCGAGCAGGAGGGGCATGGCTTCATCGTCAGCTTCGGGTCGGCGGAAATGCAAAGTACCAGGTCGAGGTTTCCTAGCTGCAATAGCGGCATCGATTGCTGCACGACGGTTGAGGATAACACTGTTGTCGTCACCGAGGAAATTCTCGTCCGGTGTAGCACGGGTGGGGGCGAACTCAGCGTTGGTGGGATCAATGCGAATTCGTGCGGTGGCATCTGCGGATTGGGATTCGGATTCGTCGGAGCTAGCTTCTCCTTCTTCATGGAGTCTACCGGATGCTGTTGACAGGATGCGGGCTGAGGTACGATTTTCGCCATCAGGCAGACCTCTGCCGAGACCGATTGGGCCAGAATCCCCGCCGGTGGTGGTGCGAGTGACTCTTGCTGTGGTGGACGCAGGCTCTCCGTCGGCTGGATCCCTAGCATTTTTAAGCTGAGCTTTGGTTGGACTGAGCGATTCTTGCTTGAGCTGCAACTGTCTAGCTGCGCTCCTTGTCCCTCGTCTTCTGGCTGTCTGACGTTCGTACCCGTCGTCCTCCTCCTCCGGTTCCTCCTCTGCTACAGCTTCGCTTCCCGCACCCTGTTCCGCCTGCCCACTTGCAGCAGTCGATCTCACATTCCGCCTCGGCCTAGCGGAACCCTCCACGGCGTCACCCTCAACCACGCTCACCTCTGCCTGCCCCACTCTCTCCCTCGCCTTCCCTTTCCCTTTACTCTTTGCCCTGCTCGTCCTACCCTTTACCGTCTTCTCCAAGAACACATCCTCCTCTTCCTCCCCCTGCGAATCGAACCTCTCCTCTCTCACTCCGGCCTTACTTCCATCCAACAACCTCTGATTCTTCCTAGCCCGCGCCTCCGTGCGTCGCACGATTCGATTCTGACTATCAAACCCTAACCTATTGGCCTTCTCCTTCGCAGGGGAATCGAATGGTCCATCCCTACTCCTCCTTGGTTCGGCTGCAGCATCGGTACCGCTCTCTGAAACTTCTACCGCATCCGAAACCGATGCTGATGCTGAGTCAGCTACCCGTGTCGTGGTGCGACCAGAACTGTTCAACGCAGCCGATAACCTCGTGCTGAGCTTGCCACGTGGCGGACTTGATGCAATGTCCAAGTCAACACTTGTACTTGAAGCTGGCTCTCCTTCGTCGGTAGTTCCTTCCAGTAGCATCCGATCGAGTTCGCGAATCTTTTGGGTTTCGGTCAAGTCCATCTCTTCATCCTCCTCCTGCGTTCGAGGCTGGTTTCGAGCCAGCCCGACTCGGCTGGACTGCGGATCTTCGTCCAACATCTCATCCAACCATCCTACGAATTGCGATGCATACGGTTGCGAATCGCCACCACTTCTCTGCGTTGCCTTGGGCGTAGACTGACTTGGTCCGCCCGCATACATCGAATCCGCATCATCGTCCAACACCGAGCTCGACCCGACCACTGGCTCTGATGGATCAGAACTTACAAACGAACTATTCTCCCTCTCCAACCGATCAATGATCAGCGGTAACGTGGTCGAACGCATACCCCGATCCACTTCCCTCACCACATCATGTACGTATCCAGTGAGATCGGCGGCCATTCGACGAAAAGAAAAGGTGGTGCGCATGGTATTGATGTCGAAACCGAGTTGTTGTAGATCGGTTTGACGAACGTTAGCGAATGTTTCGTACCGTTGCACCATTCGTTCGATGTTTGCTTTCGACATTTTACGTTGTCGTTTGACCCTTTGCAATGAATGTCGAACTACGTCGCCACTCATCAGGTCGATCAGATGATCCGAAATGCTGCGCCGTGCAGCATCTTCGGTAATTTCGCCAGCTCTAACTTGCTCAATCGTCCTCTCGACCCTATGGATATAAATCTGAATACTCAGATCCAACAACATGCCCAACACCTCATCCGTCACCTCCCATCCACTCGGTAAAATCCATCTCAAAAACACTCTCCTAGCATCACTCAACTCCCCGACCCTCCTTAACCCCACGCGACTCACATCGGCACCCGTAATCTCCCTCCCTTCGTTCCTCCCATACAGCTTCGGATCCGTCGGAAGCTGCTGTACGTAGTGTACAAAGGTAGCACAGTTGGCCATCTTCATGGCTTCCTCCAACCCGTCCGGCCTTGGCTCCCCTGCAGCGGCTAAAGAACGAGTGACTTGTTCAATATCGATGAAATGATGCATGTATTGACCTTCAGCCAGCAGCTGGTTTGTCTTGTAGGATTCGAAAGGGATCCAATTGCGGAGCATTTCATCGAATGATTCGGGTCGCCATCCGCGCGGGGTGTAGAGATTCATGTAGAAGTGGAGGACGCCTTTGGCGGTGATGACTAGGGCTGCGCATCGTTCTTCGATGGTAGGGACATCGAGTCGACCATCGGGAAGCGAGAGGGAGGGTCGAAGTCGTTGGCCGGGACGAGCCATGGTGGTGTTTGCGATGGCTTCGGTTTCGGTTTCGGAGGGTGAAGTGTCGTTGAAATTGACGGTGGTGGTGGCGAGGGGGCGGCGGGTTTGACGCGTTGTTGAGGGGACTGTGGATATCTGGCTTCTTGCTGTGTGGAGCGAGCGAGATCCAGAGGCTTCGGAGTTGGCTGTGCGGGTTACAGGCGCACTTTGCCGGGAGCGACGGGAGGTTTGCGAGCGGCTGGAGATACTTGAACGACCAGCCTGGGCAGGTGCGGCAAGAGATGCTCTACTCGCTCTCTGCCCTTGTTGCTCTCGAAGACGGAAGCGATCTAGCGCGGTCTGGGTGGTGTCGAGATCAACTGGCTCGAGCAATGTGCGTCGGACTGGCCGCGGTGTAAGTTGCTCCAAGACAAGCATCTCATCGAGTGCCTCTTGGTCTAGATCCTCTTCGCTGATCGCGTTGTCACTCTCTTCTTGGAACCGTTGCCGTTGGTTGGACCGACGGGTGTTGGAGACCGTGTCGTTGGATTGGTCTGGATCGGAAGAGTCTGTGAGACTTGGGAAGCCAGGAGCGGACCTTGGCAAGATGAGGGTGGAACGTCGTTTGATGTCTTTGACGGGTCGAGTTCGCGAGGTGGAAGCGGAAGCTGCATTGGACGCGCGCGTCGCCCTCGCGCTGGAGACGATGGAGAACATGCTGGCTCTGTCCAGGGTGTTCGCTCAATCGACAGATAGCTGCCTAGAGTGAGTGCCGAGTTGGACTCTTCATGCTCTGGAGTATGACTGGGTTCAGAGGAGTGCCATGGCGATTTTGAGTACACTGCAATGCTGGTTGTGGTACGACGATGACAGCCGGAGCGCGTAGTTGCGGTTATACTGCCTCAGAGACCGTAAGGGCAGGACAGAAGGTAGGAGCGTATGTGCAGATGGTGGTGGATGATGAGAAGGGGTCCAAAGTGGAAGTGGAGTTCTTCGCTTGCAGCCACGCTTTCCAAAAAGTGACACCTGGGCCACACACACGCTCTCTCTTGGACGCGTGCTGGAAGCTGAGCACTTTCCCGACGCGTCTGAGACTTCCGAGCTCTCTCCCTGAAAGCGTCCCCACACATCCCTCCTTCGCGACCAGCCTCACCTCTTCACGAGGTCAAAGTACATGGCTCGCACAAACCTGTCACGAAACGAGCCACACAGTCGAAGCATAGGTGCAAGGAAACAAGAAGAATGTTACATAGATGGGAGGGAAATGACTCTAGTATTACAAGCGAGCAGCGATCAACAACTGCCAATGCCAGACAAGCGCTCCCGACTTGATACAGTCAGGGCGTCCAGGAAATCATAAAGAATCCTTTTGTGTGAGGCCTTTCACACCTCTATTCGGGACGGCTTAGGAAACCGAAGTGCAAGAGAAAGGACTGCCGACGCTTCCTGAGTGGTACGTGTCCCTGATCGAGATCGCACTCGCCCAAACACCCGCCACGCAGATGACCGCCGAAATGGCAATGATAGTCAGAGCAGTAACCATGCCCGACACCTTACGCCACGACTCTGTCCATCTTCCCTGATTCAAGTACAACCACATAACAGCACTCAGCCCGGTGAACAGTGACCAGAATAGCGCAGCCTCCAAACCAAGGAAGGAGGAGAAGAAGGGGATCAACTCGGCCAAAATGAAAGCCAGGACCCAGGTGACAGCGTTGATAAGGGTCCAGACGATCCAGCCAAGAGTAGTCGAGTTGTGGATGTGCTGAGGACGAGAGCGGAAGAAGATAATGTAGAGATGCTTGTTTGCGACTTGACCACTCTCGCAACCTGCGATGAGGATGGTGGGCAAGGCAAGACCATAAGCGATTCTGCTGGTGGTGTATGACAAGCTGTTCAGAGATGGCGAGGTGGTGTACTGGCCAAGGTTGTTGTAGATGACGCCACCGACGAGGAGGTAGAGGACAAGCTGGACACCGACGAGGAGGGAAAGACTCTTCTTGAAGTCGGTGGGTTTGCGCATCTCCGAGATGATGGGCAGGTAGCTTGGAATAGCACCGAAACTGACGAAAAGGTTGAGGACGTAGAGGAAGCCAGTGAGGAAATCGACCTTGACACCAGGAGCAGGACCAAAGGCAACGACCTTGATGGGTGGCGCATTGGCAGGAGCATTTTGGGGACCGGTGATGCCACTAGCAATCATAGCAAAGATTACGGCAACGACGATCGATGTGAAAGAAACAAAAGCCGAGATAGAGAAGAGCTTGTAGGATCGAGGCAGCGTGAACAAGAACGAGATGACTGCAAAAACGAAAGCAAGAGCAATAGCACACGAGTGCCATCCGAGGATGTAGAAGGCCTGTCCACCGAGCAAGACGTGGTTACCCTGCAAGAAAATGGAGAAGATCAACTGAGCAGCACCGAGGAAGCGAGCACCCCAAGGGCCGAACATGAGGAAACCGGCATCCTGAAGGTTCTGGACACCAGGGAAACGCATCTTGAGCCTCCAGTACTGGTAGCCAGTGTACCAGCAGATGTAGGCAAAGAGAAAGGTGAGCAGAATAAAGGGTACGACACCGAGCGAGACGGCTACAAGAGGGATGCTGAGAATGCCGAGTGCTATAGCGTAAGCGACCTGGTTGAAAAAGGCGCCCTTCCAACCGAGCGTCTTTGGGATGGCAGCATGGTCGTGAGCACGCTGCTGCTCCTCCTGAGCCTTGGTCACTTGTTCGATATCGCTGAGCTGAACGTTCTGTCCCTTCTCAGTAGTCTCGTACATTTGGGCTCCACGCTCGCCAAGGAGCTCGAAGAGGTAGCTGTCTTGCCACGACTTTGCTTGTTCTCCCGATGGGAAGAGGAAGGATTGACCGACGGGACGAGAAGATTCGGCTTTGCGTTCTGGTGAAGAGGATTTGCTTCTTCTTGAAGAGCTGTGTTGGCGTGCAACGGCGCTTGTGGTGGTGATGCTGTCGCTGCTCATGCGAGCAGGTGTTTCTTGAGCTGATGTTGCCATCTTGTAGTCTGTTGGTGATTGCGATGTATGAGCTACGGGGTTACGGTTGATACGATGCGGTGTTCGTGCGTAGCTGTGCAGCGTGAGAAGAAAGCTGAGCAAGTGAAAGGCTTGCAGCGAAAGCGGAACAGTCGAAACGGAAGCAAAGAGGATTAAAAGAGAACCTGAGTCACACGTGGGGAAAGCGGCCGTGATGTGCTCTTATCAAGGTTGAATAAAGTGTGCGCAGAGAAGGGTGGGGCAGATGGCGTGATGGTGAGAATAAACGAAGCTTGAAGCTTGAGCTTGCTCAGCGGGGAAGTGGGATGGAAGAGAAGAGGGAAGGAAGCAAGGGAAAGGAGTAGAAAACGGAGGTGAAGAGGAAAAGGTTAGGGGAAAGGGTCAAAGAAGCAAAGCAAGCTATACAGAATCAGAAAAGGCCTTCCTTTACCAATCTTCGTAACCACCGTGTGTGGGCAAGAAGACGGGGACACGACACGGAGCGACAGTCGACTGTGCTTTCAGTTGGAGGCACCGGTATGTCGTCTCCATCGCTACGGCAACAAGATTCCTGCGTGGCAAAAGGGTCCTTCAGATTTGTCTGATACGCTCGAAAGCGTTTGGAAGGGCAGTGGAGACCATGGTCGCGCTAGGGAAAGCAAGGTGGGCTAACCTATGACCAAGCCTCTATGATGCACCTCTAGTTGCATTGGCTCCAGCATTCCCGTTGCTTCTGCATCAACGAGCATCTCTGGTCTGGTCAGGTGAGCTCGCCTTTCTTTGAAGCACACCCCGCCCTCGAAGCATGGTTTCCATTGCCGGTCTTGGGCCTTGGACTGTTCTTCTGACTGAATGCGACCTTTGAAGGATCAGAGTTGAGGATCGCCTCAGCAGCAGTGTAACTCGAAGCTAAAGACGTCGAGTTCCGCATTTTCCTCTGCTGACCGCCTTTGTCTTGCAAAGTGATTTTATTTGATTTTATTTGATTTTATTTTATTTGATTTGATTTGATTTGATTTGATTTGATTTGATTTGATTTGATTTGATTTGATTTGATTTGATTTGATTTGATTTGATTTGATTTGATTTGATTTGATTTGATTTGATTTGATTTGATTTGATTTGATTTGATTTGATTTGATTTGATTTGATTTGATTTGATTTGATTTGATTTGATTTGATTTGATTTGATTTGATTTTATATCTGATTTAATTTGATTTGATTTTATGATCTTTTATCTATTTTCGAAGCTTCAAGTCGCAAGGGCAAAAAGACTCTTCGGACAATTTTGTGTTTTTAAGGGGAAGAGCCTCGGCAAAAAGGGAATTCCACACGATACGTAAGCAACGTCACATGCCCGCGAAGAGCAAGAAGGAAGCTGGAATAAACTCCCTTTGGTAGAGTAGGTTGGCGGCGCATGACGCACATCTTTGGCACCCAACCGAGATTCAAAGACGCTAGTCAACGGGCCGACTGTTCCTATCGATTCCAGTGTCCCTCTTCGGCGGCGATGAGAACGAGGGCGGTGGTGGGACTTTGCCAGGTTGCAAACGAAAGAGAAGTGGGCAAACAACAATAGAGTGTGTCCCCCCGTTTCCTTTCCATCATCAGTTTTGGTGGAAACACTTGATTGGCTGCTACCTCTTCCAGTGACTCGTGACTGCTATCAGTTGCATCTCAATGTCTGATCATGTTGCAAGACTCAAACCGGCCCCTTGCTGTTACTGTGTCGACCAACAAGCATTCTACTATTCGCGTGAGGAGAGTAAGAACGGCTGTCCGTCGGGAAAAGGAACAAGCGGCACACGTCACTCGCTTTGCGTTGGAAAAGAAAGCGGCAAAAAAGCAGCGGCGCGGCGGGCGGCAATCAGAGCGGCTTTGATTTTCGGGGGATTAGGAAAATTTTCTTTTCTTTTGGTCGGCTGACCTCGAAGAAAAAAAAAAAAAAAGAAAAAAAAAAAAAAAGAAAAGAAAGAAAAGAAAAGAAAGAAAAGAAAAGAAAGAAAAGAAAGAAAAGAAAGAAAGGGCTGCCACGAGTCAAGAACAATTTTGGAGAACCCACCAACCACAAAACGCTTTCTTACCAGCGTCTGTTGGTTGCCAAGTTTTGGGATGCAAAATCCGACGGAGCTGCAAACCTCATCTTCTGCTGCTCACTTTCTTCTTGGCTGCCACCAAGAGAGGAGTTGGAGCGACCAGCACAACTTTCCTTTCGCCCCCCTTGCCCAGAGTCGGATCGTCTTCACACTTGCCCGATCTTGACATCGGAGATCAAGTCACGCCTTGCCCAGGGAATCAAACAGACACACTTTTACCAAGCGGCACAGACATCCATCGTTGCAGCGGTATCTACCCCACAGCGGGGTAAAGCATGCTTCTTTCGTTGTATCCGATGAAGAGTGCATGTGGTCTTGTGGGGTAGATCACCAATCGTATGGTGCGCGTTCAACGTGGACATTACCGAGATCGACGAGGTATGAAGCGGAAGCGTCGACCCAAATTTCCAGAGGTTCAAGCCGAAGCCTGGTGACCGTTTAGACCGGCGGGATCGAACCAAACTTCCCGATCCCTCTGCTAAAAGAGCTGACCCGATCAATTCACCTGTCCGATTCAGCTCAGTTGCCGCCCGTCAAACCCTATTTGACCGAAGTTATCCCCAAACCCGAACTTCTCCTTGTCCTTCCCGACCCCAGTCGCCGAACCAATACGCTTTGGTCGTTAAGCCTCTTTCCTTCTGCATTTGACAGATGAGAGTGGCGTACATGAACAGACGTGGGTGGTGTGGCGCTTGATACCCCGCAACGTGCACACCATGGCTCAAGGGTAAAGTGAGGCAATCTGGGGTACACATAGATTGCCGTTTCTTGTGCACGGATCAACTTGAGTGCTAGCTTGATCGATTCCATCCTCCAAGGTCCCTATGCTTGTTCGGTCTCTCAGTCCACTGCTTCTTCCTGTCCAATGCCTCTCACATCAACGACTGGAAGTCCTGACTCGAACACTTGCTCAGTGTCTCACAATGATGAACTAACCACAGAGCACAAAAGAGACAAAGACTATCTGAATGAATTAGAGATGCATTGCAGTAAGCGAAAGCTGTTACACCCCGATCAGCTTCTTAGCCATCGAAATCTTATACATCGGCTGCCACCAGATCTGAATCTCATCAATCGACGAAATACATGCCAGTGCCGTCGCCCACCCTGGCCCAGCAAACCCTTCTCCGGCCACACGACCATGCGCTGGCAGCACCAACCCAGGTGATCTCTCATCCTGATTGCTGATCGCTTCTGGTGGACGCAAAGGCCAAGGTGTATGCTTGCGATACCCCATTGGCGGTGGACGCCACGGCACTGCGCTCCTACCCGGATCATCGATAAAGGCTCGCCAGGTGACTTGACCACGAGGAATGTTTGGATCGCCCAATACTTTAACTGCTTCCAACACTCTTGCCCCTACTCGGGCTGCACTGCGGCGACTGATGCGGGTCTGTTCGTACATGTCGTCGCTCGAGAGAAGTGGTTCGGCGGGCCAAGCAAGGACGCGTTCGTCAGGTTCAAAGTCGAGTGAAGTGAGTTGACGAGCACGAATGTATAGCAGTTCGATGCCATGCGGACCGTACGTCATGCTGTAGAGTCCTTCGATGGCGTCCCAGTCGAAATCTGGATGTGCTGGGTCGTAGTATGCCGGTGGAGCGATGTGCTGGTAGATGACTGGATCTGTTGAGGTAGATGCTGTTGCGCTAGTGCTGATTCCCGGCCCGAAAGACGACAGAGAGGGCAAAATAGTGCTGCTTGCCTCGGAAGCAGGTTGTTTGAGCGCAGGCTTGCTCAGCAACGAGCTGCGATCAGGATTGCGAATAGGAAAGAATCTCGGCCCGGACTCCAACGCATGCGCCTCAATCGGCCAAGGACGATACGGTGGTGAAGGAGTCATAGTCAACGAGTCAATCGTCAGATGCTTGCCTTCAAGAAGCAACCCATCTTCGCTCCGCACCGTTGCAAAGATGTTGGATCTTCCGATCTGCTTCTGACCGAGCCGACTCCAAGGTGGAGAGCGGACCGCAGGTAGCAAGGCGGGTGGAGGAAAGATGGTAGGTGGTAGAGGCATGATGATGGAAGGCGGCGATCTGAATGCTTCATTGCGCTGTTCTGCACCGATGTACGGCTGGTGAGGAGAAAGTGAGACTTGTACTCTATCATCTTCCTGCACCTCGTCAGAGCGTGTCGATACAGCGCCAGAAAGAGGGTGGATTCGATGTTGCAGATTGCCGACTATGTGTCGATGTGGACCAAGTATGAGTCTGCGTAGATTGGTGTGAGCTGCATCGTCTTCTTCCAAATTGAAGCCAAAGTTGAAGAAGGCAGGCGCCTCGGCTGCTCTTCGTAGGACGCGATCGATCTCTTCAGCTTCATTCTCGTCCAAGTCAAGTTCTTCTCCGTGTTCGCTTCCGTCATCGTCCATATCTACGTCGCCACCATTGTTGCCTAGGGACAAGCGTCCGCTACGGTTGTGAGGATTAAGACTTCGCAGCCACGACTGGCTTAAAATGTGAGCTCGAAGGTCGGTCCCTGCAGCCATCTTGCTCAAATCCGACGTCAGGTCTGCAGAGGCAGAGGATGAGGCCGGGTTTTTTGGTGCCGCAGTACCAAGCTGGGCATCACGCCAGCTAAAGTGCCACAGATTCTCCGTACGGATTCCTGGCTCGCAAAGATCGGTGCGGATTTGGGTCAGGCTGCGACGAAGGATGGTGCCTTGACCAATAATAGCTGCGTTGCTAGGCATCGGAAAGCCGGTAACTTGAGACCATCGCTCCATGTCACTATCGAGCCCTTGTAGACGGTTGGTCGGATAAACTCGTTGACAGACAATGGAGGGCGACTTCCGTTTGATGCCAGTAGACCCTGAGGAAGCTTGATGAGACATAGCTTCTGCTGTCGCCAAGGCGCCCGAGGTTGTTTTCTGGGAAGATGCTTCGGTGCGTTCCTCGTCATAGTAGGCGAAGTGCATGTCTAAGATGATTCTGACGGCCATGCCAAAGAACGGCACATCTGAGGCCCACCAACCCAGCAGTGGCTCGCATGGTCTAACGAAGTGGATGTAGACTTGGTACAGGGATGAGGCGCCGTCAAAGTAGTCAAGATCAAGCTCGCCAAGCGGCTTTGCTGATAACATCCAGGCTGCAACTTCGTCGTCGGCCTCTTCAATATACTCGTTTCGGGTTGGCCAGGCAGGTGGATGGATGACGTCCGCTTGCAAACCGAAATCGGGATGCCATAGCGGGAGGGAAGATTCGAGCGGATGAATGTGTGGACCCTGAACGGGAGGACTCAAAGAGTGAATAGCATGGTGGACGAATTGCTTCCATAATACATCTAGTAAGGCAACCTGACGTATCCTCGTGCTTGTTGCTGCTGTTTGAGCCAGCGAAGCAGCATCGAGGTAAAAGAAGATGTCGAGAAGTACTTCATGAGGTAGTTGCTCAATGGCACTGAGTTCGCCGATCTGCGCCATCATTGTTGAGCTTTTGCTGCTGGATGATGCTCTCTTATCCAGCCACGGTCCATGTGGGGAAGTGCCAATCGTCGAAGATAGTGAGGATCCGCCTACTTTATCGTTGAAACGGGCCCATGCAGCGCTTTCAAGGGTCCATTTGCTGCTAACTTGCGGTTGGCAGGTACCGGGTGAGGCCTTCAAAGGCGGTCGTGCTGTTGTAAGGAGATGAATGGACGATGATGGTGTGAGGACGATATCGTCTGCGAATGGCGACTCACGTGAATTGACCGTCGGACCATCGGATGAGCAGAGCAAGACCCTAACTGATTCGGTTATGCGTATCTCGTAATGTGAGCCTCAAAAGCGAGGTAACTGGTTCTGGCGTCTGTGCGTCTTTCCTCAAGCCCCATTTTCAATTCTGTGAGAGCATACGTACGCCGGTAACATGGTTCACAGACCCTATTGGAAAGCTCACACTTGCTCCTCCGACATATCATCTGATGCGGAGAGGCGTTAGAAGCGTTGCCCTGATACGAGCTGCAGAGATAAAATGTGGAGCATTTCTTTGATTACGTTTGACGTGCATCGCCGAATTTATCTGCAAGAGGCCGATCTCGATGATGAGGTGATTGAAAGGCGGCGGATGGATATCGGGAAGCAGCAACAACATCGGGATGAATAACACCCGATTTCAGGGGGAACAGGAGATAGTTAGGCTCGCGTCAGGCAAGAAAGAAGACCTTTGGCTCGGGAAAGAGTGAAGGGAAAAGAAAGCAATTGCAGGCGAGGACGGCTTGCTTCGGGCGGATGTCTCCGTAACGTAACGTTAACGTTGCGATGTGCTGATGAGATGCTGTTTCGTGTGTTTTTGTATGTCTTTTTCGGATTCGGATTCGACGGCCGTTTATCACCACGCGGGAAATGACGGTAAAAAGGAAGGGAAAAGGAAGGGAAAAGAAAGTGTTTTTGTTGGGCTGTCATCCAAGCATGATGCTGCGCTGTGCTGTGCTGACCGTTCTCGCCCTGATCTCGCGGATTTTTTCTTGAGATATAGATTTTAAACCCTGAGCTGAGCGCGGTAAGCTGATGGAAGCAAGAGACAGAAGAAATCGATTTCTTCGACCCGCGATTTTTGGTTCAGGATCGGGAGGCTCAGTAAGTTCAATAATTGCTTGACCGTGCCACTTGAGAACGACTCGCAACGCAACACAACGCAACGTGTGACCTGAATTTAACCGACAAAGCTCCTGACATCTTTCCGGCCTTCTACCATCATCATCATCATCATCATCATCGTCCTCCTCCTCCTCCTCCTCCTCCTTTCTCTCCTTGCTTATAGCTCGGAGATCCCGCCACACTTACACATTACATACTAGACACAATGATCTCTGGTCTTTTGTCACGATCGTCGGTCGCCCCCGCTAGGGTGAGTGCCTCATCCCATTCTAACTGTCACAAAACGCAAACAACTTAGTTCTCCGTGGAAGGCCACCCATCGTCGGCCTAGCACAGCAGTACTGACTCTCATATCTCTGTGCTTTTGCGTCTGCTTCGCTTCTTCCCGTCCAACAGGCTTTCCAGGCTTCGACACTCCCCCGCGTCGTCTCGGCCCTCCCCCGTGTTCAGAGCCGTGGCCTCGCCACTGGTGCTGACCCATACGATGTCGTCGTCATCGGCGGTGGTCCGGGTGGCTACGTCGCCGCCATCAAGGCCGCTCAGCTCGGTCTCAAGACCGCCTGTGTCGAGAAGCGTGGCGCTCTCGGAGGTACCTGCCTCAACGTCGGTTGCATCCCTTCCAAGGCCATGTTGAACAACTCGCACCTCTACCACCAGGCCCAGCACGACTTCAAGAGCCGTGGTATCGATGTCGGCTCCGTCTCACTCAACCTCGATACCATGCTCAAAGCCAAGTCCAGCGCCGTCACCGGTCTCACAAAGGGTGTCGAGGGTCTTTTCAAGAAGAACAAGGTCGACTACCTCAAGGGTACCGGTAGTTTCAGCAGCCCCACCACTGTCAAGGTCGCTCTCAACGACGGCGGCGAGACCGAGGTTGAGGCCAAGAACATCATCATTGCCACTGGTTCCGAGGTCACCCCCTTCCCCGGTATCGAGATCGACGAGAAACAGATTGTCAGCTCCACTGGTGCTCTTGAGCTCCAGAAGGTCCCCGAGAAGATGATTGTCATCGGTGCCGGTGTTATCGGTCTCGAGATGGGCAGTGTCTGGAGCCGTCTCGGTGCCAAGGTCGAGGTTGTCGAGTTCTTGCAGACCGTCGGTGGTGCCGGTATCGACGGTGAGATCGCAAAGAGCTTCAAGAAGACCCTTGAGAAGCAGGGCATCAAGTTCCGTATGGGCACCAAGGTCGTTGACGCCGAGAAGAAGGACGGCAAGGTCACGCTCAATGTCGAGGATGCTAAGAGCGGCGAGAAGACTCAGCTGGATGCCGATGTCGTCCTTGTTTCCATTGGTCGACGACCCGTCACCAGCGGTCTCAACCTTGAGGCTGTCGGAATCGAGAAGGACGAGCGCGGACGCATCGTTGTCGATGACCAGTACAACACCACCTGCAAGGGTGTCAAGTGCATTGGTGACGCCACTTTCGGACCCATGCTTGCGCACAAGGCCGAGGAGGAGGGTATCGCTGCTGTCGAGATCATCAAGGCTGGTCATGGACACGTCAACTACGCTGCCATCCCCGCTGTCGTCTACACCCACCCCGAGGTGGCTTGGGTCGGAAAGAACGAGGAGGAGCTCAAGCAGGAGGGTGTGGAGTACAAGGTGGGCAAGTTCCCCTTCCTTGCCAACTCGCGTGCCAAGACTAACGCCGATGCCGACGGTATCGTCAAGTTCCTCGTCGAGAAGGAGACCGACAAGGTTCTCGGTGTTCACATCATCGGCCCTAACGCCGGTGAGATGATTGCTTCGGCAGTTCTTGCCATCGAGTACCAGGCTTCGGCAGAGGACATTGCACGAACCTGCCACGCCCATCCTACTCTCTCGGAGGCCTTCAAGGAGGCTGCCATGGCTTCGTACTCCAAGGCCATCCACTTCTAAATGTAACTTGCCCATCTCGTCCCACTCGCCTCGATGCGATCCCCATGTACTGTATAGATTGACGGCTCGTTTCTGTCAAGAAAACCTTTGCAATCTGCTTCGTGCCAGTTTGTTGTGCTTTCAATCGAGTCGACATGAGGATTTGAATGCGTCGGAATGGCGCGACAGATGCCTTTCTATGGTTGCAGTTGTTTCTGTTTATCAGATCGCAGGGCCGCACAAGCTGCACGCAAATTCCGAGTCGTGCGAATGGAAGGTGCGCTCGTTTCAATGGTGGGCGAAGGCACGTGACCTGAGTCGTGTCACTTGATATTGCTCATCACATCTCCTGTCTCTCTCGTTGCTTCTTCTCCATCATCTTCTCTCCTTTGCGCAAGCCTCCTGGCTGCGCTTCGTCAAGTTCACCCCCCCCCCTTCCCTCCCTTACCTTCTCACGATTGTTCATGCTTCTCACGTTTCTCTTTTGTACTTGGTTCTCACGCGCATTCCGCCTCGCTCTCACGCGGCGCTCGACCGGCCGTGCCTCTTACGGCCACGGCTGGGAGCCCGCAAGCGACTCACCTGAGTTAGGCAATTTAACATTCTGACACAGACTTCAGGCACGTGAGACAAGTCACCGTTGAAGTTCATCGACGACAGATTTCTAACTGGAGAACAGAAGACGCTCTGCAGGAAGCTCTGTGCAGCGTTTGAACCTTGCATGATCAATGAACGCTTCTGACGGCAAAAGTCTTGTGACATCTGTTGAATGCATCCTAGCATCCATCTGTAGTTTCTCGGTCTACGTCGGCAATAGTTGTGATGAGAAGATTGTCTGTGCTAGCCGTCGTGACGTTTAGAGCTCGTAGACCAACAGAAAGGGCGACCAAAGCAGGACCCTTGTTCATTTGCACAAGCTCAGAGTTCTAATGGGAAACAGCTTTGCACAAGAGCTAGACGGTCTCGGCTAAGTTTTGATAGGTCCCTTGTCTGTCTGTCTGCGACAGTTGAGAAAAGAGCGAATCAGAGGCTTGCCCAGCCAGCGTGTTCTGTCGCCGCTGCTGCTGACGTTGGTGTGTGCTATTTCAAGCGTCAATCTTGACCACGCTGGGCCACTGTCAAGCCATCACTTGACTGTAGATTTGACTGAGCAGAGCGCGACACAAGCCAAATGCAAAATGCAAAATGCGAAATGCAAATTTAACTTGGCCAGGGCCCCGCTGCTTGGGCTGCTTCTTTTTCAAACAGGACGCCGCACGCCGCTAATTTTACTCGTCAAGCAAAGAAGGCTTTGTCGCCGCTCCTGCCGTAGAAGTGCATCGGCGCCTCTCACTCGCTCATACTCTTCTGGAATCAGGTCGATCCGTGACACTGGCTCGCACCCTCCATACTTTCTCTTCTTCATCCTCCTCCCATCAACTAACTCTCTCTCTCCATTAACATCGCAAAACAAACCGTCCGGCACGTCACCTTTTCGGCACGCTCCCTACATTCTTCCTCCCAGCACCGCAGCCTCGGCATATCCGATCGAGACTAGCGCACACATACTTACCATCTCCACACGCCTTCAGTACGACCTGCTTGTGTCGTATCGGTGCTTCAGGATCGACAGCGTCAAACACAACCCGCCTCGCCACATCCATCTTAGTTCTCACGGTCAAAAAGCACACATTTCGCCGCTCAGGACCTTTGGACCGCTCAATCGCTTCCTACGACTCGCACTGCTGGCTTTGGCGCACTGGCGATCTCACGGCTCATCGTCCCACACTTCATTTGCTCACTTCCCAATGAAGAACTTTGTGCGCAACTAAAAGGTTCCACTTTGCACCACAGTGGAGCAAAGGGCTCGACTGCTTGCTATCCTAGCAGCTCTTCAACCCCCGGCAGCTTGCCCATCTCCAAGTCTCTCGATCGAGCTCACTCCTGAGCTTGCTCTCATCTTATCTTCATTCCGTGGCTGCAAACACTTTTCGTTTGGCCTCTTGCAGCAATTCGACATTGATTCGCTCTGAACGCCGCCGCCACCGCCACCGCCACCGCCGCTTCACACGCATCCTCTGGCTTCCTTTGTGGCGTCATCGACACTAATTTGTTGTGGGTGCACTGCTTTGTTCTCCTGCTCACCAGACGCCATTTGCTTCGAAGCGCCTCCCGCAGCAGCTATCGACGGATACAATCCTCACGCTGCCTCATCGCTTGACCAAGCAACTCAACCTTGCCTCTCGCGAGATTGCTGTGTTAGTTCAGAAAACTCCTGCGTCGCCTCCTATCCCAGCACAACCAAGAGCCACATCTAAAGTTTCTGCAGCTGCTGCATTACCTTCACGATGGCATCTACTGCCGAATCACCGGCATCCCCCGCCGGTGATCTCGATCACGACGGCAAGCCTCGTGTCCTGGTCGATGGACCTGGAGGTGCTGATACCAAACAAGGAGCAAAGATTGCCTGTCTCGAATGTCGATCTGCCAAGATCAAATGCTCGGCTCCTACCGACGGACAGGTGCCATGCAAGCGCTGTGTCAAACATCAGCGAGAGTGTCTCTTTGAGAAGCACAAGCGTGGTCGAAAGCCAAATAAGCGCCTTTCGGTCCCAACCGATCTGCGTTCAGCAGGGCGCAACGGCAGTGATGGAAACGCACACGAATCACCCAAGCGTCCAACCTCTTCAGGCGGAAGATCCGACAGTCACCATGGCTCATCGCATCATCATCAGCAGCAGAGCTCACGCAATGCTCGCGGCACTCCCGAAAAGGGTCGGAACAAGCCCGAAAGCGGCTTTGGATCTGGCGATGGCAGTGCCAATCGTCACCGCTTTGGAGAGTCGAATTGGAAAGGAGGAAACAGCGGATACGCTCAATCCTCGCAAGGTCGACCTCATTATACTGAAGATCGCTTTCACGACAAATTTCACGACAAATTTCACGACAAATACGCCAACGGGGGCATGTCGGCTTCCATGTCGGCTCCCTCTGGTCTTTCTCAGTCTGGTATGCCCTTCCCCTACGGCCAGTCTCATCATCATCAGCCTTCTCACCATGCTCAATCTCACCAGCACCATCAGCATGGTCATCAGCAACAACACCAGTATTCACATCAGCACTCTCTCCAGCAGCAGCAGCAGCACTCGCATTCGCATTCGCATTCGCAGCAAACATCAGCAGCGACAGCCTATCCGCACGGTCGACACGCTCCTGAGCACAGCAGTCCTGGTCGATGGCGTGATCATGCTTTGCAGTCAGCCGCATCCTCCCCTCACACCTCTCATCCCATTGCAGCGCCAGCCAAGCAGCACGACAACTTTGCACAGGCACGCAGTCGACCCTACCCTCACAACGCGCCAGCACCCAGCCACAGCTACGCACACTGGGACAGTCAGCTTGGATTGCAAAGGAACAACAAAGCTAGAATGGATCTCTCGCCCTCCAGACCAGCCGATGGCCCGAACGCGTCAGGGCAACAGCAGCAGCAGCAGCAGCAACACTCAACTGGACACTACACCGGCAGCAACGAGAGTGCCGCTAGCTCGCAGAAGCACGCATCGACCGTGGATCATCGCAGCGCCTCCAAGGGTCGAACCCAGCGTCGCGATGGCGTCGGCTCCCAGCATCAACGATCCTCCAGTCGAGGTGCCCCATGTGACCCAGATGCGGATGAGGAGTACGATGAGGAGGACGAGCTGGAAGATGATGCAGATGCCACGCGTGAAGAGCATGACTATGTGTTGTCCAATCCGCTCAAATTGCTGGCTCAAGCCTCTGATGCAGCGGCTGCCTGTATTGAAGGCGGAAGAGTCGAACCTGCAAATCGAAGCTCGTTGGCTGCGGTGGAGACAATGGGTCTGCTCCATCCTACCTTGCCGTCGAATCGCATGGCCGTCAGTGCTGCCGTCAACCTGACCGGTCTCGGTCGCCCGCTGTATGAACGAAGGGACGACGATATCTCGCGCAATCAACGCGGTGGTTGGCCTGCCCGCGTTCTGCCTCCCCTCCTCAATGTCAATCGTAGCGGCGCACAACTGCCAGAATCCGGCTCCGACGCACCCAATCGCGGTCAGCCAGCTTTCCTCAAAGATACCATGCGATCCAAGTCCTTCCCCGAGGGTGAGCTGCCAAGGGTTGACGGACCCAGCCCAATGGACGAGTTAGAGCAGGGTCCCGCTGCAGCAGTTCCTTCTGCTAGCAGTCAGGTATCTGCTGCCAAGACAGTATTTAGTGTGCCTTTAGGCCGTCCCAACATCCTGACGCCGTCGACCTTGGATCACGAAGCGTGGGAGTACCGCGAAGGAAAAGCACAAGCCCGTCGTGGTTACGGATCAGGTGCCAGCCCAGGTGGGTTGAGTGCCGATGCTGTCACCACTGGAAGCAGCGTTTCTGCAGGCGGTGTCAATGGTCAGAAGCAAGGCGCTATCTCGGGCATCAACGGAGCCTCTCCTGGCGAGATCATCGAGTCGCCAGCCGAAGAGGTGACGACCGCCATGCTGGGCAAACGAAAGCGAGGCCGATCACGCGCAGCTCGCGGGGGAGGCTTCCCGACTCGAAGACGCAGGTTGGCTGAGTGGGACACGGACGCGGAGAATGGCGATGCTGCTGATGACGACGGCGGCATTCTAGATTCAGCTAAGAGCAAGCAGGTGACCATCGCAGCTGTATCGAAGCCCAACGAATCGAGCAGTGTCCATTCTGGCGGTGAAGGCGAAGCTGGCGCATCACGTAAAGGCTACTTCAACTTGAGTCTCTTCCATAGTAAGAACGACGACACTGAAGGTCTTGACCCAGTCGAGCTTGGTTTGGTCGAGCTCAAGGAGCTGGAACGGCTCTTTGACATCTTCTTTGCACGCATCAACCCGGTGTTGGATCTTTTCGACCCCTTCTTGCACAGTGTTGCTTTTGTCAGGATGCGCTCTGCCTTCCTCACCACGGTCATCTCGAGCATGGCAGCTAGGTTCTCGGACACACCCCAGGACGCCAAGCTTGCCACGACACTTGACAAGCACTGGCAGGAGAAGTTGCTGCCCATGATCTTGCTCGGCGGATACAAAAGTGTCGAAATCAGTCAGGCTTTCTTGATCTTGACCACGTACAGTCGACCAACGAATCGTCTCGTCGATGATCGTTCATGGCAGTATCTCGGCTTTGCTATTCGTACTGCTACCGAAGTCGGTGTGAACCGTAAAGTCACGCCAAGCGAAAACCTGCTTGGCAATGAGCAGGTGGCTCGTCGAGTCCGTAATCGCGAGAGACTCTGGTTCAATCTCTTCCTCTACGATCGCACTCTGAGTGCACAGACTGGCCGTCCATGGACTATATCGGAAGACCGCATGATCGTGCAGAGCTCAATGTGGCATCGACAGGACTTTGCGCTGCCGGAAGACGTTTCATTGGTTAGCTTGATCAAGTTGCGTCGCATCACAGCACAGCATACCGAGGCTTTCGATACGTATCTCACGAGTCCCGATCGTTTCGACGAGACGCAGACGGCTACCGCTCTTGGCGTCGGTGGACAGAGCATGTTCGATCGCCGACTTGCTGGTCTCGAGTTCTTCCGTAAGAATGCCAATGCTGATTTGGAGAAATGGAAGGAGACGTGGTGCATCAATACCGAGGATAAGATCAAGGAGGTGGATACGAGTACTGCCGCGGGCAAGTATCTGGTTCGGTGGGCACCCACGGCTAAGCTCTTCTATTACCATTCGAGGCTGTTGATCAACTCGCTGGCGCTGGGCGCTACGGAGCAGTATGAGGGTTTCCTGTCTGGATCTTCGGTGTCGGTCGATTGCTGGACTTCGGCGATTTCGCTCATCGATACGATGCTCAATGATTTTACCGAGGAAGCGCTTGTGACTTGGTCAAACGATCGGGTGGTGATGGCGGTGTACGCGGCTGTCTCGGCAGTGCGAATGACCAATTTGCAGCACAAGTATGCGTTTGCTGACAAGGAGACGCTGCTTGCACTTGTTCGTCGTCTGTCGACAAGTATGACGAATGCAGGCAAGACACCGCGTCATCGAAACGGCTCTGCTACTCCGTACGGTCGATACCTCAAATCAGTCTTGGCTGCTTTCGAGCCGGAGATCCCGGCTGTGTCCACTGCTGTGCAGGGCGGTGCGGCTGCAACTGCCCAGACTCCTGGTAAGGACAGCGAGCAAGCTACGTCAATCACGACTAGCAGTCTTACGCCTGGTGATAGTCATTCTGCTGCTGCCACGCCTCCTGGTACCACTGCTGCTGATGTGGCTGCTGGTGCGGCAGAAGGGTTTGCTGCTGGTGCAAAGGCGTCTGCGGCTAGCGGAGCAACTGATGCTGTGGCCGGGGTTGCAAAAGGTTCGAAAAGTGCTGATGCTTCACAAGATAGCTCTTCTACTGGAGTCGAAGGGGCGAATGCAGTGGTCAACAAGGCAGCCAGTGCAGAACCAGCGACTCTCAAGACGGAAGACGTGTCGAGCGAGGATGTCAGCAAGACTGTTGCCCAAGTTCCGCTCATTATGGCCAATGGTGCGGGGATGGAGCTTGACATGCCCCCCGCACAGCTCAATGCGGAAGGCGGTATGGATCTGCAGAGTAACATGGAAAAGCTTCTAACTCAGATGCCCATAGATGGTTCAGCTGTAACTATCAATGCCGCAGGAATGCTCACTCCTGCTGGTGGTGGCGATGTTGCAACATGGCCCTCTCCCAACCCCGCCGCTGCTGTTGCTAGACCCTCTTCTTCAGCTGGAGGTGCCGATCCAAGCGGGTTGTTGACGACGCCGGATTCAAGCATGCTTCTCCAAACACCCATTTCGCCAGCGAGGGCCACGGCAGTTGTGTCGATGCCAGATGTAGTGAACGATCCAGAATCGTTGGAGAAAATGTGGAACTATATGACTTCGTTCTCAGATACAAGTTTCTGGCAACCACAGTCGACTTGGAATTTGGCCGGGAGTGCGAGTGGGAGCGGTGGATTCCACGGTGCTGGTGGAGGGTCCTAACAAAGCCGGGGTGAGTGAGTTGGGTGTTTTCAATCTTTGTATGCCATCCCCCTGGACGCAAGGGGATGATGTTGTTTTTGTGTTACTCTAATCAGCCCCCCCCCACCCTTTTTCTTCCTTTTTTTTTTTTTTTTTCTTTTTTCTTTTTTTTTTTTTTTTTTTTTTTTTTTCTTTTTTTAACAATTGTAATGGGTTCTTGCCTCTGCGATGCTTTGTGAAAGTGTGGATTTGGTTTTCATTGAGATGCGAGCTTCAAAAGGATACAAAACAAGATTGTCAAGCTAAGCTGATTCGACAGGAGGAATCTCAGGCTCGGGACTTGCAGGAGCAGGAGCTTCGACCAGCAAATCATAATGTCCTGGTCTCAACAGCATTGTACCGATCTCTGTGATCTGCCCACCTTCGACTTCGAATCGAACTACGTCGCATCGGTTGGGATGTTCTGCTGCACTCCTCCTCTTTTCGGCATCTGCACCGGGAACTTGTATCGACTCAGTCCCGGTGGCGGAGGAGGAGGGGGTGGATTTGTGGGCATTGGTTTGGGATGTGGTAAGTTGTTCGATTTCAGGGGGGAATTCTTCGTCGATGGGTGTTTCCGGTGGAGCCTGGCTGGGCGAGAGATAAGCTACGTCCAAGCTTACTTTGAGTGCACGGGAGAGGGCGGTGATTTGAACATGGTCAGCTTCTTTTCCGATCGCCTCGACTTGGTTGGCGCAGAAAGTGGGCATGTCGGGTGGGCTGGCATCCGAATTTGCATTATCCAGGCTGAAGAGGAAGGGGGTGTATTCTTCAGCGTTGATTTTGAGGAAAGCCGAAGTAAGAAGTCGAAGGTAGACAACGATGGAATTACTCTGCTCCGGATCGTTCATCGCGATGACCAATTCCGCCTCGTTCAACTCTTTCGTTTCTGGATCCGTAGAGTACATCCTTGTCAAAAGATTCTTCAAAGGCTCGTAAAAGTCCATATACACCTCCTCCTCAAACCCAGCCTGCTTCAACAGCTGCAGCGTACTCTCCACGTGTTTCAGCGTAAAGTGATGCATAGGACGATCTTTCATCATAAGAATCTTATGGATAAAAGCAAAGGCGAATGCTCGGTAGAAACAATCTCCATCCCCCTTTGCCCGACGAATGCCGATGAAACCTGCTTCATCGCGCAACCATCGGATCTTACCCAAGAAGGGCTCGTTGGAGGAATACTCATGCTCGAGCACTTCGATCGGTTCGATGTGCGAGATTAGGGGTTGGTGAGAGGTGGATTCGGATTTGAGCTTTTCCGCAAGTTCGAGACGTTGTGCGTCGGTGAGGGTGAGCAGGTCGGTGTCTGGGGTGATGTCAGACATTGTTGCTAGCTGGAGGGATTGGGATGAACACTTGAGGGGACAGGGGTGGCAAGCGATGCGAGCTGTGCTTCAGATGCTGATCGATGCGCGTCCGGACCGGATAAGGGATGTCGTTGGGATGATGAGTAGTGAATGTGCCGATGGCTTGCTTGACGTGAGCGCAACACAAAGAGGCTCTGATGGGTTCTGTGCGCTTAGCTGCGATCGATGATGTCTCGTGGCCGCTAGATGGATGTGATGTGAAGGCAAGAAGAAACAAGTCAAAGCTGAAAGCTGAATACGAGAGAGAGGCCAAAGTGCAGTCCTGACTGGCGCGCGTGTGTGTGTGTGTGGAGCTGGTGGCTGCTGCTGTTGCTGTTGCTGGATGCGATGTTGGATCGGTGGCTCGTCGCTGTGAATTTTTGCACAGTTCAAAATGGCTGGAAAAGAATTCCACAGAAAATCCAACGCAACGCAACACAATGCATAAAGGTGTGCTTTGTGTTCAACGACATCATCATCGAGCATGAGACTTTCGAATCGGCGTTGATCTGCTGCCGATTTCCCCCCCCCCCCGATTGGAATCCAGTACGTGCGAGAGAAAGCAAAAGAGAGATGACTCAAAATCAAGGAAGTCGGAAATGAAAGCTGCTCAGGGATTGAGAAGAAAATGCGCTTCTCTCTGCCTTCCGAATTTTTTTCGGTTTGAGCTTGCGGAGACAAAAAAAACACTCTTGTCAAGTGGAGTCGAAGTATCTCGTCTTGCCCTTCTTGACTTGCTATCTATACCCTCCTTCATCTTACGAACCGCCTCCCCTACGCAGTGCCTCTTACGCAGCGCCTCTTCACCTTCGGCACGGTCTTCTGCAGGAATCGCTGCTGAACTTCGGCTTGTAGAACGGCGCAAAGGTCGGGAGTACAATCATTGTCAGACCAAGGACGTCGGCTACCTTATTGCTAACCCAAGATCGACTGTCATACACCTCCCTCAAGATGCCACCCAAGCGCTCGAAAAAGTCGGCCAAGGCGGCTGCTGCGCCCCTCGACCAGCCAATGGACATCGACGAGCCATCCACCTCCCAACAACCAAGCGGAAGCATCACCAAGGACCCCATCGCATCCTCCATCATCTCCGACTCCAAATCCTCCGCCTCTGTCGATCAACGCCGTCTAGTCGAAATCCTTCCCGAGCGAGTCGGATCGATCGCCAACACCGATTTCCCTCTCCACCACCCTGGCGAATCTCACTCGTTTTCCCTCTCCTCCGTTAACGAAAAACTCAATGTCATTGTCACGCGTCTTTCGGACGTCTCGTGCGAATTCGATCTGATCGGAGTCGATGCTTCTATCGCAAACGCCGTTCGTCGAGTTTTAATGGCAGAGGTACCAACAGTAGCGATTGAACACGTGTACATCTGGAACAACACCTCTATCATCCAAGATGAAGTTCTGTCTCATCGGTTAGGACTGGTTCCACTTGCGATTAACCCCGATAAAGTGCTGATTAGGATGCCGGGGGACAATGCGGATGATTCAAATACGGTTGTTTTCAGTCTAAAGGCTAAATGCGAACGCAACCCTAACGCGGCGAGGGGTGAGAGCGATCCGGACAAGTTGTATATCGGACACAATGTGTATTCTGAACAGCTCGTCTGGGATCCCAAAGGTGACCAAGACGAAGACTTCGCAGATGCACCTCCAAAGCCCGTTCATGCTAAGATTCTGATCGCCAAGCTCAGACCAGGGCAAGAGTTGGATTTGGAACTGCACTGCGAGAAAGGGATCGGGAGAGACCATGCCAAGTTTTCTCCGGTTGCTACTGCTACTTACCGTCTTCTGCCACATATTCAGCTGTTGAAGCCGGTTGAGGGTGAGCAAGTGGATAAGTTGCTCAAGTGTTTTCCTCCCGGTGTAATTGGAGCAGAGGGGGAGGGGAAGAACAGGAAGGCTTACGTCAAAGACGCGAGAAAAGATACGATCTCGAGAGAAGTGCTTAGACATGCAGAGTTCGAAGACAAGGTCAAATTGGGCAGGGTTAGGGATCATTTCTTGTTCGAATTGGAAAGTACAGGGATCATCCCTCCGGAGAAATTGCTGCCAGAAGCGATCAAGACACTGAGAGGCAAGATTGCGACTTTGAGGAAGAGTTTGGATCATTTAGAGACGACGGGGTTGGAGACTGCTAGTATGGCTGTCTAGATCTATGTTGGTTTGTGACATTCTTTGGTTGTTGGTTTTGCAATGTACACTTTCACGAGCACTACTGTGAGGTTGAGATTCGATGTTTTGGATTGCTTAGAGCATTTATCTATCTATAACGAAGGAGGTGTGTGAGGTTAAAACGCTCTGCCTTCCTCCGAAAGAATTCTCTGTTGAACACTATCCACTTTCCTATGGCCACCACTCCTTCCCACCCCCCCTCCAAATCCAGCCCATTTATCCTTCAACTTGTCCACTGCGTCATTCGTCCCGACCCAACTATTGGATTTCTCCGCGGTCCCTGGTCTCGAATATCCATAACCCGCTGCATAACTCTCGGGACTCTGCCTCTCCCTTTCCCCCGTCGCCAAGCCGGCCAACCTATTGGTCATTCTAAACGCATACCCGACACAAACCCAGACACCACCCAGCACCCCGGCCAACCTGACCAAGAACTGAACAAATGTACTCGACCTTTCTCGAATCGTCATCTGAATCGGCTCAATGTCGTATTTAATGAAGATTCCGGGTACGCCTTTGCCGTGTTCGATCTGCCTTGTGTAGTCGGTCACCGAATACTGATGTGTATGGAGTTTGCGGCCTCTCGCATCGACGAAGAGGGTGGGGACAGCGGAGATGAAGTATTGGAACACGGTGAAGTGTTTATCCGTTGTTTCTACTGACGAGTCGAGAGGTTGCGAGATTTCGGGGAAGTAAGGACCGAAGCTGAATTCGTGGATCACATGGCTAAGGTTCATGAGTTTGTGATCAGTGTGTTCCAAGGAGAGATAGCCATGGCCGAGGGTTGTGATGTGTAAGTTGCCGGTGACTCGTTTGACTTCCATACTGCCATAGATTCGACATGCGGGGCCGTCGGGTACGATGTGAGCGGTTTTGTGGAATGCAACTTGTCTGCTGAACTTTTTGTTCTTTGGTTTCTTGCGATACAAGGGCTTCTTGCGCGCTTGGTTGATGGTTTTTTGCACTGAAAGCTCTTCTCGAGGCATAGCATCCAACCTGTCAGCATGGCCAATATCGAACGTAGTTCCATCCTTGGTGAACTCGGAATCGGAAACGTGTAGTCTATCACCAACTGCGTCCCGTACATCGATAGTGAGATAGTGACACTTCATAGCAACCGTCATGTCCATATTGATTTGCATCGTCGAGGAGAGTTGGCTATCCACAGCGAAGGAATACGCTCGTTCGCCATAAAGGTAGGATGATAGCTCAGTCCATAGCAAGAAGAGCAGGGTGACGGTGGAGATGATGGTTAAGAGACCGCCTTTGGAAGATCGTTGGGTGTAGATCGATTGGGTTTTGGGAAAAGCATCGAATTGACGGATCTTGGGCAGCTTGTCCAGGTTGTCGAGTAGATCGGCCATGGTGAGGCAATGGGGTGCGCAGCCAAGTGATAAGGTGTGCTCCTGGTATTGTGCGTAGTACGACTTGGAGTGAGTATGTGCGAGGGAGTTATTCGAGGGAGTTGTTCGATGTGGATGATAATGCAGTTGCACCTTTTTGATATCTGCGTCAGCAATGAGCGGTTTCGCAGGGAATGCTTTCTGATCCGTGTGCGGCTGATCCGTGAGATGGTCGATGAAGACGGGTGTGAGTGGCAACACCTTTTGGATTGCCAGTTGCACCGCTGCCACGGACAGTAAAGCTCCTTTCTGGCTCAAATTTTAAGCGTTCAGATCTTCTCAATTCCGCACGCGCCCCCCTTCTGCCACCCCACAGCCAAGTCTCTCGGTTTGTGTGCCAGCAGCAAAAGGCCCAACTTGCTTCCACGCGTCCAGAATGAATCGGGATGTCACATTCGAATCGGGGGTTTTAGTTGACCAGTCTCGCTCGCTTCAACACCAGCTGTCCTGCTTTGCATCAAGGTAGGTGACGGTCGTCTTTTGATGACATTGATGGGTAGTCTAGAAGACATACAAGGGGTCTCGATCGGCCTGGGAGACCGAAATGCTGTACTGTGCTGGGAGTTCTCGTCGAAGCCAGTGTTGGAGCACGTCTCGTAGGTATTTTCTGTCATGCAAGAATGGCATCAGGCAGTCAAGGATGTCGTGTCAGCTGATTGGGCCAAAGTAGCTATCAAGATGTGGCGCGGAGGAGATGCTCACCTCTCTGTGTTGGTGTGATTGGTGGCGATGACCGATGCTCCGGCAGCTTTGTAGGCCAAAATCTCGTGCTGCAGGGATGCCGTTGAGGTCAAACGAGTTTGGGGAGTCAGCGTGAAGCTCTTGCACTGTTAGCATCTTTGACGCTGTACTCACGTGTGGCAGCTCGCCCGTGAGATCTGATAGCGAAGAAGGGTTTGAACAAAGGATGACATCAGCAACAGTGATAGGTCAGCACTCCGACTGCAGATCCCGGAAAGGAGGCACTTACACAGATCAGCCTTGACACCAGAAAAGACACTCGACCCAGATCCAGCGCATACTGCAATCGTGGAGATTTTCTTGTCCGACGCCTTGCATCCCTGTACATGTGGCAGGTCCAGATTCTGCTTGACCCTCCTCACGATCTCCTCGAACGACTGAGCCTCATCGAGCTGGATCAGTCTACCCATACCAGCCGACTCGAACCCCTTTGGAACATTCTTAGCCGGGCTCAGATACGGATAAACATGCGATCGGAAGCCGTGCAACCTCTCATCAGAGTCGAATTCGTCCAATTTCTCCTTTTCAGACACCACCCTACCAAGCCAGTCATTGATACCTCCTGGTGCAGCGTCCAAGCTGGTGTGTGGGCAGTAGACGCTGACTCCAGCAGCAGCCAAGCGAAGCAAACTGGTCTGCTGGGGATCGGCAAAGGTGATGGACTTGAGACCTCGAAAGATGATAGGATGGTAGACGAGAGCTACCTTGATGTTTTTGGGACTGGACAGCATTTCGTCGCATACTTCGGTGGTGAGGTCGATGGCTAGCATGATTCCTTGTTTTTCGTGTGTGGACTGAGTTATGGGTGGAGGGGCCTGCAGTAGTACTCCGACGTTATCGAACGATGTTTCGGCAAGTTGGAGTGGTGCAATTTGACGCATAGCTTGCATGGTTGCTGCGAGGATGGAGTTCTGCTTCACCGAGTCGGTGATCTCCCAATTGGGTTGCGACATGATGCCACGAGCAGAGATGACTGAGGTTGGACGAGGTGCGATTACAGGTGTACGAGCAGTTGGAGCGAGATCGAGACGCTTCGGGTGAGATCGAGCGGCAGTGCTGAGCAGCGATCGTCTTGAGGCGTGTATCGAATGGAAGATGGTCATCAAAGTCGCAACGACGGAGAAGCTGGGTTGGTGAAAGTGGGGAGAACATGTCGTTCGAGGCCTTGTTGATCGACTTTTTCTTCCTCGCGTCTGTGCGCGCGCTTTCTTTTTTTGGTGTTGCTCCAAGAGAAAAAGTTGAAGATGCGTCGGCATCCTAACATGAATCACGTGGTCCGCGGAGCACAAGCAAGACACTGGTGAGTCAGAGCTGCATGTCAACATGCATTGATATGCATGTGGGATATATAAGTACTTCAACCATAACACTCAGGAGATGGCAACACTCAGGAGGTGACAACACAGGGGTGATATGAAGAATAGTTCATTATAATCTAGTATGGGCTAAGGGTAACAATCAAGTATATATATGTTCACATCATAGCACCCATCAATTAAATAAAAACAATAACCATTATATGCCTGATCAGTTGAGCTTGCTAGTAGCTCCTAACAGTTGCATTTTACCTGTAATCTTCAACTGATTAAGAGTCTGATGCTCTACCGACTGAGCTAGCAGGGATCATCAATAACATGGTACAAGAAACCAAAGCTCAAGCCATAGCAAGCAAGGCCAAAGGAGGAAGAAAGGGCAAGGCAGCACAACTGCATGTTGCTGATAATGAGGCCACCAACAAGTCAGACACCAAGGTGATTGATGACAATGCCAATGAAGAAACTGACCCTGACTCGGACCACAACAATGATGGCAAGCAATACAACTTTCATACCCTAGTGAAGCTACTTGAGCCAGTTCCAAAACTCACATCACACAACTATTATAGTTGGAACACCCATATCAAGTCCTTCCTACAATGTGTCCCCCATGCTATGAAGCATCTTGATGGAGCATATGACAAGAAACATCCCAAGTGGAACTGCATGTTCAATGATGCCTTAACAAATGCACTACACAGTACTATTGACACTACTGGAGAGTTCAATATAAATTACTTGATTCTTGACATCATCAGGGAACATCATACATTCCATAATGTATGGAAGAAGTTGAAGTAGATAAAGCCGCACAAAGCGTGGAGACAGTGAAGGTAGTGCTTACGGCCGAGTAAAAGGCCTGAACATCTTAGCACGGACCACATGTGTCACAACCTACTCAAGGCAAATGCTTTGTTATGCTCCGCAGTCCGCCGCTCTTCTTTTGTATATATAGACTCCTAGCTCTCTCGCTCTCTCTCTCTCCTACTATCATCATCATCAACCACCGACTCCAACGCACTGACGACTGACTCCAACGCACTGACGAAGGACTTCAACTGATTAAGAGTCTGACACTCAACGCAATGCCGCCATCGACAAGAGCTGGACAGACGGGAAGGGGCGATGATGATCAAACGACCCCAAGCAACGGACAGGAGGAAGGATGGCTCACGCAGGTAGTCAGGATCCTCCAGCTGGCGAACCCAGCACTAACGGCCGAGGAAGCAATCGTACGAGCTATGGGTCTCATCAGCATTAGCAACCAGACCCCGCGCAGGGAAACCGAGAAGATCCCCAAGGAGGTGTCGAGCGCCATTGCGCACATCAAGAAGCTCAGCGACAGCAACTGGCACACTTGGGAACCTACCTTCATCGACTGCCTCCAAAGAGTACATAATGCGAAGGAGATACTGTATGGCACGGTAGCGCCTGGAAACGAGGAATACGACGAAGACTTGGATAAAGCCCTCGTGGGCCTCATCCACGCCTGCTGTGACAACAGTCCAGACAGCCGTATCGACACCTACACCGTCAGGGGAGTGGATGAAGAAGTCCAACTCGGTAGCACACTCTATGCCAAACTCAAGAAGGCACTAACGTTGAACGACGCTGTAAAGCGAGCAGGACTGCAGGATCGTATTCACACAGTGCGATTGCACAATCGAGACGTTGTCAGGCTAGGCAAGGAACTCGATTCGATCTGGAACAATGCGGCACGCCTGGGAAAGCGTTTCGACGAGGACCTCAAGAAATCAACTCTCTATCGCTGCACGGCCCAAGACTGGTTCTATGCCAACACCGTCGACGCACTGAAAACGGCCAGACCAGACTGTAAATATGACGAAGCCTACCACGCACTCGCCAAGAAACAGCAGGATGGTGAGGTCACCGGCCGTATTAGAGGAGCAGCAAGGGTTGCCACAAGTACGGACCAGGCGGAGCAAGGACCCAGAGGCAGGCGCGATCCTCGCAACCCCTCGGCCCCTCCAAAGTGCTACGCTTGTGGAGGACCTAATCACATTGCTCGAAACTGCACGAACACCAACAATAACCCCGCACCTAGTAGAGACGGACCCACCCCCAATCTGGCACAGGAAGTGAACCACTAGGAACTCGGGTGCACCTTTCTAGCAGTCGACAGGGGCGAGCGATCAGCATGCGACACCTGGATCATCGATTCAGGTGCAACCCATCATATGGTAAATGATGAGAGAATGCTGCTCACCTCAACGAACAAGGTCGGCCAAATCAGTACGGCAGGGGACGAAAAGCTTCAGGTGAAGGCTATAGGAGATGCCTCCCTTCGGGTCGGTGAGGCCACCATCCAACTATTGGATGTGCTTTATGTACCGAAACTGAATGCTAACTTATTGTCCGTACAAGGCTTGATCGAGAATGGTGCACGAGTAATCTTTGATGAGTTTGGAACTACCATAAAGCAGAACGATGGTACCCAAGTACAATTCAAAAGGGACAGAAGACAGGGCCACTTCAAAGTGCGAGGACAAGCACTGACTTTGGAACTGGAGGAAACACGAGATGGCGTCCCAGAGGACAACCAGAACACAGGAAAACTAGATAATGCCCCAGAGGGCAATAAGGACACGAAGCATCGAGACAGCTACCTATGGCATGAGAGGTTCGGACACCCAGGACGAGACAAAACGAGACAAATCCGGGCCCATTACCTAGGTACCGATGAGGAAATGGAACATGAGTCGAAGCACTGCAATGCGTGCAGTCAAGGAAAACAGACTCGAGCACGGATGAGCCAATCAGAGTCGGAAAGAATGGAGGCACCATTAGAGCTGGTACACGTAGACCTGATGACAGATTTCAAAGGACATGCCAACTACCACTATGCACTAGTTGCTGTGGACGACTTCTCCTCTCTGATCTACGTGGAACCACTCTGCACAAAGAGTGCTGCACTCACGGCGCTGAGAAGGTGGATAGCCAGGATGGAACGGGCAACGGACAGGAAACTCAAAACACTCCGCAGCGACAATGGAGGAGAATGGTGCAGCATAGCAGCCGAAGACTGGCAAACTCAAGAGGGTTTTAAGTGGCAAAAGAGCGTCCCGGGGATCAGCGTCCAAAATGGACGGGCAGAGAGAGCAATCAGATCGGTCCAAGAAAAGATGCGCTCGATGCTGATTGGTCGAGCTTGCCCTAGAGAGTTGTGGCCGTACGCAATCACAGCAGCAGCACACGTGATGAACCTTACCCCGTCAGCCACCAAAACCATTCCCCACGAGGCCTTCTATGGAACCACTGCGCACAAGCTGGCCCAGCAACTGCGAGTCTTCGGATGCTTGGCATGGGTTCATGTTCAACAGAAGGACCAGCAAGGCAAGCACGGAGCTAGAGCAAAGCCAGCCATCATGATTGGGTATGACGACGAACACAAAGCATGGAAGTTTTGCAACCCGGACCAGCCTGCGTCAATTCAATGGAGCAACTCAGCAACGTTCCATGAGGACAAAGGATGGAGTGATCGCCAACAAGAGGCAGTCAGGCCTGTGGTGACCGCGGAGGTCGAGGAGGAGAGTGTCACGCCAGTCATAGTGGAGGAGGAGACCAAATCAGAGGCTGCAGTGGAGGATCTCCTAACAGCCGAAGACAGCACAGTAGGCGCCGCCAACACAGCAATACTGAACCTGGACCCAACACTTAGGGAAGCAATGGATGGTGAGGATGCCCAGCTCTGGAAGGAGGCAATACGAAAGGAGCTAGAAGGACTCGAGGCAATGGGGACTTGGGAGGTGGTGCACCAACCGCCAGGAGTACCACTTGTGGACTCTAAGGTTGTGCTTCGGCTGAAGCTTGATGCTGATGGTGTACCTGTTAAGCACAAGGCACGACTGGTTGCAAGGGGCTTCACACAGAGAGAGGGGATCGACTACCAAGAAACCTTCTCTCCAGTAGCACCCCTCGGAGCGATCAGAGCCATCTTAGCACTAGCAGTGCAGAACAACTGGGAGGTACATGCTCTGGACATCACTATGGCTTACTTGAACTCCACGTTAAAGGAAGCAATCTACATGAAGCCGCCAGAAGGATCAGGAGTAGCACCCGGCAAGGTGTACAAGGTAGTCAAGGGCCTATATGGCCTAAAGCAGTCTGGGCGAGAATGGAATCAGGAGTTCGACAGGTCTTTGCGACGCATGGGATTCTTCCAGGTAGAGTGCGCTCCCTGCATCTACACCAAGGGACAGGGTGAAGATATGGCCATTGTGGTCATCTACGTCGATGATACATTAGTCATAGCACCACGGCTGGAAACGGTCCTAGAGGTTAAGAAGCAGATTGGTCAGAGATGGAAGATGGAAGATAGTGGTGAGGTCTCTCACTTCTTGGGCATCAAAATCAGTCGAGACCATGCGATGCGCACCATGACGATTGGTCAGTCAGGGTACATCGACCAAGTGCTGGCAAAGCACCTGGACAAACGTACGAAGCCAACCATGGTTCCAATGCAGAGCATACCGGAGGGAACCCTTGTCGCAAGTGCAGCACAACAGAAGGAGTATCCGGTGATTGTTGGCAAGCTGCTCTGGGTTGCCAACAGCACCCGGCCCGACCTTAGTCTCACCGTGGGTGTTCTCGCTAGGCACATGCGTGAACCATCGCAG